AAAGCCCGCACTCAATGACTCATTGAACGATCTAGCCAATGAACGCGAACGAGTCAAAGCGCGCTTTGTTCAAATCCGGACCAATCAAAGATAAGGCTGAATATCAGGGACTTGCCGTAACCTGTGGGCAGCACGCAAAATACATCATCCCTCAGTAGATAATTATGCAGGGCATCAAACTGCTCTGGTTTCAATTCCGATATACTCCATGCTTTCTTTGTGTACGGTTATGCACTCGGAACTACTCGGATGTCTCCGCACTCGACAATAACTATGTTGTTAGTATGGAGCTTGCGGAATCAGCCGAGGATTGCCGATTGACGGTCAACCAATCAGCGTTTTCACCAAACTTTGGTGAAAAATTTTGAAACATGGATTCGATTGGCTTATATAAACTAGGTCAAACTATTTTCGTCAGAGGTAACTTGACACGATGAAGATAGGCTATAGTGAAGAGGTTAGTGTCAAGTTATCTCTGAAGCTCAGGGTGCCTTACCCTGTCCATAGGATAAAATCTGGTTTTGGCTGTATCTGTTTCATTGCACTGATAGCAGACTGTACCAGCTGCCAGGGAGAGTCACACTTGTAATCCCCATACTTCCCCATGACTGGGGACTCCAACAGTGAGGGTGCAGCATTATGGCACATATCCAGGGGGTTGCCTGACACACTGTAGTTAGCATCATAGTGAAAATCTGTCACCTGCCAAAACTGACCTATAGAGTCAAAACAGAAATCTAAATATAAATGAGTAAGGTGAAAATAGCCTAAATAGACATAATTATTATCACTTGCCTGTTGGCTGAAAACGGAAGCTTATATTTCCAGTAATAGTTATGAGGGAAGGAGTTGACATTTGGGAAGCAATAGCTAGGGGTCCTTACAATGGAAGGTCTGGATGCATGCTGCTTAAGTTACTGTTAGCAAAACTACAAAGAAAAAAAAAATCTGATTTCCAATTTAAGTCGAAAAAAAAATCCATGTCTGGGTAATACCTACTCCCAATTTAAGTACATCAATGATCAAGCTGGGAGGATCGATGCGTTAAATATCAACTGTTGGTTGAAACAACTATAATCATTACATCATATCCTAGTTTCTGTCTCTTGTTCTCCCAAACATTTCTTTTCTACATATTGAGACATATAAGACAGTAAAATATAATAGAGTGAAAAGTACCTGGAGAGTGAAGGCTACAATGTATATACATGCATTTTAATGCATTATGATTAAAAGGCTATGTTAGTAAATACGTCAGGTAAATGAAGGCTTACCTATCGATACAGGCGTTGTTATCGCCCTCTCAAACAGGAAAAACACAACTGCACAACAAATCCAAGTAACACTGCCCATTCTTTTAACTGAAAAATTACATTTTAAGTAAAAATATTAAACTTCACACAAACTGAGCTGCAAGGGAGTTCTGCCANAAAAAAAAATCTGATTTCCAATTTAAGTCGAAAAAAAAATCCATGTCTGGGTAATACCTACTCCCAATTTAAGTACATCAATGATCAAGCTGGGAGGATCGATGCGTTAAATATCAACTGTTGGTTGAAACAACTATAATCATTACATCATATCCTAGTTTCTGTCTCTTGTTCTCCCAAACATTTCTTTTCTACATATTGAGACATATAAGACAGTAAAATAGAATAGAGTGAAAAGTACCTGGAGAGTGAAGGCTATATACATGCATTTTAATTGATTAAAAGGCTATGTTAGTAAATACGTCAGGTAAATGAAGGCTTACCTATCGATACAGGCGTTGTTATCGCCCTCTCAAACAGGAAAAACACAACTGCACAACAAATCCAAGTAACACTGCCCATTCTTTTAACTGAAAAATTACATTTTAAGTAAAAATATTAAACTTCACACAAACTGAGCTGCAAGGGAGTTCTGCCATTTCCTATATTTTTAAATCTTCTTTGGCAAAAGAGCTAGGCCTGATAATGACGGTCAAACAATTACGTAAAGGGCACTAGCAAGGTATTGAGTGGTAGGAGAAAAGCTTGTGTACTTTTTTGCCTGAGGAAATGCAAATCAAGTAGATACAGTGTACCCACTGTCTTGAGAAATATTAAAACTGCGGATTAATAAAATTCTTTAAAGTCATTTTACTCACCTAATAAAAAGAATAAGAGAGACAACAAACAAACATGTCTGAATTTTTACTTATATAACAAATGTTTTTTCCCGAAAAATAAAAAGCTTGGTTCAATTCAACAAGGACTCTTTTGGACTTTTTCAATAATTCTACCTAACAACAAACATTCCATAAATTTTTGGCGGAATCAAGAAGTAAAATTTAAAAAAAAGTATGAAAGAAATAAAAACAAGAACTGCTTCACTAGATCTTTATTATATCATGTTGTACATGCATAAAACTGTAAAGATAACTGTGTGCCTAGATCATTATACACATTTTTACACTCCTACAATGTATTCATCCTCCTATATTATCTATCTATCTTTATATATATTTATATATGTTTGCTATCAAAGTACTTTACATATGGGAAAGGGTGATCAGAGGGTAAATAATGATGTCTGTCTAATGGTGGCACCTGGAGGAATAAATTTAATCAATAAATAAAATACAGCTAGAGAAGAGAAGGAATGAAACCGAGAATTTTACAGATTAAGGAGAATGTAATTGATTTGTGTTTCCATTAAGAAATAACATGCCAAATTTCAAATGTATGACTGTGTTACCATCAAGTTGGTCCCAGCATGTTTAATAATATCATCCAAACCATGCTTACAAATCTTGCTTAACACTACGGTGCAACAGAATGAAAACTGATATTCAATACAGGTAGAGACAGAAAAAAAGCAGTCTAGAAAAAGCCTTTTAAACCTTTAAACTCTGGAAAGAAAAATAAAACTGAAGTGCTGATAAATCACGCTGACCGGCATGCAAGACAAAAATCACAGAAAGTAATTGCACAACAAATTACAGAGTTTACAAAGTACCATGCGCCTAACATACATACTCTCTCATTCTATTGGTCATTTTTATTCTTCTGGTATGGACAATGTGCCTCTACACCAGAGCATAAATATCACCCATCATCATTGACTCTAGCACACGAAACAAAAAATACAACTGGAACAAAAGGAAATGATACATAAATTCTAGGCAGAATAATAAAATAGCATGCACCCAAACATACATATGAAATAACACTTGATTGAAAGCTTACCTAAACCAGACACATAGTGTCTGTCTATAAAAATTCTAATTGCTGTAATGGTAAAATAACAAGTGCATGACCAGTTAATGATAATTTCCACAGCAAACTCATTAATAAGTCAATTTAAGTAGCATAAAATATCTAATTAATATAAATAGTTCAAATCCTCTCTTGATAGATACATGAATATTTTCTTCAGAATGGCAAAAGTTGAAGAGGGGTACAGAATACTGATACCCTTGGCTATAAAGAACCGATGGATTCAAGAATTTATAAGATGTCCATTGTATGTGTTGCAAGAAGTACCATGCAACACCAGATTTTTTCAATTGACACAAGAGGACATAAAACATTATCCTAGACTCCTTGGTACCAGCACATTTGGCACAGAGGCCCCGCATCCCAGAAAACCTGGGATAAAGACAAGAAACAGTCACTTGAGCGACCAGCACCAATTGTTTTTGCATAAAATAGCAAAACAAGACCAAATTACAGTTATATTTCTAATCATTACATACCCCACCTTAGCAACAAAATAAAATGGTTGCTAAATCCCTTCCCTTACCTCAACCACTATATTTACCATGTCCACTGTCTATATACATGGTGTAAACCAACACACCCAACTATATACAGATGATGTGAGCATACCGGAGCATACCTTAATGTTACGTTAGGCATTTTTTATCACATCATTAAGATCATTTATATTAATACCCTGAAGTACGTCCAACTACCAATAGCACCAATTTTTAAAAAACATTTAATGTCCAAATTGAACAGTCATACATCAGTCTGTAATTGTTGAAATACTGTTTGTTCCTTCCATAAAATGTGTCAACCTTCAGACTCTGTTCTTGGCCCAAATATCAATACCTTCACCAAGTTATTTGATTATATTTTTTCAAAGATATAGAAGCTGAATAATTTAATCACATTTTTTACATGCTGAGCTTAATACTTTCATGTAGATTTAACTATGGCAAAGGTATCCATTAGCCATTTCATGTCTAATACTATAACTATTACCAGAATGAAATGCAGATTTTTCATCTTTCATAAATGTGCATAGATGTGACATAATGACAGTCAATTTGTGTCAATCTGCTGCATATCTATGTTCTATTTTGTTACACTTTGCTACAACATAATGCACTTCATACAACATTGCACCATAATGATTGACTTTTATTTTAGTTTTTTCATTATCATTCATGCTCCAGAAAAGCTCGAGTCTTGTTCTGCTGCCGAGACCAACATGGTTTCCTGACAATTGAAATACTTGCAGGCAGCTAGGGACAAGTATAACTAAGTATCTCAGTACGGGACTTATATAACAATATCTTGATTTGCATGATACTCTGATAATTTTTCCCTTTTGTTGTTAAAAGAATATTACACATTAAATTAAATTTAGCCTTTTTTATGCAGTCAATAAAAACCTTCATGTAGCAATAGGTGACCATATAGACTATGAAATCCTGCAATCATATCCTGAATTTTGTTCTTGTTCCTTGGCCAGCTCTTCAACAAGCCTCTCCTCCTCCTCTTCATCTTCTTCTTCCACCAATTTATTGTTCATGTTGTCATGGGAACCATCACCAGGCCTTGGGGTGTCTTTCTCAACTGAGCTGCTGCGTGATCTTGGTGTGGACAGCCTCGAGTTGGGAGGGTTTTGTTCAACTATTTTCTGCAAAGTCTGTATTTGGCCACGTATTGCACTAAAGAACGGCTTATAGCCCATGCTAAAATAAAAAGTATGGGGATGTTCTGTTGATTTTCATGCTACAAGTACTCATAATCAGTTTTCTTTATATTATGAATTACTGTCATGATGTATATTTTAGAAATTTTTGTGCAAATTGCACACAAAATTGATAACTGGTTTAAAAGCAAAATCTTAGACTAAAGTAGATTTTTGTTTCTTTATAATTAGGGATTAATAAAAAACATCCCAATCTTCCCTAAAATCTGAATCTTTTTTATTATTTAATACCAAGCAACTTACCACTCTGTGTCTGCCCACATTTCCAGGTATGAGAGTCCCTCCCTCATCCTGCCTACTATTTCTATCTGTGTGTCAGTAAAGCTGGCCGTGTTCACAGTCCTCACCACTGCCATCACATCCCGCAGCAGGATGGAGATTAGGAGTGACCACTCCAGGCACCCGGCCTCAATCATTATGTGTAACAGGTACCTTAAATATAACAAGACTTGGTATGAAACTTTATATTAACTCTACATGCCTAAGAAGCACAAGTCAGTTAAAATAATGAGAAAATGAGTGAATTTGATACTGAGTGGGATACTACATTAATGATAATGTAACTAACATGGCTTCCACATATCTTAAATAAAACCAATGAATCACCTGAGCTGCAGTTCTGCCTGTGCCGGACCCTTATTGGCAAGTTCATGACAAAGCAACTCTAGTTCTGCAGCCTCCAAACAGTAACTTTGATCCATACTTGTGCTTTCTCCAAAGTCATCAGACATCTCAGTGGCAGCAAGACTAGTATCATCTACAAGTCATTAAACATAAATGCAGTGGTATGTCTAACATCATCATCATCATCATCTAACTGATGCCAAATAAAAGTACTCATATTTATGTGATCTATAAAATGATATTCACATTATCCATAAATTTATTGAAGAGTCTAGCATTACAGGTATAATTTACCTCTACTTGACTGTATGTGTAGTTTGGGTTGTAGTAAGACATAGCTGCCTGCCATTGGAGAGTCAGGTGTGGCAGCTGGAGAGATTACTGGGGTGCTACTGCTCAGGTAGCCACTGTCCTTCACAGACATGTTTTTGGCTCCTTCTTCCAGCTCCAACAATCCCTGGGAGGAGGAACTGGCACTCAGGTCTGAAGGAAGAGAGTAAGGGAAGGTTATGGGTACACTGGGATGAAGTTATACAAGATGATCACATGTGATAGGTAAATGTTTATATTTAACAGTTTGTTGGGTCAGCATTTGACTCTTTTACATAGAGACATTAGTAACTTAGCTTAATAAGAAAAAGTAGTTTTATCAGTTGCTTTTTAGTGTGTATACAAGCAAGCCTCCAAGTTGTGAGAGCATATATCTTACCCAACTGGCATTTTAATTAGGTATCTTATGTTTTGGCACAGAATGCAAATAAAAATACATTAGTCCGGTGCAGTATTCTAAAAGAATGCCAGTTCAGTAAAAAAAAATAAAAATAAATAAATAAATAAATAAATAAATAAATAAATAAATAAATAAATTAATTAATACAATTTTACCTTTGCTGAGTTGTAAGAACTCTGAGTTTGTAAGTATTGGCAAAGGCCACTGGAAATCTTGGTGCAGCTGTTTCAATGCAGTAACAAAGTCCTCCACCTTTGCGGCTCTCAGCCTGGCAAGATAAAAATGACTAAACTTAAGCAATAATGACTCACAGATAACAGACCATACAAGTTCATCAGCAAGTCAGCAGATAAAATTGACCCATATGACAACAGCCTACAAATAAGTAAACTTACCTATTACCATGTTACCCTAAGCACTGCTTTGGTGTTAAATTATTTCCCACATTTCTAACCTTTCCTTTTTCAGCCACGTGACCAACTGATACCCCTCCATGTTAGCAGCAAAGCAACCAACATCCTTGAGTCTGTAGCTGGTGAGCAGTTTGCGTGCATGTCTTGCCAGCAGGACATCTATGAAGAAACTGTCAGGGGAGCCTTCATGGCCACTGCCACTTGCAGACCTGAAGTACAGAATATGAATGCTATAAATATCAGACTGGCAATGATACAAATAAAAGGTAAAAATTTGTAAGAAGGGATTGATTAATAGTTATGAAGGACAGATAGAAAGAAACTGTTAAAGTAAAGCCCTCATGGCTACTTCCACTAGTTGGAACACCTAGTGACTAGTGACACTAAATTTGAGACAATGTCCCTTGCATGGCAGTGACAGCAATATCAAACAGGAGATGCAATAATGCTGCTCCACAGGCTTATCTTTCCTATTATAAATGAAGAATTATACAAAAATGTATTTTCAATTTTTAATTTGGTGAAAAGGAGCATAAACAAAGGAAATGAAAACATGTCAAGAGCTTGACCCATTAAAATATTTCCAAGTTTTTTTATGGGCTCAAGTTCTTTTATAACCAAATACGCCACATCACATATATTCAATAATGACATATAATGGATCCCATTCTTCTAGTGTGAAAAGAATCTGACATGCTAAATAAAGTGATAACCATCTAAATACGTATATACCAATAACAATGCTGGCCAAGAATGAAATAACATCTGTCATCCAAAATATAGAACATGTTACATTACCATAAAATATCCATCACCAAGCATAGTGTAAATATTAAACTCAAAACACACCAAATCTATTATGATAAAACCAGTCTGAAACAAAAAATACCTGATATTCACAAGTGATCCCTCAGAACATAAGCAGATAAATAATTTCCAATCCCACATCAGAACACACCATTATCCTATATACTGTCATAAATGAATATCACAGTCAAGTTCCATGGAGTTGCTGTCATCCTTACCCCTGTGCTAAACACCCAGCCTTACCTTATTGGGTATTTGTACTTTTTATTGGCAAGTATACTTTGCCACACGATACTGTTAGAAATAATAAAATGTGTTAAGTTTACATAATCCTAGAGTAATTTATAAAATATTTTACACTTTCAATTTTGTTTTACATGGAGAATACACAATAACAAAGATCATCATCATAACTATTACTATCATCATGCATGACTTGACTTTACAGTTACTCCTTACTGAAACCAAGTTGTGAAATAACTAACCTTCTTCTTAGAGCTGCACTCTCTGCTCTACTTTTACTCTTCTCTTTTCCCTTCCCGCCATCTACCTGGTCAGTTTTACCCGAGCCTCGGCCTCTCAGCGGGTTGGTGACAAACACAAACTCGTTACTCTCTGAGTCAGGTGACATGGGTGGGGTACGGTGCAATACTCCCTGGAAACCCATACTGTTGGCTCGTGTTAATGGAGGAAGGTCTGGGGCTGTGTCAGCATCACTGGGATCTGATATGAAAACAAAAGATGTACTAACATTACTAGGCATAAACAAAATTCTTAAGATAGAATAATGATCATCTTCATATCGCAGGTATCTAAAGCAAAGCAGGGAAAAAGAGAAATCATTTCAGCATTACTTTGACCATATTTCAAATATTTATAACAGTAACTTGGAAATAAACTTATTCGACTTTCTAACATTACTTAATATAAGACAAAGGCTGTGGACATATAACAGTAGCATAAAAGATTTGACTGAATTACGGACCAGTCCTCTACGAAGATGTTTTGAACATACCAATGGCTTTGAGGAACCTGACTAGATCTCTGGCCAGCTCCCACTCATTGTGGTCTAATGCTGTGTCCAGTAGCATAGTGGCATGCTGGAATTGACAATATATAATTGGGTTGAGATGATCATGGCGTAAAAGTTTCAACTCAATACCTTTTGTAGCACCCCTCTGACACTCAATTGAAAATTCACCACCAAAATTACAATGTTGTTATAAAATATTGTGGAGTTTTGCCTAAAATCTCTTAGAAATTCTGATCAACTATTTTCCTGAATTATGATGGAAAATTTTTGATTTCTCAAAATACCAAGCCCAGGATTTTTTACCCACCAGATATTATAATATTATGCACAGATACACTGATGTCACTAATTCATTAATCCTACCTGTCTGCTAACGATAGGCTTCTCCAAATTCTGCAAGATGATTAGATAAGAAGCTGCAGTCTTTAACTTCCCTGACAGCATACACTCCTGAAATAACAATGAAATTCCCTTGTTTCCTACACACTGCTGGGAAATAAATAAATAAGCTTCTATCTTTTGATACATGGAAAGAAAAGATTGCATAAAAACAATGAATTTCTCAATAAATCTGATCAAAATATGTACATAAAGCCTAAAACATTCAAAATCACGTCTAGATTTTTCAAAACCAAAGATTTCACAATGGACAAATTAAAATCGCCCTTTGGTGTTTGCTGCCACATTGAACAGTAAACCAAGACAGTAGCCTTACCTCAAACATTTCCCGAGGGTTCCCAACAGTGTTGAACAAGTAATGCCAGAGGGCAATCTCTGTCTTTCTGGCACAATGAGCTATGGTCTGCAAAAACTCTGGGAATTCCTGGATGAATGCCACCACTCTAGGGAGGAGAGGATCTGAAAGCAAAAGTCTGACTGAGGGCAATCTGTATTTTCCAATAAACAATTCAAGCCATGATATTTTGGAAAAAAGCTTTCATCAAATATTTAAATAAGATCTAACTGCTTCATTCCTCTTGTTCAGTTATTGCTTTTTGCTGATATTGGATCATTTTCTGTTACTTCCCCTTCCAATTATTGACAACTTTGTGTGTGCCCACATGTGTGTACTCACATTTGTGCATGCAGCCTTATGATGTACATATTTGAGTGTATGTCATATACCTGGTATAGGATCCTTGGACGTTGCTTCCTCCTCTAGAACTTCATGCAGCAACAGCTCCAGACAATGTGGGAAATATGGCAGCTCTGTACAACAATGAGCTATCTCCAGGGCATGGTGACCAAGACTGGAAATGAGGCAGATAGAGGTTTTTAAAAATCAACAGAGGCCAATCTCAAGGTAAAGGCTAAGGCAGTAGGTGATAAGAACAAATGAAAAATTTACCAAATCAATTTTACAAGTCTGTGAGAATGTTCCAAATGAATAAAAAATATTATTTTTCAATAGGAAACTTTAATATCTCAATACTTAAAAGATCTTAAAAAGTCTATTCTGAGAATAATAAGACCCCGCATTGTCCTGGTTTCAATATAGACATACTTTCTTCGTAGCAGCTGCCTTAATATGTGATGGAGATATATTTGGCTCTGTAACATAAACAAAATGGATATGTTAATAATCTATGATTTTCAACATTTAGGTACATGATAATAACATGCATTATGTAATTAGAATTAAAACAAAAAGGCATGACCAACAGTTTTACACTCCAGATTTTCTTTATAATTCAATGCATAAAGTATCACAAAACGTGGCACTCACTGTCCTTTCCAGGGTAAGAAATGGCAAATTATCAGACGGTCCAGTGTCATAACATGTGGCATCATTTGTAGCACCAAGAATCACAGCATCTTCAAACAGCACAGCTAGGAACAGAAGAACACTTGTATATTACCTTCCCAATAATAAGGTAATCTCTCAAAAGGACTGAACAGTTTAGAAATTCAAAGTGCAGGAAAGTGTAAATGTGTGGCATTTCAAATCCAATGACCTTTCCCAATTTCGTTAACACAACAAATGAACACAAAAAACTATTCTCACCAAGTGGGTAGATATCCACTCTGAATGGCAGCATTATTCTCTTTGACATAAACCCATGAGCACTGACATCATCCCGAGGAAACAGTGGCAGCCAGACCTAAAAACAGGCAGCTAGACAGTCAAGTGTGTATTTTTGATCAAAATTTTAGAACCATCATTGAAAAAACATGTGTAAATGAACTCTCTGAAAACAGGCACAAGAATACATTTTGGAGTACAACTTTTTCAGTTAAATAAGACGTCACAGAAAAGTTTTGATTGTCTTTTTTAAAAAAAGATCTACCTTCATCCCATGAGCCCCACATCCCAGCCATAGGGCTTCTACCAAATGTTTCTTCTCCGAGTTCAGCCGCGGTGTGCTCCATACATTCTCTACTGCTGAAGCTACCATGACAGGGGACGTGAACGGAAGCTGGAAAACGAGATGTCCAAAATAAACTTTAGGCCTTTTCACACTGAGCATTTTATCTTAGTGATACAGCTGTACTGGGATGTTTTGAGAAATTGAAAACTTAATAGCCTTGATATTACATAAGAGATTCACTTAAACACCACAAGCTCGATTGGAGAACTTAAAACATACTAGAGCAATTACATGTTTGAACCTCTCAGAACATACTGGTAACAGTAAGATATATTGCTCAATGTGAAGAGGCACTTTTAATCAAATTATAAATCAAACATAAATGTCATTGAAAAGGTCAAGAGATTTAATTCATTTGTGACATGAGAATATCCTCTACTGCAAAAAGGTCAATTGATAAATAGAAACTACAAATGTTTGTTAGATGGTTGCTTACCTGTCTCTGTTTGCTTCCATCTTTGACTGCCACGTGTAGTGATCTGTCTCTTTGGAACATCAGCAGACGGCCGGCAACATTGAGAAGGATGCTCTCTGCCTCTACTGCAGGCTGCTTACTGCGCACAGATGCTAGGACAAGATCAAAAATGAAGTTGGTTATCGTGAAAAGATAATAACAAGCACAGTATAACACCTTTCAAGCAGATTTATCAAAAACATAATAGAAACTAAAATCTTACCAGTTTCTGTACGCAGTGAGGTCAAAGTAATTGCTGTCACAGATGCTGGGTGAGGGATAAAGCCTCCAATGGCCACTTCCTGGATCTTGTTGATTTCTACTGTAGGATCTGAGGAAAGCAATTCAAATAGATCATGACGCTTATACGAGTTGTTTTCATGTAGCTGAAGAGAGATAGAGAAAAAAGGAAAGTATGCATTGGCTTCTCTGCTTGCAGGTATAGAATTGTGTGAGAGAGAAAGAGAAAGATAAAAGCTTACTTGGCTGAGTATTCTTCCTATCTATACTGAACATCATGATGTGGCTGTCGGCACAGAGAACTATCAGTATATCTCTGAATGTGTTGAGAAGCAGGACCTGAGAGGGAACTTTGGTCACGGTAGCAAACACATTGTCTAATTTACTACTCCTGGGGTACAACCGGATCTGAAATAAGACATACAGGGTTTTTTTTTTTTTTTCAATTTATAAATGGCAAAGAGCAAAGGATGCAATGTTTTTCTCTCTCTAATGTTTTCCGTTCAGGAAGTTCTCTTAAAAATCCTTGCTTCATCTCTCTGCCTTAGGATGTTATAGCAGGCCACACAGACAAATCCTTACCTCATCTCTCTGACCTAGAATGTTACAGCAGGCCACACAGACAAATCCTTACCTCATCTCTCTGCCCTAGAATGTTATAGCAGGAAACACACATCTCTACCTCATCTCTTTGACCTTGGATGTTATAGCAGGACACACACACAAATCTTTACCTCATCTCTCTGTCCTAGGATGTTATAGCAGGCCACACATACAAAGTCTCTCCACCATGTCAGCCCACCTGACACCACCATGTCCTTCTCCTGGAACACAACACATATACAGGTACTTCGATGGAAATCCATCTGTGTAGTCTTTTGATTAAGTTGTAAGCTTAAACCTTTAATATCTACACTAACTTGAGCTGTACCTCAAAGCTTTTGATCACTACCATGCCAAGCTCAAGTTAGTGTAGATATTGAAAAGCTGAAGCTTATAGCACATACAGGTTTATTAACAATAAAAACAGCATTTAATGAGGACCTAAATTCACCACACAATCATTCAAACCAAACAAATAATATGAAAAAAGAAAGAGAAACCCAAGTGCAATAAATCTCACCTGTGTTTCATTTCCAAACAATTTCCACTTTCTGTTGAAGAGTGCATAGTGAGCCAGCCCATACTTGCCAGCAACTGCCACACACTGTCCTGCCCTATCTATTGCAGCATACTATAATATAGAGGGATGGATGCAAAGATATCAAATGATTATTTTTCTGTAATCTGTACCACCCAATATAATTTTCTATACCACCTAATATAACTTTTTGACAGTTTAAAATATGACATATCAGCTGTTTAAATCAAATAATGGAAATTAAGACTTGTTTGATTATCTATCCTTAACTGTCATTTTATCCACAATATGCCTTACCCTGATTGGCCAGTTAGATCCCAAATAGTTGCTTGGCACAGTGATCACCTGCCATTGCTTGCTGCCCATGAGAAAGCTAGGAGCCTGATTGCTAGGATACCCTGGCTGTGAAGGATGTAACTGCTGCTTAGGACTAGTCTGGTGTATGGTTCTCTCTAGGCCATTGTTTACATACAGTCTGTCTTCTCCCTGGAGAAACAGGTGCTGGTGATTGCTCTGAAATAAAATACATAAATACTACATATATGTTGGAAAAAGTGTTTGTAATTGCCTAAAAATGTTTTTTTTTATGAGTGGAGAGTGTAAATGAATTTAGCCTTAATCTTTCCATCTCATCCAATAAAACGTGAGAAATTAAACAATATAAGTACATGACTGTACACTTAAAAAAAAAAATAAATAAAAATAAATAAATAAAATGAGTTTTTATCTTAGACTTACCATGCAAGGATTTACAGTCAAAGAACTTTTCACAAACTGCAATTGTAAAATGTCTTGATTTTCCTCCTTTATTTCCCCATTACAGTTGGTATCAGATGGCAGCTCTCCGTTCACTTGACTAGTATCACAGCGAGAGGCCATTACCCACAGGTGGTATCCCTCTGCACCCCACTCCATGGACTTGATATGTAGAGAATGGTGCTTGAAGGAATCCTCAGATAAACTGAAAGATGTGAAAAACTCAAATATTTATATTTGATATTTTATATTGGGTATTATAATACCCAAACTCTTCAATTTGTAGGTGATCATTACAGCATACTACATTTTTGCCAAATGTTACACATTTTCTAATTTTTCTAAAAATGTATAATATTTTACTATTTTTGTCAGGGGTTTCATACTGATTTAAGCAAATTATCTTGCATTTATTTTGATTTTTAGAAATTATATTCAAATGCTTGGCCACATATCATACATAAAAAATAACCCAAAACTTCATTCATGTGTGGTCACAGGCTTTTCTATACAAAGTAAAATCTAATAATCCATACCCATAGTCTCCTCCCAGAGAACAGAAAAGTAGAGCACCAAACACGCTCCATACTGCAAACCCTCCATTCTCCCAGGCAGCGGCCAGTGCACAGCCATCAGGGGTCCACTTGATATGTGTCATGCTGCCAACCACGTGACTAGCATCTGCATCAGTGACAAAAGATACAATATAATCATACCTAAGCAGTTTAACATCTGACTTGTCTGTCTGAATAGCTTCATCTAAAATTTGTGTGAGAACTAAAATGTATACTTAAAGGCATAGATTACTGCTCCTGTGAGAATAAGATTTTATAACTTATACATCTTGGCAATTGTAACTAGACACCCACAACAACTATACCTGGATAGTCTTTACTAGAGACTGCTAGCCTGTGTGAAACCTGGAGAGCACCAGTTATTTCATCAATACTGTACACCATCCCTTCTCCACTAAAATAGTAAATAAATCACTATTAATTAATGAATTCTGAAGAGATCCAATTCTAGTTGTCATTAAATAACTATATATATAAAAAATTAAAGATAAAAAATTTATAAAATAGAAAAAAATGTTAAGGATATTAAATCATGCTTTGACTTGTGCACATTAAATAATATCCTTACTTTTTGAGGCCAAAAGCCATTAGTCTGTACTTGTGATTGACTCCTACACAGGACGCATTATTCACCTCCTGGGCCCACACACCCTGGATTTGCTGGGGAAGGAAAAACAATAATAGTAATAATAAATAAATAAAAGTTCAAGACGTTACTACAGAAAAAAAAGATGCCTTCTTATCATGCATAATGGACACTTATTTTGAAAATGCAATTAATGATAAAAAACACCCATCTCAACATTTCTATTTCATTATTTTAAATAGTTTAAAAAGATAGCAAGTCCAACTTACATGTGGTTCAAACTTGGCAGATGTGACAGTGAGAAATGCTGCTCTCCCATTGGACAGAACAGTGGCAAATCCCCCCAGCAGAGGGCTGTATTCCATGTGGGGAATGTTCACATTCTCTTCCTGTACTGTGGAAGCTGATTTACAAAGATATATTATTTTACACAAAGTGGATTTTTTAAAGTATGCTGATGATACATTGCTACACTATAGATTTTATTTATTTGTTTGTATTTTATTTACTTTTTATTCCATAATTTTTTTGATTGATATCTTATAAGTAAGAGCTCTTTTCTCTTTAGGACTGTTTTATCCCCTATTGGGGGATTTACTGATTATCAAAGACAACCACCTACCCCTTGAGAACTGTAGGTCTGTAGAGAATGGAACTGTCTTGACATTGACTGACATCTGCCCATTGCTGCAGCCATCCCAGCGTATCCTCTGTATATAACCAGTGTACGTGGACAGCAACAGGTCATCACGAACACACAGGAGACTACAATTACAATAAATGTATGTGTGTGTCTATACATGAAATTTTCATTTTACAGAAAACATGCACACAACATAAATAATCACACTACAACTTAATCAAAATAATATTTTACAGTCTGATTACATAAAGTCACACAATCTTATTGAGGAAATATTGGGGTACCATTAAGAATTAATTTAAGCAAACTGCCACTTATTAACATTCTTTCAGCAATGAAGACAAATAAATTATTCAAGAAAAATAATAGGTAAGACCATACATTTCTACTTTTACAGGTTGTTAAGCATACAATCCAGTATTTACTCACCATGTCACCCCTCCCTGTATCTGTATATAAGACAGCTGTGACACCTTGAGAGCAGGGATACCCTCACCATTAAGAAGATCCCCAGTAGCTTTGCGGGGAGGCAGGCTCCTTCTGAAGAATTAAAGGTCCAACATATTAATGTGATTCAAAATTTAAATGTGCCTTTTGTTTATTTCAGCACAGTCTGCAGAAGTGTCCTGATAATATTGCAGAACCTTTTACCAAAAAGAGCAAACAGGGAAGAACCCTTTAAAAAAAAAAGACACACATACACACACACACACCCACCCACCCACCCACACACACACACTTAGCAATAAATTTCAAAAATTGTAGCATCAAACCAATTTATCATCCTAGACATTATTCCATTAATTTAATATTATAATAAAATTACATATAAATTGTCTTTGCTTTCCCTTTGTTAAAATCTACATATCACTTTCATTGTAAAAAAGAGACTTCTAATAGAAAAAGTAACAAATGAAAATATTTTGAACGTTTTGAGCACTGAATGTTAGTCATATTTGATGTAGGGAAACAGAAAATTCTGATAACACATAACTGGTTTAGATTTTTAACAAGAACATTTTACTACAATGGAAGATCACTGCCTACTTAAAAAACTTCTTAATTAATGACAAGTCTTATTCTACAGCCTGGCCTTGACAATAAATCAGTTGTTTGCACCCACTGTACCATTATCATTTCATGCACAGCTACTTAGAGCACAAAATTCCATGCTTTTAACATGTGTGACATGCAATACAGTCACTTATCTTCATCAGACTTGATAAGCCTATTATTTTGTTCAATCATTCTGTATTAGATATTGCCAGCATAAATGTGCATCAGCATTTATTAATTCAACCTTTGTTTATAAAGTTATATCGCAACTTAAACCTATTCTCAACAGCAAAGCTTAAGTGCTCTATCATTATTTGCCATAAATNCCCCTAAAACACACATTTTCATGAACATATGACAAGGTCATTTTGACATTAATTTTCTATATTTCAAATTCAATAAAAATTTTTTTTTTAAGTGGATCATAAAAGTGTAAGACCCCAACTTTAATTTGGCATCAATTTTTTTCCATTCATTCACAATTTATTTTTCATGTACAAAAGTGGGAACTTTTACCCCCTTATTCGCACTCATCCTTTCAAAAATTGTAGCATCAAACCAATTTATCATCCTAGACATTATTCCATTAATTTAATATTATAATAAAATTACATATAAATTGTCTTTGCTTTCCCTTTGTTAAAATCTACATATCACTTTCATTGTAAAAAAGAGACTTCTAATAGAAAAAGTAACAAATGAAAATATTTTGAACGTTTTGAGCACTGAATGTTAGTCATATTTGATGTAGGGAAACAGAAAATTCTGATAACACATAACTGGTTTAGATTTTTAACAAGAACATTTTACTACAATGGAAGATCACTGCCTACTTAAAAAACTTCTTAATTAATGACAAGTCTTATTCTACAGCCTGGCCTTGACAATAAATCAGTTGTTTGCACCCACTGTACCATTATCATTTCATGCACAGCTACTTAGAGCACAAAATTCCATGCTTTTAACATGTGTGACATGCAATACAGTCACTTATCTTCATCAGACTTGATAAGCCTATTATTTTGTTCAATCATTCTGTATTAGATATTGCCAGCATAAATGTGCATCAGCATTTATTAATTCAACCTTTGTTTATAAAGTTATATCGCAACTTAAACCTATTCTCAACAGCAAAGCTTAAGTGCTCTATCATTATTTGCCATAAAGCAGTTTACTTGACAGACACATAGTGCAGATGGAATTATGATCAATACATGTACAAGTAGGTGACAAGAATCCTGATTCTTAAAAGTAAAAGGATACTTTGATGAATGTAATGAGGTCAAATAATGAAAATATTTTAATATTCCAGCTATGATTTTAATTGAGAAACATCATGATAAGAACTATGATGTCTGTCTGGGGTGTGCAGAGCATGCAAAAAAGATATGAGGTTAATTAATATGATCTGTTGAGAGACACCGTCTTTCCTTTTAAGAATCCCTAGCTTCAAAGAACTATAATTTTATCAGACAGTAATTATTTGTATAAATACAATGGACATGACAAACACCCCATTTCCATAGATTTTTAGATCGATCTATCCCTGTGGGGAGTCTCACTAGATTACTGTCAGCTTGGCCGGCTTAAGCATCTGTCCCGCCTACTAAAAGCTGTAAGGGGGTAATTAACTATGGTGCCCGCTCGGCTGACTGCAATTTAGCGTGAACCCCCAGGGAGTTAGGTCGATCCAAATCTTAATCTCTAGATCGATCTAAATCTCTGGGAAAGCACCCATAGACCAAGCAAAAACCTTAAGTCACCATACCAATCCATAGTCAACAAAAATGCCTTTTATTTTGCACTTTTCTCAAATAATAATGGAATGTAGACAGTTTTATTCTACTTAAATAAAAAAAATCTCCATCTCAAAAGAGTAAGGCTGGGATACTCTGTTACCAAGTAGTGCATGAACGAACACATTTCAAGAAAATTTGCTCTTCAACTTTAGGGGTAATTTACTAGGATATTTGTCTACATCTAAATGTCTGCCTTTTAATTTTTTATATAACATATAATAACAATAAATTATATTTGGCAAATATAAATTCTTACAATTTGGACTCATACAACTACACTTATATCCATGCATTATCCGCCTACTTAAATACAAACACACTGAAAACATTTAAAACTGCAAATTTTCTGTAATTTAATCAACACGTTCTAAAATGTTTTCATTTTCTAATCTATGAATAGCACTGTATCCAACATCAAGTTGTTTAAAAGCATTTCTTTTTAAAAAATCTATAAAAAGATGGTTGTCTGTGTGAATAAAATATCTTTTAACTTATCAAAGCTTTCTCACTGTCATTTATTAATTTAGTACACATTTTCTGATAAATTTTATCAGCAGGTAGTTAGTTTGATCTCTTTTCACATAATTAATTCATAATGGAGCTATCAACAACTCATGCTTTATTTACAAGATTTGGCACTTAAAATAACTGCAGTTTTACAAGTGCGCTTGTAACTGTTTGGACCCATCAAAATTAATCAGGTTAATTGGTCATGTCGATTGTGCAGGCTGTCTTAAGTAATAGCTGGGCCATTTAATTATCAAGCTCTAAAAGCATTTTGGTACAGATATATGCACAATGTGAAAAGGACCCATGATTAACTGACTTAAGGACCATATCATTCTGATTAATCTATTGTATTGAAAACTACAATACTAGCAACCTGAGATCATTTTGGGGCCTACATCTACACAATGGGAAAGAGGTCTATTCACTGTTACACTGATAAAGTTTTTCTTCCATCCAAAATCAAAAATAGTCTAAATAGTTTTGTACTCAACTCAAATGCTAATGTGGTGAACCAATATCTTCAAACATATGCTACAATTTGTGAGATCACTAGTTCACTACTTATTAACGCATTTTAGGACCATACCTGCCATCTTTCTGCACATATATACTTTGGTGATTGCCAACATTTTCATCTTCTTCCACTTTGTAGAACAAAATATAACCTTTGGATGTCTAAAGGGAAAGAAAATCAAATGAAAAAAGGAAAATTACACAAACGCTGATGAGCGATATGTGTATATTCAAATAAAAAAATGCACTTTTTATATGTAGAGGGAATAAAATATTGAATTTCACAGTCTTCTATCTATTTTTCAAATTGTGCTTTTATCCAGGGGATAAGTTTTAAATTCTAATAAACAAGAAAACTGTTACATCTGCTCAAACAATGGATTTTTACTAAGTGAAAATACAAAGTTTGAATGTAACTGTACACTTAGCTTAGGTCAAGTGAAGAAAAAACATGTCTTGAAAATTCCTTCTAAGGACATATGTTAGTTTGGCACTGTGCATAGTGATGGTTGATAGGTACAAGAAAAACCTTGATGAACAATCCACATTTATTAGCTCAGCCTTTAGCTGTACTTTTTTCCATGGTAAAATCTGGCGTGCTGTCACACTACTGACACAGACACTTAGCCAAAAGCTAAACATAAGTTAACAAATCTGTTGCATAGATTAGATCTATAGCATAGATCCTTACTGTTATGGCTATCATGCTGGAATCTGGTCTCCATTCTGCTGTTCTGTTCTCTCCAAACTCTGATACTGAATTTTCAGATCTTCTAAAACTAAGAATTTCAACACAGGGCTGAAAAAAAAAAAAAAAAAAAAAAAAGATATGTACAGCTGCTTAATATATTGGTGTATTCTACAACTGGAATGACATTAATTATTGCTCAATTTCTAAAAAGATATTTAATACATTAGTAAGTTTTTAAAATGTTGAAAAATGGATATTGTAGGAGAACGATTGGGACCCTTGTTTACAACTTTAAATAACATTCACTAGTCAAATAAATATTGACGAAGGTTTCAAATTCCAAAAATGACCTGCTCAATACTGTATATTCCGTAATAAAGTATCAAACTGTCATACTTTTTCACCGCAATATTCCGCTGCTTTAAGTTAATACTGAGGAGTCGAACTGTGAATTCCTCCTCTAAGCTCTAATTTTTTAAAGAAAAAATCTGTAAACTTACCTTGCAAAACCATATGCAGAGTGAATTACCGGTAAGGATGGCAAAAAGCGAACGATCCCTGTTGCTTACGATGTAAATGGGTGGCAGTGGGTGATCTTGTGGTATCGAAAGATACTTTGGCCACCCAACTGGGAAATACATGGCGTAAAATAAAGATAAATAAGAAATATAGTTGCACGTCAAACTTTTTCCGCCATGTTGATTAGTGTATCAGCCTTGAACTTGACCCAGTTTGAACCTTTATTTTTATACGATTCAATTTTTATAAATAAACTGTTTATGCTGTACAATGTCAAATGAATGTGAAAAGTAAATCTTAATCTTCTTGGTTTACTCGGGAAAGTTGTTAATGTTAAGGAATGTAGCATGCTTTGCTGCGGAAATGTCGGAAGTTGGGGACGGCCTGTGAGAATCGAAAGGATAATGATTGTACGATTATATTCCCTTAATTTGATAAAGATTTTGGCCAAAAGAGTGATGCAAAGTCCAGCTTTCACACATATTATATAAATTTATACTTAGGTATAATTTCAAGTCCTTTTGGATTCCTATCTTAATATTCAGTTTGATCAATGACAATGAACTATATTACATTCCCCCATCGATTCTTCTCATAGTTGTAGCAACAATGTGGCGATCGATTGCACAGTGAGCACTGATGTTAGGTACTTTTTCAGTAGATGCATAAGTTGAACAAAGGAGAAAGTTATTCGTAGACATTATAGAAAACTATTTCCTTGTGAAAACACTTAAACTAACCGCTTTGGGATTGTCACAGCTGGACTTGAAAGCATTTGCGGTAAGTTTCACTGTATTACTATCACGCTCCACGGCAGGCTACTTGTCATTGGAAGCCAATGTTTACACTACTGGCGGTCTTCAGTCATGAGAGGAACCGCTTCAGTTGGAGTTAAAGACAAAGAAATATTTCAACTTTCAATATGGAATTCAAATGCGGAAATTAAATGCGTGTAATTTTTGTGATGTTAAAACAGCCTGCTATCATTGTGCCGATTTTCTGCCTTAATTCAGATGATGTATTTTCTGAATCAATGAAAATGTTAACGAGACAGAATTCTTTCAGTACAAAAAGATATACACCAAACTTTTCAGTTATTTCCTATATTAATAATATGTTCATTGATCTCATTCTCTCATTTACATTTGGTATTACTGGTACATATACCAAGATTCAGAAGGTTTTGCTGCTACTGTTAATAGAATAGTTTGAAAGAAAATTGCAAGCTACTTTAACAATTCATGCAGCATCCAGCAATGGCATACACTGTATGGTTTAAGGCCTGTGCATGTACAGTGTTCAGGGATTCATTTGGTGTTTATCATTCTGTATAAAATGCCTCATTCAGCTATTATATGAAAATATATGTAAGTAATGGGTTTCTCTCAGAGATGTTAGAAGTGAAATACGATATCATTAAAGTTAAAACTCCCATCACCTACTGGATTTCATACATTCACTGAAGACATAAAGCCATAAAACAGATGTACTAGAGTCAGAAAATTGGCTTGTTTATCTTCAGTTAATATGCCAATTAATTTCCCTTAATACATAGACTTAGTAATAAAACAAAACAGAAATTTATTAGTCAATATCTATACTGCTCTTCAGATTTGAAATGTGGGAAAATACATAGGATTTCTGTTATGATGTCTCCTTTTTTGTTTATTGATACCTTTTACACATAAATATTGAAAGACATGATACACTCATTTGATTTAAAATTGATTTTTTTTTCATCAAATATTTGTTTACAGTATTACCAGAAAGTGAAAATCATGTTCCTTACAGGAACAAAGTTTAATGAAAATTATAAGTAAAAAAGATTAATTAATAAATTTCCAAACTAATTTATTTGACTAGTAGAGACATTGATCAAAGTCACTTAACTTTGATAAACATTGAAAATTAGAGTAATAGGGGGAAGGGGAGAGATTACGGCATAAGTTCCAACTACTTTTGGTGAAGTGTTTTTTGAGAAATCTGTTTCAAAAATATTCTTACTGCTTTTTCTGTCTTCTTTGTGCTACTCCAAAATTGTAAATTAAGCAAATAACTGTCCAATTGATATACCATACTTTGCATATACACTTGTTCATTTTAAGGTGTCATAAGTTGTAGTACAGGACAATGACCACAGATGTTGCCAGGGACAAGGCAGCTCGGCTGCTAAAAAGGCGAGGCAGTGCCTCCTCCATGGCGAGTGCTGATGTCCTCAGACCCCCAGATCACAGGCACAAAAAAGCTGGAGCAGGGTAAGAATAGATTCTCATTCACTATCCCTGTAAATCGGGATAATAACCATTAAGCCTCAATTCTTTGGACCTTTTGTGTACCTTTATATCAGAGATCTTCTGTAACTATAGTTGTTTTCTTTAGAAATCATATAGGTAAGAGAGGTTTGATATCACTTATATGAGAATGTAACATTTACACAATAAAATTTACTTGTAGTTTCAAAGAAATTGATGACTTATTTTGCATTGCATTTTAGTGAAAATTACTTTTATGCTGATGCTGGTCTTTGTTTTATTAGAAAGGATTCTTTTTTTCAGAAACCTTTTTTGGCAAGTTATACTTTTACATTTCAAAAACAAAGTTGCCCCATCATAAGTATATTGAACAAATGCAACGTTAAATGTAAATTCATCTCTGTGGGTAAATTCATGAGTGAAAATTAAGCTCACAGAACTTCTCATTACTTTTATTATTGTTTTTAACTTTTACCTTTTTATTCAAAAACAATAACAGTAATGTTGAAATGACATATGAAAATACAGCAGTGTTTTGGACAGAACAGCTGTGTTGACAAGGTAACAAAACAATAAAGAGAAACAACATATTTTCTTCAGTGTTTATGGCTATTAATATATTTTATTTGTTTGAGAATGTTACAAAGCTTTTATCTTAAGACATTTAATAACTTGCTCTCCATGGTGCATAACTGTGTTTGGGTTCTGGAGCTTGTCGCTTGATTGTGCTTTTAGTTGGCCAAGTTGCATAGTAATATTTCATTGACCCACTTTGTTGCTATGGTTACTGTTTGAGAAGATCTTACAGTAATCAGAACAGAAAAGAGGCAAGATAAGGTATAAGATAAAGTGATGTTGTTGAGTCAGAAAAAAATCCCAAGCAACCTTTTGCTTTGTTGAAGTATATGTTATACCTGAAACTTATTCAAGCTAATTTATATGTTCAGTGTACATATGGTGATGTAATTAGTGTTGTGTATATTTGTTTTCTCAGTCAGTAAGCTCAATAAAGCATTTCTTAGGGTAAACAAATGACGTTGCAGTTACTAAGCTGAAAAAATGGATTACAGGACATAAGACTTGCACTACTCTATATTATCAATACTAAAAGGCTGGATTAATATTAGTAATAATACCTATTACATCTCTGAATCGCCATTCTTAAAACAAAGATGACATCAATTTCATAGGAATAAAAGGTCAGCCTACTGGTCATATAGACATACCTTAAATATAACAAAAGAAAGTAGTCACAAGTAGATATGATTTGATCTGTTACAGATAAAGTACTAGCAAAGTTAAAAGATAAAACTTTTTTCACAGCATTTAGATGTTCACATATGTGTGTGTGTGTGTGTGTGTGTGTGTGTGCAATCCGCTGGGTGCCTAACGACCCCATTACCAGAAACATGATATGTGTGGCATTTGTGCAGACTTAAATACCTCATGTCCAGAATAATTTCAACAACTTCAGTACCATGTCTTGTTTGATTAGGCAGGTGCTCAATTGCAAGAACTTTTAATGGATTTGACTTTTATACTGGTTATATTTTTACAGTTATGCTGCTTTATTTATGTAGGCAAGAACACAATATCTCTCTACAACAGCCTTTTGTGAAATCTTTTTTGTAGGTCTAAAATTTGTTGGTTTTCTGCACCCCTATTTATTTACTTTGTAAAGAAAATTAAACAGAGAAATTGGAGCAGAGTTTTAATAGTGTTTGCTCAGAACATTGTGATAATACTGTACCAAAAGTGCTACCACAAAGATTTCAAGACTTTTTATTTCAAAATAAAATACAGATTTTTTTACGTATTTAAAAGCAGGTAATTATCCGCGAGGCAATCCCACAAATACTGCAAAAGTTAGGTGGGAGTTGCAAATGCTAAGTAAACATTTACAGCAACTAGTCTGTGTTTCTGTGTGAAATTATGAGACAAGCTAATATTAAGGAAATCACATTCAATTTATAGTTTATTATATGGTGAAAAACACAATAAACTTTAAACTAAAGCTGGGCAAAGTTATTTTTCTCAAATATTAACAGATTTAGGGCAATATGCATAAATGAAAATGTCATCTGTGTTTGACAGTGTACTAGTGAGTAGGTATCATACATATATCTGAATTGGTACAATGACCAGATTTAAATATTTCATTTATTTTTCTGTAACTGCCTATTAGAAATGAAAAAAAAGAAAAAAAAAACAAAAACAAGCAAACAATAAAACAATAATAATAATAATAATAATAAGGGAACATTAATGCCTAAAAATTAATAATCTACCATGGTTCACATCATCTTAAGGGACTCTATACAGGATTTATCCTTTGAAATTAATTTTTCTCTGGAAAACAGCAAATTTTCTCCCACTCACAAATAATTGCTAGACCCATAAATACACTTATATTCAATGTTTTACTCCAGTTTTTAGTTAATAGCTTAGTTATTAATTAGTGACTGGCCATTTAGAATACTATGTCTTCCTGTACATTACAGAAAAGACTTATCGATGACATGTATTTTTATTTTGCACTTTTATAGTTTTTAAGGTCTGAATTGGGAAAAATTAGTAGATTTAGATTATAAGACTTAAAAATATGACCTTTGGAAATTTTCAAAGGTTTACAGTATATCTTTAAAAGTGGAATCTCTTGTGAATTTTTTAAATAAATAAAAACCTCAATATCAACTCTAGCATATGATATGTTAATTTACTTTTGTCACTTTTGTGTTTTTTTCCCCCCTCCAGATCAGTGAGTACAGTGTCTTACCATGATGACCCTGGCCATGAAGACCTACACATGGGTGGCCATGTTAAGATGGAGAACACATATCAACTGGCACCTAGCACACGGTTTCCAATAGGCTCAGTAAAGGGTATCATTAGGGATGTATTAGATAGCTACCTGGCAGAGGAGAGATATTCACCTGAACTCTGTAGGCAGATGACAAAAACCATTTCAGAGGTAAAGTGGTGCAGCTTAGGTACCATCCTTGAGAAAAAAAATGCTGTAAGCTAAATTGAAGATTTACCAAAGTCATTTCATGTCAACAGACTGCCTCTGCTCATGCTTACTTCTTTGCAGGTGTATAGGTTTATCATGCATATAATGCTCATCATTTTATTTGTAATTTGATAGGTTAAAGTTTTCAGGATTATGTCCGATTTCAGGATTTTCTGTCTTCATTTGATCGTTTTTTTTTTTCATACATTCTAAATGCGATGAGAAATTGCGAGCTACATTTTCAGTTATTACAACTTCACCCATATAATTATGATATTCTAGTTTATTTATAAAAAAAAACTGTTTTATCATTTCCAGGTGGTAAAAGCCAGAGTCAAGGAGCTGATGATTCCCCGGTTCAAGATCATATGTCTGGTCACTATAGGTCAGCTGAAGGACCAAGGCTGCCGTGTTAGTAGCCGTTGCCTCTGGGACCCTAGCAATGATACATATGCATCTTATGAGTTTCGCAACAGTTCACTGTTTGCAGTAGGTATGGTATTTGGTGTGTACACTGAATGACCACACTGTGAACACAAGATGGACAAGTGCCCCAGGTCAAATGTCATGGGACAAGTGGTTAGGGTCAAGTGGCTCAGGACAGTTGCCCTGAGACAAGTGCCCTTGCTGAGATTTTAAATTGAGAATATTTAAGTAGAAGTGCTGTGCATTTGCTTTCCTCCGAGACTTCTGTGAAATGGAAAAGTTCTAGAAAATGTGCCATGAATTACAGCAATATATTTTCAAGAGAATTAATCATTAAAAATCAAAATTTAAAACAAGTGGCAATTTAATAATCTTGAAAAAACTGTTATGAATTATTTGTTACCCATGTTATTTTTTTGTGTGTGCATGTTGCATGCATGAGGTTATTATCTCACCTACCAATTTATTAAACACACATAAATACATACAGAGAAGTGTACATGCAAAATTGTACAGTATATTTTTTCTTCATTGCATAGTTTCAGTTTCTTAAGACTTAAGTTGTTACTCTTTACTGCCGATCAGGAAACAACTGTAACAGTTACAGGTCATTTACATTACTGGAATTGTAGAATCATTACAAGAAAACAGGTATAATCTATGCAGCGAATTATCTTCTAAGTCAATAATAAGGATTGTTTGATCAAGATGTTAATTTATATTTGATACACTTTTTTAATGACTTACCGGGGTATATGCATTGTTATTGGGTAAAAATCTATTATGTAACATGGTCTTACATCAGGCACTTAATACATTTTGTGAGAGCTGGATTCAGTCTACTGCAAATGGCAGATTTCATTAAATTTCTAGAGAGATTTTAGGCTGACATTTAAGGGAGATTTACATAAAGAAAACAGGTTAGGACAGTGTATCAGATAGTGACCAAAAAGCCCTATTTTTTGTCCTACGGCCATAAATGTAAGGGTAAAAGTGGGCAGTGAGATTGTATTTATATAGTATTTTTACTTTTTTTGCCAAATGAATTTATATTTCATTGAATTGTGAGTGCAAGTTCTTTTAATGCCAAGCTAAATGATTGATCTACATTCTTTCTTCAATGAATACAAATGAACTCAAACCAAAGACTTTTTTGAAGTACTACTTGCTAGTCATAGGCATGTGGATGTTATTTTACGGCTAAACTAGTCTAAGCGGCAGACTTACACTGTTCTGTGTACAAGTTTATTATGTCAACATTTGTCGAACAACATGGAGGTGTTAACTGCTACATGCAGCAGCAGTTATGCAATGGTCTAGGGTCATATATCAATGATTTATTTTGCATACTTTTGTACTCGTAGAATCCAATCCTTGACATAAAAATCTATATATTAAAATTCTATTTTTCTGCCATCTGTAAAGATGTCTTTCACTATTCATTTACTATTTATATTGTAATTATTTACCTTTTTCCAGGAACATAGCAATAAAATAATTTTTTTAGATTTAATGCTAGTTGGGTCTCCATTACAACTTGCATTGCATTACAACTTACATTCAGCAGTTGTAACTGCAATAGTATGCTTGCAGATGGGATAAAAAGACTATTATAAGAATAAAACATCACAAACTGAATTCAAATATGAAGAAGCCATATCAAAAGCAAGTCATTTGCCTTTAACAAGTGAATAAACTAAGGTAAGAAGTCTCCTTACTTTACTCTATCATCTTCATAGGGACATACTCCCCCATGTTTCAAGCAAAGCTCTACTTGGAACAAAAATTACATCACAATTGGAAGAGCAGTTCTCAATAACTCAATGAGCACTGTATTTCTTGTGCTTATAGGCATTTAAATGACAATCACTTCTTCATATATCTGTGAATATCGACAATTCAGTTTAAATAACAAATTACCTTGATAAATTAACAACTTAATCTTAAGTTGATTGCACACTTGTTGGCTTTATAACTGCTACTGGCCAAACCAAAATATACAGAAGGATCATAACAGAGACCATGTCAAAGTGATCCTTAAATACTTTTGTATTTGTGCAAATCTTAAATGGACTGGGAAAAAAATAGATATATCTGGAAAAAACGATCCCAATAAGTGCAGCAGCCATCAAAAGTTTTATCTCTGATATTTTTTATGTTGATTTTCTTTGTTTATATCATTTTGGCAGTGCTAAAATATTTCTTGCAATTTCTAATGAACAAACAGATCAGTTTGCACTAATCAGTAATGCTCCTTTTTAATGCATGGATTAGATAAAAAAATACTTATTAACTTTTAATGCTGCAATCTAGAAGTGGGTACAAAAAGTATGACTTGTACAAAGCAAGGCAACTGCAGAAGCATGTTTAGTAGACCTCTAACAAAGACACCAATCACAATAGTATACAAATGTACATATCCAGTGTAGGTAAGTGTTTCAAGTGCACCTTGAATTTAACAAAATCTGTTAGACAGGCAAGCCTTGAATAAAAATTGGCATAGGTCTGTACGCACACTCAGACGAAAGTGGTGGAAGGCATTAAAACAATCTTTTATTGCTCAATGACTATACACCATAAAACTGTTTCTAGACATAGCACCATATTGTAATTAAATGGAAGAAGTTTTGTACACAACCGCAAAATAAGCCAAAAAAAATTTACAACATACAATGTCAACCTCCTGTACTCAATTATTCCATTAGTGAGACAACTGTCAAGCAAATGTCCTCTTTTACATTTTCAGCAATGTGTTGGCTGGGGTTGTCAACTCTACACATGACATACCCTACATGCATTTGAAAGTGGACTCCCTATGCTTTCAGTTGCAAGTCTACTCTTAAAACACAGCAAACAATGAATTTTTCCATTTTGGCACTCCTGGTTAAATGTCAGATCAATTCTTCAAACAAGAGTGACTGGGCCAACCATGTAAGATAAATTATCCCTTAGATGACCCAAGTAACTCTAGTTTAACCATCTTTCTATCCTACCTTTGTCATCTAAATAGGGACTGTGTCCACACAAATATATCTGTGAACATATTAAGCAGCTATCTCAACAGAGAGCGAGTCATCAGTAGTTTTCCTTTGCCAAGTCCATTATCTGCCTGGCAATCAGCACAACTCTTTGGTCAGTATCTGCAGACCTCAACAATGCTCTGATTAAACTGCTTCCTCCCTCCTCCTTAAGCATTGGGCAGTAGCGACTTGCTGTAGGAAAACAAATGAAGTTACATGTAGAATAATCATTTTGAACCAAGAACGCTTATGGCTACAGATGTTACTTCAAGGTCAAAACTCAAATAAATAATAGTTGACATAACTATCAGAACCCTAACATATTGTGAGAATGTTTTGATGGACATGATCATTGAGCACTGAAACATGTTTTCATTAGCTATGGCAGGTTTTTTCTTACCTGTTATTGTTTGCAAGGTGTAAAAAAACTGCTTGTATCAACATCTATGGAAAATTAAAACAACACTCTACTAATTAGCTTTTGCAATCTACATAAAAATTAGAAATATGGTGTGTCAGGAAATGTGAATTGGGTATTTAGATCTGAATGTCTGGCTTACCATTCTTGGAGCAGACATGGTGTATAGCCCAAACAGCCCACAGCTGGACTTCTGAAGGACTGCCACATTGTAGCAGGGGAAAGAATGGGTGGAAAGACCTACAGAAAACATTGCAGGTATTCATAAAGATGTAACAATCCATAATTATCAAATTTACATAATAATCAACTGCATAACATATATTACATCTTGTTGAAATTGCAAGCTGCAGTATGTACCGAACACTAGGTTATAAAAACACAAATTTGTCAAAAATGCCTCTTAATATTGTTCACAGGTTACATTTGAAGCATTACCTGTATGCCACCATTTCATTGTTTGGTTGAGACCAGCACCCCACAGCTTGACCCTAGAAAAGGAAAGTTGGTATAAATTCTTCAGATTCATACATCACCCTGACTGCTATCAGTTCAAGATAATGTGCTCATGTTCAAAACTACATATACTTGAATAGGATGTTATCTATATCTTCTTAACTAAAGAACCAGTTAAGTACCAATTCCAGTAGTAGTTCCTTCCTGAGTGCCTGTCTCCCTAGCCATAAAGGTTCCACACTGATCAGGTGGGAGACAATACCAGCAGCAAAGTAACTCACATCTATGTGTTTGGATGCAAGGAGTCGTCTGTACAGAGAGAAACAAAATATATATGAATGAGACTTTATATTATTAGATTATTCATTATGCTAAATTATAATATTTATCTTTTACTCAAAAATAATAAATCACCCGTCTCCAAAGAAACATATAACAGGTGAATCACCCGTCTCCAAAGAAACATATAACAGGTGAATAATTTAAGTATTCATAATATGAAATGTGGATCCATATCCTGATCATATCCCTACCTGTGTGCCTCTATGCATTCATCATTCAGCAAGCGTTCTCGAAGATCTGGAACCTCTGCAATATTGTTCTGAAACAAAACAATTATTTCATCACAACCCATTTCTATTCACTACTGACTTGTCAATAACTGAATTCTAATTTCTGCCAAGATGGACAAATTTAAAATGCTACAGAAAAAATACAGGACTGTTCAAATAAAAGCTATCAGTAAATGTGACTCATATCCCCTTTCCACTAGTACTGCTCTGTTGGAATAAAAGTGGAGAACAAGAATTAAGTGCAATCTATTTACATTTATACATTTTTCTAATATTAATGAAGACTTACCAGGAGTCCAAGAACTTTAGTTTCAATCTGAATCCTTTTGTCATCTGCAGCTGATACATAACTCTAAATATAAGCAATGTAAACAATAATCAGCAATCAAAAATAGTGACAATACATCAGACAGAAAAAGAAAACAGCATATGTTTAAAAAGCACTTAATTCTTTCACCGCATTCTCAGTAAAAATTGACAGAAAAGTTTGAATTTATCTTCATAGCTAATGACATAACAGCACTTACCTCTAACACTTGCATGAACAACTCCAGGCCACCTTCACTGATAAATATACTGCAAGTGGCAGGAGATTCATCTGGAATAGTGGAGAAATTCATATTAAGTCAAATCCCAATAACTTTACTAATACATAATAAAGCTAGAGCAGTTATCTCAGAATCCATTTTACTTTGATCAATGTATTTAGAAGACTTTCAATTTACATACTTACCTGTAAGATTCCAAAGAGCACTGAGGCTGAACTTCATGGTGATGTCCACCACCTGTGACTCAGCTTTCTCCTTCACAATAGACAGCAGTTTTTGCATGTACCGAAGTTTAGTGCCAAGCTGAGATGTCTGCTCAGTTGGGATCTGAAAGGTTTTTAATGACAGCTGCTCAAACTACAGATTTCAATCTTCTGAGACTTTTTGCCTGTAAGAAAGTATACCCACATACTTGAAAATTGTGTCTAACTGAATAAATTCCTCAAAACAACCAGAAATTTTATAAACTTGCTTTGAAATCTTGCTCACACCTTGTGTAAAGGCATAAACTCACCTTTGCAGCTAGGATGGAGCATATTGCCACAGCCATCCTGCTCATGGAAGGGTCATCAAAGGAACAAAGACATTCCATTACTAGACGGGCACATCGAAATCGATCAAAAATCTGAAAATAAATATGAAGATTAAAAATAGCAAGTATTCTTCTTCATGTCATTTGCAATTAAATTGCTTATTAAAAATCAACACTAAATTGCCACCGCATCTACTAGATAAGTTCTGAGCTCCAAATAAAATATTTCAATGCAAAACATATTTCTTACCACTTCCTGCAATATCCTATCACTGCACAGAGTCAATAATGTATTCTTCTGGAGCTAAATATCACAAAATAAAGCAACATTAAAGATAGTTTCTTAAATGAAAACAATTTTCACAATCTGCACATGGTATATTGTAAGTGTACCAAATCACACATGTAGAGAGAATGAGAGCTTTTACATGTGTTATGATTCACTATGCTAGACACTCTGACAACCACAATGGCTCAAGTGCTCAGGGCATGCTGTCCTTTGGCTAGTTGTAATTCGGTCATTTTCTGACTATACATCAGCTAACAAGTCTTCAAATGGTGACAAGAAATGTTAAATTTGGTTATCTACATATATGCCCAAAAACTTCTTGGTTGCAACAAATATAAGCAATATATCCTGGCACATACTTCCAGAAAAAAAAAAAGAATTTGTGATTTTGGCATCCAACGTCTAAACATGATTATGCATGTCATCCATTAGCAATATATTATACATAGATATTAGTACCATTGCTAGCTAGTGATTTTATTAATTTCTTTCAAATGCTGATAAAAGAAAAACACCAAACCTGCTGATGATTAGGAAAGTTTTCCATGGCATCCAAAGTGAGTTCCACAACCCTCCTCAGACAGCTTGGGTGTGTCTTCACTCCAAAGTCTGCCTTGGTCAGGTTATACAGACATGCTGTGGCTGCCATCTGCACTCCCAACTCTCTGCTGTGATTCTTCATCCCTGGCAAGATCACCTAACATACAAGTCAGTAACTATTTACAAGACCAATATAAATAGGTGTTGAATCATTTATAACCTTGGGTCATATAACCTAGGATCATCCCATTGAACTACAAGGATATTGTATATGAACATGTAACTGCCAGCACATTATGTTGTAGTGTTGAATGGTGCTCTAATCTGAAATAGCATGGAAGCAAGGAGAATGTTGGTCAAAATATGTCCCACATTACTTTCCTTAAGTAACCACACACTAGTGGCACCCTAATGTATGTTGTCTATAATCCTACAGTGAAGCTACACAATCTACTTACATCAATGAGGTCCGCTCTTGCCTGTGAGATACCATGTGTCAAGCTAAACAGGTTGTACAGAGATTTCTGCACAAACAAACCACGATCAGAGTACTTTTTGAGAGCTTCGACAATCTGACGTTCCGTGGCATCTCCAGTTACCTGAAATATAAACAATAATACAGAATATACAATTACAGAAAATACAATTGCATGCTGACAAAAAAACCTATCTTGCAATCCTGTTATAATATATAATATCATGCAACTTCTAGGGTCACTCCTTGGTATTCCCCTACTTTACAATATGTACCCTTCATCATTGTTTTTGTCACTGAAGGCAAATAAATAAAACTGAAAAAAATGCCAATTACTTATTTGGTCTCTCCCACATTAGACAAAAAGTGACATAAAAAATCTGTAGATTTTATTCTTTCTAATAGTCTATTTGGAAACTTCTGATATGTAAGCAAATAATAATATCCTTGTTATGCTGCAATGAATGTTTGCTTTAAAATGAGCAAGAACTTTCTTAAATTCAATTATATATGGATTTAAGAATTCAAACACACCTGAGTGAATACAGAACATAAAATGCCCTACTACAGGTGTCTGAGCAGGTATGGTATGTAAAACAAAAACTTACCTGTAGATTTTTCCTGAAATCTGTACTGCTCTCCTCTGTGAACATTGTCATGAAGCACAATTCAGTCAAAGCTAGGCCAATGAATTTTACATTAGGATGATTTTCTAGGAAACAACTGTAATTAAATGCAAAATGAAATATTATTTAAAGAAGAGCAATATATGTATTGATATAACTACTATCGTTTCAATGTAAAACAGACAAATGTTTTAGTGCCTTTCTTCAGGAATTATGGCCATATAATTCAAGTAATATCATGTTGCTGTTTTATGTTCTATATATAACATACATATACCCCAGATCTGTACCTTAACTGTGCCTCCGATACCCCATCTGTGCCTGAGATATCCAGGTAATCTATGTGTGGGAAACAGGGTGGAGTTCTAGCAAGTATTTCTGCAAAGGTGCCCTTCCCTTCTGGTTCTGCAAGTGGAGTAACAGTAGCATCATCAGAAACATCCAGACATCTAAGTTTGCTGAGCTCCATCAAAACTGCTGCAAAGTCTGGATTGTTGACAGCCCCAAGTTTATACATTTTAAGTACCCGTAACCTGGTCTTACACCGTTTAAGGGCAGTAATATTGTTCACTAGAGTACAAGATATATCCAACTTCTCTAACAGAGGTAGCTGTTGTGTTATAAGCTCCAAGTCATGTCTATTAAACTTGGTGCTAGACACATTCAGATGCTGCAATCCTTTGAGCCGGGACAGATAAAGAATCAAACCATATTTGGAAAATATAAAAGAACTTTTTCCAACATCCAGCAGTCGTAAGTTGGTCAGTGACCAGTCACTTAAACAGCTGATGATATTGTTAATATTAACATAATTCATCCCACTTGCCCTTAACTCTGATATCTTATGTTCCTTCATCACTGTAATGCCTTTCACTGTGACTGGGGCTGAGCTGATATTCACCCTACGTAAGGTTGTGTTCTGTCCATTGAATAAGGACAGTGTGTCATCTTTTAACCTCCCCTTCTCATTGAGCCGTGCTAACAGTTGGTCTGAAAGATTGTTATGGAAGTAGACATCAGCCTCCTTGAACACCAGCCTGGGTTCTGTAGGTGTGTTTTGCACATCACATAGTCTCTCTATGTTGTCACAGATACATTCTATGCAAGTATCTTGCAGACTTGCTGGCATGTTATACATTGTGTTGATCTATCATCTGGAAATTATGGAATGAGATATATCATACATTGATTATTTCAAACTAGAGATTTTTAGTGTTGGTAAAGGTTTAAATTATCTTCGAAAAGCAAGTTAGAGGAACTGTCGGCAGCAATTCTTCTTTTATATCTTGCAGTTTTCTACTTAATAGACAAAAAAAAATTCCAGAGCCCCCACATTGGAGAGGATACACTAGCTGAACACCATTTTTCAGTTACCCATACCAATATTGTTCATGTTTTAGCACATACACTTGGTATGGTACATGTACATGAAAATAAACAAAAGAGCTAATGCAAAATTTTCATCGTATCTAAGGAAATGTATTATTCTGTAAGCCTAAAAATAATTGGTACTTTTGCTGAAAGTAAACACGTATCTTAATTAAGAACAAATAAAATAAAACATCTGCGGGTGATACTGCAAAAGCGATGCAAGAGTGCCAAAATATCAATGTAATTTGCGCATGTGTTTGTATTTACAATGTGACTATTAATTTTTTTCATTTGCTTTAGACATATCAAGAGTAGCTTACATTTTAAGATTAATGAGAAAATGAGAGACAACTGCGTTTAGACGTTCTACTGTATTACAGGCAGTGGATTACGTTTTTAGACTGCCTGTCAGTGTTACTGGATTATTCGAAATTTGCTTAAAAAAGAGTCAAAATTGCTAGAAAAGGTTTTATTCTATATTCAAAATAAATGATAAACTCTAAAAAAGTAAAAATAGGAGGGCACTTACCAGAGCTACCAACATAAGCTCCCCTAACTGAAAAACACTGGGTCGTAATATTAGTGGTCACACTCAACATCAACATTCGTAGGTNTTCTGTCGATTCTCAGTTTCAAAATGCAACTTGCTTACATGTACAGTACGGGGTCATGCTGATACTCCCCCGCACCGTTACTCCCCCGCACCGATACTCCCACTTGGTAAATTTTTGCATTATGCACATCGATACGACCCCACACCGATAGATCCCCGCATCGATAAACCCCCTGTAAAATTGCCGTTATACGCGCACCGTTACTCCCCCGCACCGATACTCCCCCGCGTTGTTGTTTCCCTGCACCGTTACTCCCCCGCACCGATACTCCCCCGCATCATTACTCCCCCTATGCAATTTTGACGAAACTGAGGATCGAGTAACAGAGTCAACCCTCCATTTAATTATACAGGTTAGGGTCAGTCTAGGTAAGTGGATCAAAATCTACGACCCGTTTAAGTCCAAATTTTGCGGAGAATCTCATGTACCACGCAAGTCCTTTATGCGAAATTTCGAGTTCGCACGTATGTAAGCACGTACGGAGGATATTGAACATTTCCAATAGATTCTACGAATAATCTGCGAACAGCGAGGCCGCAAGCCTAATTTGCTCCCTTTCTAAGGAGTTTGCGATTGGTTTGCAAGTGAGACTTGCTTGGTCCAAGATGCACGCCGCAAGAAATGAAGGAGAAAGAGCCCTTTGCGTGTTGAGTACGTCGCACGCCCTCACATCTATAACGAACAAAGTCGAAAACACGACGGGACTGCGAGTATTGTGCAACAATTTTCAAAATTTTTGAATTTTGCTCAATTCAGATTCTGATCTAATTCAGATTCAAAAGACAACGGAAAGAAGCTTAAAGAGCAGAAAAGAAGGTTGGAGGAAAAAGACAGAAAACGAAGCGCTTTAGCACTTCTTTTTTATTACTTAATAATTTTACGAATTCATCGTTGCCTGAAAAAAAAAGACATAGCTGCATTATCTTAGATTAAAACTAACTTTGCCTTAAGTTAATAAAAAAATTTAAAATAAATAAATAAATAAATAAATAAATAAATAAAAGGCCGTACAATATATATAGGCCTACAGTAACTACTGAGTACAGTAGGAGAAAGAAATTAATTTTGCAAAAACATTTCTCAAAAATCACAAGGAAGAGCTGTAGACCTACAATGTACGTACTGTCAAGCTGCACACTAAGTCTGAGATTGACTTCGTGTAATGTTCTTTATTTTTCCCAATATATTTTGAATAAAATTAGTCAATTCTGGGTCCCAAGAGGGTGGTGCATCTTGAAAAAAAAAAAGCATTATAGAAAGTGTTGTAAATTACGAATGGGGTTTACAAAGCCAAGGGAATCTATGCCTTGGGGGAGTAGTGTTTTTGCGGAGTATCGGTACGCGGGAGTATCAGTGCGGGGGAGTATCGGTGCGGGGATGTAAAGAAGCCGGGGAGTATCGGTGTGAGGGAGTATCAGTGCAGGGGTGTGTCGGTGCGGGGATGTAAAGAAGCGGGGGAGTATCGGTGTGGGGATGTAAAGAAGTGGGGGAGTATCGGTGCGGGGGAGTATAGGTACGTAACCTACAGTACATGTACAATACAAACGCCCTTACAAATTCGAATATTACAATTTTATCATAGTGTTTTTTTAGATCTCGTCACTTTTCGAAAAGGCGCTTTAATTAGATCTCTTAAAAGGTGTTTGCCATGGGGACAATGTGACAATTAACAAAGTCCGTCAACGTGTTCCCCAATTAAAAGGACATTTACAGTTGTAAAACCAACAATACTGTCCTTGCAGTTTCTTCTCAGTGGTACAATCCAAATAAATATCACATGAGTAAAATGTCATTGTTTAAATTTCAGGTTGTAGAAAACTTGGGGAGTTGCTGAAGCTCATGAAAAACTTTAAAGCAGCCAAAGAGGTGTTCAGTGAAAATTGTGAAAACTTCAAAGAAGGACTCAGTTGTCAAAATGCTGCAGAAATAGCCAGTCTGAATGGTAAATTAAAATATGATGATTAATTGTTGTGAATCTAATTTGCAGTAGCCATTATTAAGGTTAAGAATTGGGTAGGACAAACAATGTGAGAAGTGTTCACAATTCTGTGTATCCAGCCTTTTCAGGTATAATTAGTTTTTTTGGGTATCATTAAATTATGAATAACATGATTATCAAAATGTTAGACCTATAAATTTCAATAACTTTTATGCTGACAGACCTATGTGACAGTGATTGATAAAAACAAAAGTCTTGAAGAATATTTGATATTAGCTTTGAATAATTTCAGATGTCCTGTGTTCAATAACCTACTAGTATATTACTTTCAGAACATAATGAAGAGAATGCCCTGAAGTACTTTAGCCTTGGCTGCCAATATGGATTTCTCCCTTCGTGTCACAATGAAGGTTTAATGAATCTAAGAAGTGAAAACAAAAATGAGAAGAAAGCTCTGAGTTGCTTGCATAAAGCTTGTAATGGGAACTTTCCAGAGAGTTGTCACCTTATAGGAACACTTTATCTTAATCCAAAGATTGTTCCAGGTGCCACAAACTTGCCACCGAGAGATGTATCTCAGGGTGTCATTTTTCTTACAAAAGCCTGTGATCAGGGAGGTGCCAGAGCCTGTAAAACACTAATAAACATGTATGAGAAAGGGGACATAGTAGGGAAAAGTGCCTCCATGGTCGAATTGTTTAAAGCTAAGTTGAAGCAGAATTTGGAGAAAAAATTAAAAATGCGCCCAGATGGCATTTCTGCTCCCTCTTGATTTTTCCCATTCTTTAGTTTTGATTGTGTATTGTTTATCTATGCATGTATCAACTTAATACAACCAAGTGCAAGAGAAAATGATTAACTGGATATTTTGTTTCGTTTTTAAATACATAAATTGGATTTTGGTATAAAATGTGGAAAAAGTCCTGTTTGTGATTTTGTTAATTATTACCATAATGTTTTTAACAAAAAAAAAGGTTAAGATGTCCAACTTAAGACCAGTTTTCATTACAACATAAATGGACCATTCCTGGAATTTTTATCATGAAATAAATTTGCTACCCTTACAACTGCCACATTATCATTTTCTATATATTCAAGGGCATGACCACAACACCAGTTACTAAGAAATTATTTTTAAAAATTTGATTACACATCATACAAAGATACGATTATCGGTCTTGCTTTACAATATCCTTGAAGACGTAGTAGCCATATTCTGGGATGAATGACCTGGTTTGAGTTTTCTCCACTGACAGTTCATGGTATTATGGCTGGGGTAGAACTAACACTTGCCAGTTTAGCCAAATGCTAAAACTGACTTGAAATGGCTAAACAAAATGAGCGTTAATTAGACTTGTTTTAGTCAAATTTACACTATTTTGTGTAAAATGTAATTAAAAAGTAGTGATTTGGCTAAGAGAAAAAAAAATTGCTAGTGCTACCCCAGTATGGAAGTATGGAAAATGTCATCAAAAATAATAACGCATTGAAAAATTAAAGTCATAATAACTCTTCGTTTTGGCCAAAAATTGGATTTTCCTGGAAAAAACAGCAATTTTCCCGTACTTACCAATGGTCAACGACCCCATTCCTGCATTCAAAGTTAATCCAGGGTTTTTTTCCTAAACGTACCGTTTTTTGTTAAAATCTCTTTAGAGATTTTAACTGACGGAGCCCTCTCTGACATTGCATAGTCACTGGTGACCTACTTAAAACTGCGGGAAAAGCACACAACAACAACACTATATAACAACAATATAAGATTCATGAGATATATTCGTCTTTTTGTTAAAAATGCATTTATATCCACAATGTGTGCCATTCTGGGCTTTTCGTTATCCGACGCACTGTACAAAAACTCGCAACTTCCGTCTGCGTCTGCATCAATGCGTTTCGCACCATGTTATTTTGGTCTCGAATGAACGCGAGAAGCTGCGTGACACCCTTACGTCATTAGCAACGGATGCCTTGGCGACCGGGAAGAAAGGCATCGAAAGCCCTATTGACAAGCACAGATTTTAGTTTTACTACAATAACGGCCGTTTTAGTGGTAAAATACAATAGAATATATATCCATGCGTTGTTTACAATGTATTTCTTGCGGAATTTTGAATCTCAAAGGAAGAGTTATTATTGCTTTAAAAAAGACGATTGGTGTACTATCAGCATGTAACATTGGCCCTTTCTCAATGGCCGTCTGTTGTGCGTATTGGGAACCAAATGTTTAATCACTAGTCTGAAATGCAGTATTCTCCATTTTCCAAAATCACCCAGAAAAATAAACTGTCAACTCTTCAGTAAGATTAAAGCAATGCTATTTGTCAACAATTTTGGGGTTATTAAAAAATTTTTTAAACTTTATTTGAGTACATGCTGATTTTTTATTTACACACACACTCAAAATAAATGAACACTAGAGGATCAGAGAGGCGATACCGCCTCCGAATATTGTACCACCAGCTGGATCAAGCACATTCGTATAGACCCCCACATACACAAAATAAGGGACACAGCCACCAGTCTTGTGCTTGACAAGCTGTAAACATACAANGATTTACTGAAAAAGGTGACTCGGTCTGTTTTGTACATTGGGCATTGGAATATAAAATGGTATTCATCATTGGAATATAAAATGGTATTCATTCGTCTATTTATAGATAGACCTGTTGAGATGAAATTTTCTGATTTCTTCAAAGAATTTTACAACTTTTGAGTTATAATTCTTGATGAGTTGCCATTGAATCATTTTCTTTGAAATTATTTGTTAAATGTCTGAACATGTTACAGGCATTGAATGTATCTGTGTTTTGATCACAGTTTTCAATGTTATCCTTGTTCATCACATCTGTTGTCTACCTTATAACTGCTAATTTAAAATCCTTTTTTGGTTTAACTTTACTTACAAATTTAAGTCCTGTTTGTTTAGTCTAAAAATAAAGGTACAGTGTAGATAAATGTTATCTTTTTTCTCTGGCCATATCAGCCTTTATGTATGGTTAACTTCATGGTTTACTCATAGTACCAGTGTTAAATGAACTGTTGTGTCCAGTTGACAGCAACTTAAAATACTGAAAGCTTTCTGACTTGAAAGTGTGTGCTGATGATCATAAAACCAACAGAGCTTGTGAAGAGTAAAAAACATTTGTTTCTTTTACCTGTTGTTAAAGGGAACACTTTGATTGCTTTTAGAATTTTTAAAATTCTTTTACTAATGTTGTAAAAATTTTGGTTGCTGTTTGGTGTCTGTATATTTGCCAGTTTTGCTGTTGAGTTGTTTTTCCCTTCAGAATTTTGGCTCATTTCTTGTGGAAGTAGTAACCAAGGACCAGACATTGTGGGTGGTTGCTGAGGCTCTGGATGCCATCTTTGATGTGTTTGCAGACGATCATCTGGACCTGTTGTCATGGAGATCAGGGTAACAAACAAACTCCAGACCATATGATACCACAGCTGAGGTAAAACTACTCCCTGTGAGATTTATTTATATATATATTTATTTATTTATCAAAACAAAGACATATATCAGGATTTGCATTGGGAAATATGAAAAAGATGCATATTTTCTTACTAATTTACAAATGATTCCTGCAGTTGGGTTTATTTTTTATTAATTTTTTTTATGTACAGACACAGATGTGTCTGTACATATTGCCATCACCTGCGTCTGTCATCACCGATGCCGTCGCCGATGCCGGCGCCGTGCACTTTCAGTGTTAACACAATAAGTGGAAGACAGTTTTACTTTTTGGCTTTATATTTACAGGGCTGATGAATATTCATAAAACGCAAGTCAAGTTCGAAAATCAGCATAATCGAGCCATTATTGTAGAAGTTATGCTATTTTTTCACTTTTCAGCATATATACAACACTGTTAACACATTTCAAGGAAAACCGATAGGCCTGTTGTCATGAAACTCACAGGAGCAATCAATCTTACTGAAATGCAGGTCAAGGTTGAAAATTGGCATGATCGGGCCACTATTTTAGTAGTTATGCTGTTTTTTCACTTTTTAGCATATATGCAACACTGTAAACACAATATAAGAAAAACAGATAGGCCAATTGTCATTTAAACTCACAGGAGTGGTCAATCTTACTAAAATGCAGGTTGAGTTTGAAAATTAGCATAATCAGGCCATTATTTTAGAAGTTATGCTGTTTTTTCACATTTCCTTAGATTCAATTCTTAGGCATGTTTACAGTTTCATTATTTAATTAATAAGATATGTAAAAGTGTTTGTTTGACATTTTCTGCATCTTTACAACATTGTTAGTTGATTTCGTAAAAATGATGGTAAACTTGTTATGGTGTATTGTGTAATAAAGTGTCAAAAATGGAAATAAACTCATATCATTGCAGTTTGTCAGATTCAATTATTCAGTATGTTTAGAATCTCAGAATGGAAGAAATTGGACATTTAACACTATTCTATTTATATTTTTCCCATTTCGTTAATTTTCTTAGTTGATCATATAAAAATGGCAGTAAACTGTTAATTTTGTTTTATGTAAAAAAAATGGGAAAAAACCCATTTCAGAACAGTGCTGTCTTGTTATAAAGTCATGTTTTGTTAAGCTATTTAACTAAATTTCTTGGCATGCATAGCCATGACAAAATTTAGATCAGTTTTCACAGAATTCAACAAAGATAATGGGCCATTCCGTGGTATTTTTTGACGTTACAGAAGGACATTGATTACTTTAAATAATAAAATCTTTAAGGTATTAAATATAAGTTTTTTCCCACATTTGGCCAACTGTATTTAATACAAATTTCATTAACTAGGCAACAACAGATTAATTAACATCAATTTGTCCTTCTCAGATATTTTTGATATCTTTTTATGTATAATTATGTAATTTTTATCAAGTCATGTTATGCTAAGCTATTTAACTAAATTTCTTGGCATGCATAGCCATGACAAAATTTAGATCAGTTTTCACAGAATTCAACAAAGATTATGGGCCATTCCGTGGTATTTTTTGACGTTACAGAAGGACATTTGAAAGGTCCATTTCTTTATATGGTTATTCTTCTATATAAGTTAAAATTAGACAAAAAAAAATTAGGTTAGAAAAATTGTAGATACCAAAAAATTAAAACAAATAGTGTCTTGGAAGGATTTGAGTTTTCGCTTTCAGCATCAACACCAAAATTCTGCTATGACTGTGAAGATATTATAACAGTCAAATCAAAATATTAAAATTTGAATATTCAACTTTATGTATATAAAAATCAATTTGAAAAATTTTCATATAAAAATCAAGTAGGCGTAACAAAAGGCATGTGTCAGAAGGATCTTTTGTCCATTGCTAAGTAAAATGTAAAACAAGGCTAATAATAACATTTTATGAATACATACCAGCAAAAGTTTGGTGAATAATATCAAAGGTAAACATGTTTTTCCATGGTAATATATTTCATCTTCAAACTTGCTACTAGTTGTCTATAATAAAAGTCCTCATCTGCTATGATTATCTTTAAATAATATTGGGACATTTCAGAGAAAATCTTACCAAATTTATTCTTTTTAAGTATAATCAATTATAATGACCTCAAAATTATTCATTCATAAGAAATGTTTCTCAGTTTAAAAAATGCTTCTAAATATAATTATTATGCATTTCAAGTTTAAGATTATCTTAAAGACTTTAAAAGAGTTTAGGGTTCATGGGTCACATAACCTGTTATTGTCCAATTAAAATGCCTCACATATACTTCGTGTGCACTTGACTTAATGTAAGAAATAAATTTTATTTTATGTATTAAGCTTTTATTATGTACAGACACAGATGTGTCTGTACATATTGCCGTCACCTGCGTCTGTCGTCGCCGATGCCGTGCACTTTCAGTGTTTACACCATAAGTGGAACACAGTTTTACTTTTTGGTTTTATATATATTTTTAAAATGATCACTCTTATAAAAAATATATATCAAAAATAAATATGTCCTTCGATAACACTATTTGAAAAGTGTTCAAAATAAAACTGTGAATAACATCATTAATCACAAAAACCTAAAATTTCTTTTGGATTCTGATGTCTTATGGTGTCTGGTTTCATAAATTATAAGTTTTATCAGTAGGCTTCCTTTCTTATATTTTGAGGTCTGCAGAGCCAATAACACAGTATGGTCCCTATGCAAGCCAATATTAACTACAATATTTAAAGGAAGATCAACATGTTTTTGTTTTACTGTTGTTTTTCTTTTTTTTTTTTTTTTTCAGATTCATTTAACTTTTCTCAACTTCAAAAAGCAAAAACAGTAAAAATTAACTTCACATTCTCCTCAAATATAATATTGGTCAACAACCCAAAAAAGAAATCTTGACTTAAAACATTTCAATGAGAAATTAAAACAAGACTAATCAATTTCCTTTCTTGCAGAACCACATGCACATCTGTAATACCTGAACACATCAAAGCCCTGGCCCAGCAAATGGTAAAGCCAATGAAAACAACAGTTAGAGAAGTTAAGGAAATGTATCAAAGAGGATGCACCAGGGCGTTATTTTCAGGGACGGTAACAAAGGTATGACTAATTATTTATGTTAGATATATTCTATTAAACATATTTCATGTATCATAAAAAATCTAAACGCTACCCAGCGTTGAACCATAACGTTGAGAAGAAATTGGAAAAATTGTATCAACGTCAGAAAACAATGTAATATCAACCCCACCCAGCAGGAAATTGACCTGGATGTGTGTGTAGCAGTAAGACATTTTTGATGGCTAAAATATGTAGGGTATAAATGTATGGTCTTAAGTTAAAATTTCCAAGGTGTTTAGATTAATATATTTATAGTTCTTTCCTTATCTAAACATATATATATATAAGAAGATAACTACAACCTTATATATATATATATATATATATATATCGAAGAATTAAGTCAGTACACCATGAAAAAGTGCTCCACCCATGGCGGCGGCCCGTGGGGAGCTGGTATAATCAAAGATGTGAATAACTTAGCTTCCTCTCTCCATTTTATTTTAAAATATATATATATAAGAAGATAACTACAACCATATAAGTCACAGTCGACCTGTCTATATAGCAGGTTACCAATAGGCCTCACTGTTTACTCCATCACATTTAAAGCAACTTATTCATCCTAGTGTTAGCTGACCTTGCAACGAATTCAGTTTATTGCAATGTATTTCTGAATAACAAAATAAGAAAATTCACTAGTTATCTAAAGACACTAAACAACTGTCACTTTGACTTTAAAACAGTTTTGTTATTATTTTGATAAATTTAGTTACAGTATTGATAAACAAAGTATTATGTTTTCAATAATTAATATTTTAAATTACAATCCATAAATGCTAGGTTGTGTCATTGACCAAAATACAACGCTGAGTCAACATGGCTGGATCAACGTTGATTTTACCTTGAATTTAGGTAGATCAATGGCAATTCAATGTATCAACCTGTTTTCAACATTGATCCAACGCAACTATGCCTGCTAGGTACTAATTACTTCACATTTAACATATCCAATGTATTATATGTCACATTTCTATACAAACTAAATATCCTTTCATACAACTCTTGCAGTTTTTTCAAAATTCTAATAAAATTCCAATCTTAATTTCTTTCTCTTTCACAGATGGAGACCAAAGAAGTAATTGTGAAAAATGAAGCAACCCCTCTTAATCAAATGACGGTGACAGACGACACAGGCTCAATTACAGTAAATTTATGGAGAGCAGCAACTACGTCCCCAGTTAAACTGGGAAGTCAATTGTCAGTGGAGGGCAACCTCCACTTCAATACTTATGAGAACCAATTGGTATGCCACGTAAATTCACGAGAAAATGTAGAGGTAACCACACATTGAACATCTTTCCTCTTTAACTGTTTTTAAAATAATGCTAATAATTTGCTATACTGTTTTTCAAGAAATGATCAACATTATACAAGCATTATTATTCTAATAATCATCAATTACATTGTTCACTTTTAAAACAAAAGTCCACACACAGGTCATCAACATATACATATCATGCTTCATAGAAAAACATTATTACTGAGACCACTAAAAACCATTATTAACTTACATATAAAAGCTTTCTCTGTTATGATTTAGAATATTTTTACTTATTTCATTATTATTCCAGATTCAAGAAAGTGTCCGAATGGAAAAAGCCATTAGATTATTGGGGATCAGTTATGACCACACAATGCAAAACTTTCTTTTCTTCACCGAAGAAGAACAAGAATTACAAATGTCTCTCGACGAAGCAACAAAAATATGGCCACACCCTTCAGAGGATGAGATCAGCAAAACCTTACCATTGGATATTACATGTGTAGTAACTGAAGGCTATATGACAGATGTAGCAATACAGGGTAATTGCTAAAATTTTTGACTCCCATCATGCCATACCATACACTATATATACTATAATAAAAATTTATAACTTTCCTTATTTTAATAACTTAATATGAGACGCTAACTGAAACAACAATGTAATATGTGCATTCATACACAGTAATTGATCCAGTCCTCTGCCTCCTTCGCAGTGTTGTGAAAAAAAACTGTTAAAATATACATAAAATCCTACATTTTTTTTAAATTTTCAAACTATGATCATGTACCGCCACATAATTAAATTAAAAGCCTCACTCAGAGTTTTCCATTTTTATTTTATATTCAATGTTCATTGATATGACACAAACATTATCTTAGCATATAACAACTGACATTACCTCTTGTTACTGTTATGCATTTAACTGTAACTTATATTAGTTTTTCATTAATTACACAGATATAAAACCTTCAGACATAGGTCAGCACACCATGCCAGAGCCAGGTACCTCTGGAAGCAAGCCCACCATGCCAGAGCCAGGTACCTCTGTTTAAAATAGCATTATGGTAAGCTTGCTTTCCTTTTCATTGTAATATAACTGCTGATTAACATTATATTGCTTCAACCAAAATTCAGCTCTAAGCAAATGAACAAAACTGTCATAAAACACTTAAGTGCCTTTTTGGTAAACTTCGCCAGAAATTTTTACAGTTCAAAATTTATTACTTAAGTACATAATTAAATTTGACATGAAATACTTTCATGTGTCAATAATTTCTTATAATTTCTGTTTTTATAATAAAGATATTAACAACAAAATTTTCAATTATATAAATTTGATCCCTTCTATGGTTAAAAATGTTATTGTACCACCAGCGTTAGCGCTGGCGGTACACATGGTTTCGGTCTCGTCCGGATCGTTCCGCCGGCTCCGCCGGACGGCTACCGTTACCGCTTCTCCTCCTAGACGGTAAGGGCCCCCGTACCCATCTCTTAGATTTAGGTCACCTATAATCTCATCTCGTTCCACGTTAAATTTGGGCTTTGCCGGTATTGGGGTCTGGGTGTGGCACTCATTGCAATGCACCCTTGTCCAAAAATGGCAAAATTAAATGCTAATCATCTACCCTACGGAAGGGGTTATGGGAAAAATTTCTACAGACGGCTTTCCAAAAGTCATATGTGTAGATTTCAAATATGCCCTTGGATTTGACCTTTGACCTTTACTTCAAGGTCAAACGGGCCAAAATTTTCAAAAAAATAATATTTTTCATGAAAAAATTTTTTTTTTGCCCTGTTATTCAGACACCACACAGACTTAACCAATAATATTATTGGAAAGTGTTACCCTTTAGGTCATCTTTCATCTCCGTGAATTTGGGGTCAATCGGTGCATTTTCACTGGAGTAACGGCCATAAGATGCCGAAACTGAAAACTGTCTCTAATTCGGGAACCGTTAATGCNCAACCTAAAGTTTCAAGTAGCATTACTGGAACACCAAATGGTATTGTCTTGTATTTCGAATTCCCGTTCAAGATATTAGCTCAAATTTTTTCCGCTTTACCTCTATTCCACACATAACCCTACTGTTAGGTCATTTCCACCAACCCTCATCTTGTATATAAATGCTGTTGCACTTCTGGCATTTGTGCATTAAACATAACTATGTCATTTGGTAGGACTTACAGAATGGAGGGGTTGATAAATAGGCCAAGTTTATGACCAGACACTTGAAGGTGCAGTTTTTAGGATATTTTAACCTTATATTATCATCCAGATACCGAAAATTAGTTTCTTCATGAATCTTTCATTCAATTATGCTTCTATCTTCGTGCTGATTTAAAACAATAAAAATCTCGAAAATATAAAATATCAGCATTTATATATCTTTGTACTATGTGTAATCATCAGCAACTCAAAGCTTTAATCCTCAATTTCACAACTTTCTATTTTGAGGTGAGATAGCAATCGGTATGGAGCGTAACTTCATCCCTGAACAAGATTTTATCACAAAAATTGGCAGAATTGACCACAAGTGGCTGCAATATTCCTTCAATTTTTTTTCTTTTTTTTTTAACTTATGAGGTTACGAGTCTCTAATTACAGATTTTCCTCAAACAAAGGCATTATTTTGCTTTATCAATGATAAAATCTGGACAAAGGCTTTTAAAAAAATAGTTTTGGGTTTTGAAGTGCTAAATAGTGTTAATAAATTTGTGTTGAAATGGTGATCGTAGGTGCTCAGGTAAAAAGAGGAATTTTGAGAAACCGATTCTTCAGTTTTTACCCCAAAATCCCAATTGTGATGTCACCCGTAAGATGACGTGCAAATATTGGTTTAGTCACTGAACACTGAAGATTTATCTATTACCCAAAAGAATGTATGTAAGACAGTAAATAAGGAGTTTTCGGTGAAGGGTGAGAATATCCTTATAGCAATTTTTGGTTTACCAAGTGGTAAACTCGATTTATCCTTTGGTATGGCAACTTAATTTTAGTAGTGTAAGAAACTTGAAGAATTGGTAAATATGCATTACAGGGAATCTATGTTTACTTCATAGTAACTTTAAATACAACAGTTTGTGTCCTTTCCATTTGGTTAAAAAGTCCATTACCAGTCTAAGCAAGCACTGTTCTTCATTGAACATGGCCCTTAATAAAGTAATCTGCCAGGACTGATAAACATTGAAGACCAGTATTAATAATAGAATTTACTGCTGCATGCTTGTAATGTCTTTCATATAGCCATTTTAATAGAATTAACAAGTTCCATCAATAAATGTTCATAAATACAACACATAATTTACATGAATAAGATTTTGTACAAGTCACGCAAGAAAAAATTCAGTTTGGTACAACTATACCAAAAATTTAACTTTACACATTAGTTTTAATACTGTGACAGCATTAAGCAATAATATCTACAAAATCTATTGAGGTAAAACTGCAATTATTCAGATGATTCGTCTCAAAGTCTGTCTCTTTATTGTGCTGACAATCTACATTTTCGTTCCTGCTCCAATGTTTTCGCTTTGTTCCACATAGCTCTTGTGAGTTCAGTTTGCCCATAGCTCAAAGACAAAAGCCTGAAAATAATGATAAGGTCATGTACAATGGATACATTTCTGCACATATTAACATGCGACATTTTGTTCAGTTTAATCAAGAAGCAATCTGCCTTTAACAAAGATAAAAAATAAGTGGATTGCTCTTACCTTGCAAGTACAAGCAACGAATGGAAGTCATCCACTTTCATAGCATTGGCATCTTGTCTTCGCATGCTTACGAAGTCTTCTTCCAAACTCTATAAAAAAGACCAAATTGGTTTACTTGGTGAACTAAATCATCAATAATACCCAACTTTGCTTTAATTAATTAATTAAATATAAGAACATCATTCTAATCTTTCACATCTATATGAACAAATGTTTTCACCTTTTGAACATCCTCGGCAATAGAATAATTCAGAAGCTGAACCAATCCAAGATAAGTTCTTATTTTAGTAAGGAGAGCAGGTGTGAGATACGATCCGATTGCTGAAAAACTCTCTTCAATTTTATCTAAAGGGGTCACTAACTGCAGAGGCACATGGCAGTCACTCTATAGAAAGAAAAAATAAATGAAGTATTGTCTTATTTAATATATTCAATTGACCAAAAACACTGAACTTCACATTTACATTTGTCAAATACTATCTACAAAAATTTAAGGTAATCAATCCACTTCATTCAACACGGTGTCCTCTCTGTTGCATATGTAATCATTTCTGTCATAATAACACGTTTAGAGAATTAGCTTCAAAGATTGCCAACACCCAAGACTGTAAAATGCTTAATTCCAGCAATGTTCCAGAAAATTGTTGGAAAATTCGAGTCAAAAGTGGCAGGGGGAATACCATGCTGTAGCACAAACTGAAATCCTGTCAAATTCTTTTCAAATTTTATTACAATTTAATTTTGAATTTTTTTGTTTGTTCTACCTGCATCTAATTTTTCCAAGAACTTTGGAATTACCTTCACTTTGAGCTTCCAAAAAAAGGTCAAAGGATGGGTATTTTGTTTTAATGAAGCAACCATTCTGACAATCTTCAAACGTACAAGATTTATTAAACAAAGGCATTTCTTACGGGTAATAGTGACTTTCCTTCTGACAAGATGATAGGAATAATATTACAATGAAAGTCTTGGTGATGAAAGTTGAAATCGTATTCTACTTTCTGCCAGTTGATAACATTTCCCAAAGCAGTCAAATTCTTCACTCCTGGAATGAATTGGAAAAGTTATTTGAGTCAATAACTTCACAATAATTTCAATTAACATCATTTTTTGGGGTTTAACACAACTTTTGACAAACTCTTAAATTAACATTTAGTGCTTACCTGCTTCTTTTCTTTAAGAGTCCAAGCATGGCAGATAAAATTTCAAAAAGCTTCAAATCTACAATTACTTTTCTCATGCTAGTCTGTGCTATTTGCCACATTAATTTGAGGAAAAGAAATTTAGCTCCAATAAAAACAGATGAGTCATGAAAGGTACCATTTGCATCTAGTTGCCCAGGTTCCAGGGCAGTTTCATCCAGAAATAGATGTGTCCTCTCAGCCAGCTGAAGAATGCCACTATTTAACCTGTTGGCTGTGTAATCTTTTTTGGGAGAAAAACTTAGTGTGTTCATGTTTTCCAACGACATGGGAAGCATATAAGACTGGAACAGACAACATAAATACCATGAACAGTGGTTACCTCATGCATTATATAATTTAAGAAATAATTAGAGAAACGAGTAAAAGGATTTTCCTGCATTATGCTATCCATATAATCCATCTATGGAAGATAAAGTGACATATTTACAACGCTATTATTGAGAAATAAAACTTAATCACAGGAACACACCTTTGTAGTTAGCTCCTGTATAAGTTGATACAAGCTCTGAGGAAATGATGAACTTCTTGGGCACCCACTGAGATTTAGGCAAAACTTGCCCAATGCTACAACATCTCTTCTTGCATAGCTGTAAATATAAATGATACAGATCATATAACAAAATATACAAACCAAACCAAGAAAACCAAATCAGTTTTCGGTCTTAAAATACAATGATAAAATTACACTTGCACATCTATCACTAACTTTAAAATCTAATTAAAAAATAATATTGTTCATTACTGAAATGTACACCATGTTAATTAAATCATACTTACACTGACGAAATAAGATGGCACAATAAATACTCTACAGCTAAGGCATCTCCAAACAAAGCCAACTCCAACACCGAAACAATATGTGAGCGTAAGCTTTGTGCTTCTTGTAGGACACTACTCACAACTGTAATGAAGAGCAAAAAATGTTTTTTAAAAAATGCATGATACCCTGAATCTTAAAAATTATATGTAGTTACAGATGGCATGTACTGTTCACAGTTTTTTCACTTTAAAAAACATTTTTTTTTTCACATAATCAATGACAAATTGGCAAAATCAATACCTAATATAAACAAAAACCCTTTCCCCCCCCCCATACATAAACCATCTTCATCAAATGGCAGATTCTTATCTATAAGCTCTGGTCTAGTTACAATTGAAAGTCAAAAGCTGAGATAAATAATGCTTACATAAATCAATCTACATTTATTTTCAAAAACCAACTAGTACTAATTATGTCTTTACAAAATCCACTTACAATCCTTGTTAGTAACATCTTCTATCTCCACTGGCAGATGAGGATTACAATGCTGCAGCCTGTATGCTGTTATAGCGTGTAACCTAGGGACAAGTGATGGTGGAGGATGGTGGACAGACTCCTCTTCCATGTCCATGGCTTGGTCCTGTAGGAGGGCATGCTCAGAGCTGAGAACAATCAAGAGTACATGTTAGAGTTAACATTTAAAAACAACTTGGTGGTGGTTATTGAATGCCACCTTGTTAACATAAGTCCAATTAGAAAAGTCATCTTAGAGATTTAAAAAATTAGGAAACACAGTACCTTTCCTCTTTGAAGTTTGCCATAGCTGGATCAATGGATAATACACCCACAAACTCTACAATATCATTGACCTTGTAGGAATCTCCATTTTCATAAATCTGAAAAATGTAAATTATTCTGATAAGTAAATGAAAAAAGACTTACTGTAAAAAAATAAATAAATAAATAAATAAATAAAAACTAGCTTGTCCATCCTTTCTTACATCATCTATGTATACTTCTGTTTCAGCAAATGCTAAGTGCATCAACTGTTCAAATTCAGCTTTAAAACAAGGACCACTCACCTTAACTAAGCACGCAGGCCCAGTCTCTTCTGACAAAGGGAAATTCAAGTTGATTGATGGACTGTTTAGCTGGGCTGAAATGATTTTTTGAAATTAAAAGCTGTAATTTCTGCATTCACCGTTTTGGTAAATACCTTCAACAGAAAAAAACAATTAATTTTTATGTGTCATTTTGGTATATTTACTTTATATCTATTCACCTTCAACACCATCTGTTCTTGGTCGTTTTGCTTCTGCCGAATCTGGCTGTAACCCTGATGAAGTAGCAGCAGCAGCAGCAGCAACATCCATTGCCTCTGATGATCTGACTTCTAATAAAGAAGTAAATTTCATTAGGAGCCACTGGAAAAACATACTAGCTTTAACAACTCTTTATGTTTATATCTTATTAAGAAGTAGAAGATTTTTGACAAAGACATGGGCTTCTAAGAGGATGCAGGTGTTATCTGGAAAGCAACAAGAAACTTTTCCCTTCCTTCCTTAATTAATAACTTACAGCTGTCTGATTCCTCTACAATGCGAGGGCACGATATGGATCACAATGTTATACTTTTCTGAAATAATGTTTACTCAGTTATCATGCACAGCCATGGCCACACTTTACGTTTACTTTCAAACGATAGGCTGCACCTTACCCATATCTTGTTCATCATCTTCAAGGCCCCTTTTACATCTGACTTGCTTACTCGATGAAGATGGCACTACTTTTGCCCGACTGGCACTGTGAAAACTGTTAACAATGTTAAGGTTTTCAACTAGTATTTTTTAACTTTTATAACAACTTTATAAATAATCCTTACAAACTGCAATGTTTTAGTTCTAAAAGTAGTCATAAATAAATTGAAACCTATTAATATTACACAATGAAATTTAAACTCTCTTTTCCAAAAGATATTTCTTTACACCACTGGGCCTCTCCAGGTATAGGCACACAATACAAAGTCTGCCTGTCTCCAGTGACATTTCTTGGTGAATCCAAATTGATTTTTTGATGGGGCTAAAAAAAAATAACAGCACTGTACACATTTAGTAACAACAGTTAATACATGCATCATATCATCCAACTTTAATGCTATACTAAAAACCAGTTTCTACTTTGTAAAAACCTGAAATCACTTTAATCCGTGATAACTTAATTGAACAAAAGATCTCTCAAAAGTCCAACCACTCACCAAACACTGGGCAATATCCTTATATTGTCCATTCTTCATGAAACTTTCACCAGTCTTTGTATCAACTGTCTCATATGCACTTAAGAAGAATTCTGGGTCAAACATATCTTGTATCATGCACCGGAATTTTACCAAGGAGTTTGGTTTCAAATCATGGAGAGGTGTGTCATTTAATGAAGGGACCTAGGAACAGAGTAATTAAGGATAAATCGCAGTTGTACATAAAACCTCTGCTACTTTATCTTTACTTTACCTTACTGGGATTCCACGTTTTAATGGGCTTCACAGACAGGGCTTCAATATCTGAGTGTTATCAAGTTTTTATATCTCAAGTTATAAAATTGCAAACACAAAGACACAAAATACAAACCCAAGACAAGGCATTTCTGTCTGATAGCCTCTTTTCAAAATATTCTTTTACTTTTGGAGAAAAATCTTGCCCATGGTGACCTGTATTAAAAAGGAAAATTATTTATATTATAATGATGTTTTAGTGCATTTGTAGTTTTCAGGACGGTCAATGAGAATAACTTCCAACTACAAAGACAAAGAGATTTTACTCCTAAACTGGCAGAACTACCATAATGATAATCTGACAAATGTCACGAGCACGGTTGAACCTGCACTCTAGACTTAGTCTAGATCTGCACTCCACTGTAACATTAGTTTATACGTATTTTATTTAAAGAGATCACAAAACTGCTTACTGTATAATCCCTGGATGATGTCTAAGGGACTGTTCAGCCAATCGTCCAATCCTGGCATATTTCAAGTGGATACAAAACAAAAAAACTTAACGATCGCACAGGGAGTCAGATGTTTAGATCGGAGCTTTAATAAGTGGCGGGAAATTAACACGTGCGAGATCAAAACAATACGCGCAAAGGAGAATACTTAGATTTCCACTGATTAAGAATAAGTGTCATTTTTATCACAAAAGTAGTTCTGAATTTTTGAAGAAAAAATAAAACACGTGTATGCTCTTGATGTTTCTGGCTTATAATATCTAAAAGAAATATCTCGCAGTCTCGTGAACACTGACGTGGACTTCGATGTTGACAACATGGCGGACAGACGACAGACACCGCTTCGTGATGTTTCTCAAACACCACCTCCGCTTCTTTTAATGCCAGCAGGAACGGGATTAACTTATACCCCTTCTCCTAAAACAAACCTGCTTATGCCTGTTTTACAGTCTGAAGCGTCATTATTATCGGGTGGTGAGTTAAGTAATAGTTTCATACTCGTCTGTCATTCTGCAGCGGGCATTTGCCCCTTCATCGTCAAAGTGACGGTGTATTTTGTACCACTTTATGACATTTCGGTCAAATTACCCCAATTGAAATGGACTTTGACCATATTATATTGATGGGCACTGATTAAATTAATTTGAACTGACTAGACAAGACAACTGCACGTTTGACAATTTAAATTGTTCCTCAAGATGGGGGGGGGGGGGGGATACATCACTTCCTGATGGCTTGTGCAGTCATCATGAGTAAATGTCTGAATGATAATCATATGCTGACGTTTATTTCTAGATGTTGATGATGGGGAAGCAGACAGTTTTGTTGGACAATCACCTCCTCACACTTCATCCTCTAATAGTAGCCAGCACTCAGCATATGGCTTATTCCAGCAGCCGCCAACAAGTTCATCAGATGATCCATTTGCCAATATCAGTCAGATGAACACCCAGATTGCCCCTCCACCCAGTTCCTCAAATGTGCCACCATATAATGTAAATCAGGGGCCTCAAAGGAACCCCCCAGTAGCTCCAACAGGGTTTTACTCAGGACCTCCACCAGCTGGGCCACCCTCATCAGGACCACCTCCTACAGGACCTTCATCTACAGGACCACCACCTGCTGGAGCACCACCTATGGGTATGTACAGAATGATATTATCATAACAGAAATGGGTTTTTTATTGTATGGCATGCTGAGATAATTTGTTAGATAGTTTTCATCATCATCCTCTCAAGGTAAATTTCATTAGAAAATGATCAGGTAATATATAATGAAAAGGTTAGTAGCAGCATGGTTTATTTATTTATTTATTTATTTTTACAAGGCGGGTCTTCTGGTATCAATTATCACCGTCAAGGCAGAGAATTACGTTATGCCCAAATACCAGACTTGGTGGCCTCTCCTGTAGGTGTAGGGGGGCATGGACCACCACCTGGAATGCCCCCTTCTGGTCCACCTCCTCCACTTTCATCCTCCATGGGACAGCCATCAAATATATTCACACCACAAGGCCAGGCTCCAAGTACTCAGCCTCATCTCCATAGCGACAGCCAAAATGTGAACCTCCAGCCACATCTAGCGGGGCATCATGGCCAGCTACCAACTTCATCTTCAGTCTTCCAGCCTGTCAGGTCTCATTGGTTCTACAGCAAACATGTGGAAGGCAAGGAACTATGGAAGCCATTTTCATACAAAGATGCTGCACGCTTAGAGGATGCTCTGCATAGAAGAGGTTTGTATATCTTTAAATAAAGCAACTTTAGATAACAATTTTAAAATGCACAAGAGCTGAATAGGAAAGTAAACAGATATTCGTATTTCCAGGGACACAATTGCTATGCATATTATCTATATATTTAGAGGAAATGATCTACATTTCACCCATATCTTCTTTGTTGAATATTTGTAGCCACTGCCTCAGGTTCAGAAATCATAGTGCCAACACAGGGAGGAAGGTATGATGTGGATGTTATCAAACGACAACAATTTGCTGTATATTGGGATGAAGAACCCTCGTCAGTAACAAGAAGTTCTTGGTTCTACAAGCCCGAAGGTGCTGCCAGGTTCCTGCCATATGATGAACAGTTTTGTGCCAGGTTGGAGGTGAGTTCTTCCTGGTAGAAAAAGGAAGATAAAAATATATAAAATATTTTATGTTGTATCTTTATTTCTTTACTAATGATCTAATGGAGTTAATTTGCACATTTGCCCCTTAATATTTTTAGAACTTGTAAAAAATTTATTTCTCATTGCAATATATGAATTTTGTTAAATTGGGGAAAAACATATTGGAAAGAAAGGACAGTTACATCTGAAGAACTATAAGTAAAATTATTCAAATGTATAGTACATGTTATGTTGCTTTGGAAGACTATTATCCGACGTGGCTTATTTGCATGTGTCCCTAAATAATTTTAGAATTTGTAAAGAAAATCTATTTCTCATTGCAAAATTTCAATTTTGTTATATTGGAGAAGAACAGCTTGGAAAGAAAGGACAATTTCTCTTAAAGAGCTATGTGGATTATATATTGGTAAATATTTCATTGTTTGAAGCACCGTCTTGTTAAACACATGGCTTGGTATTAACTACCTCGTGTATCTTATAACAACAGGAAGAATACCAGGCAGCTGTGATGAACAATGTGTGGCCCAGGAAGCTTCAAATTGATGAAGGAACAATTGTCATGCACAGCCCATACACAATTGAACACTATTCTACAAATTCTATCCCAGATGAATATGGAACTATTCCTGTAAGTTTATATTTGAATAATGAAATAAGTGGAAAGGAAATAAGGAAAATTGTTTTAGATTAGGTGTAGCTTATTGGTATGAATGTTTTCCTTTAAACAGACAGAGACTTGAATTGTGATTTGCAGATTCAAGTTTAAGTTCCATCTGTTTCAGCTGCATTCAAGAGCAAGATGTGTTATAAGAGGCACACAGGACTTTGAAGATATCGAAGAAGGTAAGACTATTTTCACTAATCACTTTGTCCNACGTTACAAAAGTTGGAAGCTCCACTTCACTATGACTTATGTTTTAATTTAAGTCAAAAATTGGAATAAAATTTACAAAGGATACATGATCTTGTGTTAAAAGATAAGAAATTAAGATAGGCAACCCAGATGTAAAAAGGATAAAACTTAAATGCCAGAAAGCAACCAAAATGAAAGACGTTTAAACTTAAACCTTTAAACATCCTATTAAATCTGGCCTGAAAATTAAAAAGCAACGATTTAAAATGCCAGACAATAATATTCATCAAAAATGAAGTGAAAATATACAGCTTGATTATTTTGTTGTGGGCCAGTAAAAAAAGGTGTGGGCTGACAAAATTTAATTTGCTCCAGCCCACATGTCTGGTAAGTTTTCAATCTCTTTCGCAATCACTGACAGAGATGGATTTTTTTTATTGTATGGCATGCTGAGATAATTTGTTAGATAGTTTTCATCATCATCCTCTCAAGGTAAATTTCATTAGAAAATGATCAGGTAATATATAATGAAAAGGTTAGTAGCAGCATGGTTTATTTATTTATTTATATATTTATTTTTACAAGGCGGGTCTTCTGGTATCAATTATCACCGTCAAGGCAGAGAATTACGTTATGCCCAAATACCAGACTTGGTGGCCTCTCCTGTAGGTGTAGGGGGGCATGGACCACCACCTGGAATGCCCCCTTCTGGTCCACCTCCTCCACTTTCATCCTCCATGGGACAGCCATCAAATATATTCACACCACAAGGCCAGGCTCCAAGTACTCAGCCTCATTTCCATAGCGACAGCCAAAATGTGAACCTCCAGCCACATCTAGCGGGGCATCATGGCCAGCTACCAACTTCATCTTCAGTCTTCCAGCCTGTCAGGTCTCATTGGTTCTACAGCAAACATGTGGAAGGCAAGGAACTATGGAAGCCATTTTCATACAAAGATGCTGCACGCTTAGAGGATGCGCTGCATAGAAGAGGTTTGTATATATATCTTTAAATAAAGCAACTTTAGATAACAATTTCAAAATGCACAAGAGCTGAATTTGAAAGTAATCTGATATTCTAATTTCCAGGGACACAATTGCTATACATATTATCTATATATTTAGAGGACATGATCTACATTTCACCCATATCTTTTTTGTTGAATATTTGTAGCCACTGCCTCAGGTTCAGAAATCATAGTGCCAACACAGGGAGGAAGGTATGATGTGGATGTTATCAAACGACAACAATTTGCTGTATATTGGGATGAAGAACCCTCGTCAGTAACAAGAAGTTCTTGGTTCTACAAGCCCGAAGGTGCTGCCAGGTTCCTGCCATATGATGAACAGTTTTGTGCCAGGTTGGAGGTGAGTTCTTCCTGGTAGAAAAAGGAAGATAAAAATATATAAAATATTTTATGTTGTATCTTTATTTCTTTACTAATGATCTAATAGAGTTAATTTGCACATTTGCCCCTTAATATTTTTAGAACTTGTAAAAAATTTATTTCTCATTGCAATATATGAATTTTGTTAAATTGGGGGAAAACATATTGGAAAGAAAGGACAGTTACATCTGAAGAACTATAAGTAAAATTATTAAAATGTATAGTACATGTTATGTTGCTTTGGAAGACTATTATCTGACGTGGCTTATTTGCATGTGTCCCTAAATAATTTTAGAATTTGTAAAGAAAATCTATTTCTCATTGCAAAATTTCAATTTTGTTATATTGGAGAAGAACAGCTTGGAAAGAAAGGACAATTTCTCTTAAAGAGCTATGTGGATTATATATTGGTAAATATTTCATTGTTTGAAGCACCTTTTTGTTAAACACATGGCTTGGTATTAACTACCTCGTGTATCTTATAACAACAGGAAGAATACCAGGCAGCTGTGATGAACAATGTGTGGCCCAGGAAGCTTCAAATTGATGAAGGAACAATTGTCATGCACAGCCCATACACAATTGAACACTATTCTACAAATTCTATCCCAGATGAATATGGAACTATTCCTGTAAGTTTATATTTGAATAATGAAATAAGTGGAAAGGAAATTTGTTTTAGATTAGGTGTAGCTTATTGGCATGAATGTTTTCCTTTAAACAGACAGAGACTTGAATTGTGATTTGCAGATTCAAATTTAAGTTCCATCTGTTTCAGCTGCATTCAAGAGCAAGATGTGTTATAAGAGGCACACAGGACTTTGAAGATATCGAAGAAGGTAAGACTATTTTCACTAATCACTTTGTCCATTCTTGCTGATTAGTTAACAGACCTTTGTAATTTTGTCCCTACAGGCTAAGCCAGGAGAGAGCAATAATTCTACTTATTCTACTATGTTTTTTGTTCATATGTGTACTACATCCCTGGTTGTCTTGCACTATTTTTTTCTAACAGTCATACAAACCCTAATCTTGTAGGTGAACCAGACCAGATAGACCACCTGGTGTTTGTTGTCCATGGCATCGGACCTGTGTGTGATCTAAGGTTTCGAGACATAAGGGAATGTTGTAAGTTGTTGGGTACTTCTCTGAGATAGCATAGTGTTTTATCAGAATTTATTTTTGTTTTCGTTTCTGATAGGCTGTATACTCAAGGTGATCTTTAATTCTAAAATGTAAGATTTTTAATGTTTTTATTCTATGATTTTCTCCAAGAATAACTGGTGGAAATAAGTAAAAGTTGTTGGCCTAATATTTTCATTCCATTTGTTCCAATGTTTTAGTGGATGATTTTCGGTCTGTATCACTGTCCCTGATGCAGTCTCACTTCAAGCAGTATCTGGAGCGAGGACAAGCAGGACGTGTAGAGTACCTGCCCGTACATTGGCATAAAGCTTTACATGGAGAGGCAACAGGGGTTGACAGGTAAGACATATATTATTGAAATTAAGCTATAAATCTCATTTTTGTTACTTATATAAATGTTTTTGGTTCTCTGCTATTAAATTATACATTTGTGATAAATAGGTTCTTGGCAGTGAGAATGAGATTTTAACTATTTTAAATAACATAGAGTATAGCTTTATAATAACTCACAGAAAAATTATCTTGATTATTTTTATTAAGTATGATAGATGTGTATGTAGTACTTATTTAAAATATGACCTCTTGTTTCTTTTCTTTTCTATATGTATGTATGTATGTATGTATGTATGTATATTTTTCTTTTAGGAAACTAAGAGAGATCACATTAAAGAGTATTCCAAAGCTCAGACATTTTACTAATGACACGCTTCTAGATTTATTATTCTACACATCTCCAGTATACTGTCAGGTATGTATTAGATTTGAGAAGATGGCTAATAAATGACGAGAACAGTATGCATTAAAAATTCATTCAATCCAACTGTTGCTAAGCAATTATAGTAAGAAAAGTGAAACTCCAACATGTCTTAAAGTTTTATAGGAAAAAATAACACTTTTGTTACATTTCCCATTTCAGCAAATTGCAGACACAGTATCTGGTGAAATGAATAGATTACATGAGCTGTTTTTGCAAAGGCAACCAAACTTCAAAGGCAATGTGTCAGTGATGGGCCACAGTTTAGGTACATACTGTAGTCATGAGATGCTTGCCTTTAAAATACGTCAGTTGTGAAGTCCAGAGAGAAGCGTAATGAATGAAATTTTCAAAGATATTCTGATTATCATTATCCAAAATAAACAGAATAAAAATCAATTAGTCATTTGAGACTGTAAATATTCAATGAAAAGAAAAGTAAATATGTCAAATAAATGCTGATATGTAATACCCCTACAAGAGTTAACATTTATTACACTCTGCTAAATGTGTTATAGGTTCCCAGATATTGTTTGACTTATTGTTACACCAGAAGGATAGTGAAGGTAAAGCACTTCCAGCAGTGTCACAAGAACAAGGGCAACTTACCTTTGAAAGAGAGGTGGGTTTATACGGAGTATTTTACAACTGGGAAAAGTCTTGATGCACATTTTTTGTGTCACATGCTTTTGTGATTAATTATTTTTGGTATCATGTCCTGAGAGTTCTATGTCAGTAACTGTTTATATCAGGATTGTTGACTGAAGATCTTTCTTAGTGAAAAGCTGTACCTTTCATGTTGCATGATTTATTGGTTGTATTATGTAATATAAACACAGGGATTGTTTTGTTAGTTTTATAAAAGTTTGTTTGTGAAACATTTTGCATTTTATTCTTGAAGGTATCTCCATTGTCAGAAGAATCTCATGTGGAAGATGCAGATGAGGAAGAAGAAGAAAGTCTTGAGGCTTTGCTAGAGAAGCTAGGGCTGTCCAGTTTCTTGGAGACATTCAATAAAGAACAGATAGACCTTGATTCTCTGGTATGTATTGAATTTTCTTTAGAATGCTTGACAAGAATAAGTAGGAAAATGGCACTCATTAGAAAAAAGCTGCAGTTTTTCCTTGAATATATTAGTTTACAATGATTTTTTAAAATTTGGTGTTTGTTTTGCAATAGTTTGAAGGTGATTATTAAATTTTTATATATTGATGCTTGTCAAAGGAACATGTAAGTATAATGTGTGAGTCTGATTTGGCCGAAGACCTCACTGGCCAAATGCTTGAAGTGAACTTTGAGCAGGCTATGCTTACTTTTAATGGGCTGTTGCTATAATGACAAGCTTATATATCACTAAGCCATGTCTTCTTTTGAATAAGTATGTTTGTACAGTTCATAGTTATGCAAAAAATGGAGTGGCCAGTGCAGCAAGTGTTAGAAAAAAATCACCAAAGGTTCAACATTACCAATAGATAATTATGAAATATTTAGCAATATGTAAATTTTTGCAAGTAATCAGATGAGATAAATGACCTTTGTTTGTGAAATGTTTCTTCTTTGTAAATCATGAATATATGTTAAAACCAGTTCGCTACATTTTTTATTATAGACTGAGATTGAAGAGTCTGACATCAAAGAGATGGGTCTACCAATGGGTCCAAGGAAAAAACTTCAAAAATACATAAGAAATAAAAAAGAGAAAGAGGTAGGCAAAGGTGACTTATTAATCTTGCAAAATTTATTTCAATTATTTTACTTTTTGTTAAAGTTGAATAAAATGGACTTTGCTTTCTGCCTAGATTATAATAGCTAGGGCAGCCTTTACATCTAAAAGTTTTGGAGTAAGTAGGCCAACCTTTACATTGTCACCTGATAATTTTGGAGTATATCAAGTATGTCTCTTGCCTTTCAGAAGAAAAAACAAGAAACAGCAGCAAGTAAATCAAAACGAGAAGCTGCTCAAAAGATAATAGAAGAACAGAAGCAAGCAGCTAGTGAAGCTACATGTAAACTGAATAGCAATGGACAGGGGATTACGCAGGAGTGAGTGTAGTTAACTTCTTTATTAGCTGGACTGTATGTATATAGTTATATCATTCATTCAAATACAGCATCATTTAATGATAACTGCCTTGTATATAAGGAATGTGCTTAATTTACAGGCATCCACTTTTGAAGCAAGCATCCAGCACTAGTATATCATATGTGACTGGTCTAGCAGGTACGGGTCAGCCTTGTGTCAGCTACCCACAGCTACAGTTTGAAATGGCCAACTTCTTTGCATTAGGGTCACCTATTGCTATGTTCATGACTGTGAGAGGAGTAGGATCTATAGGGGAGGAGTACAAGCTACCAACCTGTCCAGGATTTTTCAATATTTTTCATCCAGTATGTTGTTTTTGATTAAATTGCCTTAATAAACACAAAGTCAAATTAATTCCGTAATTTACCAAAAAGCTGTCATTTTGACCATTTAGGATACATAAATGCCATTGTCAAATGTCTGTCAAATCATCCAGCTTTAGTGTAAGGTCTTGAGAAAGATATACAACCTGTTTTTTAATGAGAATGTTTTTAGTCTATTTTGTTGTTTCAACTTTATTGATTTTTTTCTTCTTTTTTTTAGTTTGATCCTGTGGTAAGTACTTGATTTAAAATTTCTAGTTTTGATACATTATTTATTATTTAAACTTCGAAAAGTTCTTGCATGACAAACATAGGTAATTTAAAGGATAATTTGGATCGTTCATATATGTTTTTCATGGTGCCAAATGTTACAGTAAAACAAAATTAAATAGTTATAAGTGGCATTGTGCAGTTAAAATGAAATTCAGCCATAAATTTAAACAAGTTTCCTTCCTTTACAAGGCCTATAGAATAGAGCCTTTGATCAACCCTAACTATACCATGAAACCAGTGTTGATGCCACATCATAAAGGAAGGAAAAGATTGCACTTGGGTAAGAGTTATTATCATTTCTGTAAAATTTGTAAAGAGACTGGTACAGACAGGTTACTTCCATAGGAGCTTCAGAATCTGGGTTGATTCAGGCATATCTTCAGTCAAGGATTTCTTTAAATTTTCTGGTGAAGCTGGTCATAACATAATGGTACACAGGATAATATCTCAATCTCTGCCTTTGCCTGATCCTGTGGTTTCATGTGCATTTACCCCTGTAAATGATAGTTTTTGAAAACCATCATGATTGTAGTTTTTCATCTTTGCAATTTAATTTGGTAACAAATGTTAATTGTCGATATAAATCATTTTGACAATTCTGCCATTCCAGAGCTTAAGGAAAGTTTGAGTAGATATGGTGCAGATCTCAAGCAGAAGATAGTTCAGTCTCTGAAGGGCACATGGAATATGATTAATGACTTTGCTAGAGCTCACAGGTCCACACCAGAGGAAATAGTAAATAGTGAGGTAGATAGTGTAATAAGTGACTTGGCCAAGCAACAGGAGGAAACTGAACAGGCCTGTAAGTACAGTTGCTAGTTGATGATATATAATTTTGTGATGGGAAATGTGATGAGCATAGCAATTTATATTGCTTTTTTTAAAATCATTGTCATCAGTAAAAGAAGTTAAATAATAGTGACCTATCCATAATTTTCAAAAATCATGTTCTTAGTGTTCCTACAGTGCTGCTAAAATACTTATCAAGGACATCTTTGTTTTAGCTGTGGCTTCAGAAGAGGAAATTATTGTAGGTAGTATGAACCAAGGAAGAAGGATAGACTATGTGCTGCAAGAAAAACCTATTGAAAGTTTCAATGATTACTTGTTTGCCCTTGGAAGCCATGCCTGTTACTGGTAAATTGTCATTTAATTTACATGCTGGCACTATGTGTCTGTCCATGGCATCGTCAACCAACACATCTGTTGTTCACCCTCAAACTGCCAAACCATATTTTTTTGTTTTATGCTATATTTATTGTGTGGGTTTATCTGGTAAAATTGCAGACTGTGTTCTAAACTCCAGCATGATTGAATTATATCAACAAAAATAGGATTTTTCGTTTGTTGGATGTATTTTGTGACATTTTCTCCCCCATTTGGTGCCTGTAAATTTTCTAGCTTTGCTGTCTAGGTTACATTTGTTTCAGTGACTTTTTATTTTTATAGCCCTGTACATATGTAAAAAAAAAAAAATTGAAAATCTTTCATGAACTTGTTTTTTTAATTTATGTCTTCTCATAATCCTTGCAATTTACCAAACTCCAATTTTTTCAACAATATCCAGGGAATCAGAAGACACTGCACTGATGATCCTTAAAGAAATATATCTGCCATTGGGAATGACACCAGTTATGCCAGGATCTGACCTCACAGCCAACAGATTTCCACGGCCTCCCAGTCAACAGTCATTAGGACCTTCTCCAACAATGCTTGGTGCTCCTCCCAGAGGCCCCCCCATGGGTCCACCATCAGGTCCTCCCCCTGGACACCCATCAGGCGCTATGTCTGGACCAGCAGGTTATTCAGCTGGGCCTCTGCCAGGCAATTATGCAGCAGTATCCAGAGGATCACCACCTCCACCTTACACAGCTCAGCAGGCTCCAGCAGCAGCCCCACCATCAGGGCCTCCTCCACTTCAAGGATTTGTAAGAAGGTGAAATGTGAAGGACTTGAGGTTTTTTTCAGTCTGGATTTTTTTGGGCTGTTACTTTTCTTTTTGAAAAAATGTCGTCTTTCATTTTACATTAAAAGCAAGTTGTGAATATAGATAGTTCAGTAGAAAAATGTTAAGGACGAAAAGATGACAGGTTCGGAAATTCAGTATTTTATTTATTTTTGGCAAATGCATCACAAATACACACACACAGCTACTTCTTGGCCAGCTTCATGGCAACCAGTCAGAATTATATTGAAGAGATCTCCAATGAATTGCTTTAAGTTAATTAAAGAAATCTATCATGAAACTGCATGTCAATGTACCCATTGTAACTGAATTATGTATATCTACCAAACATGATATATTAAGTATCATAGTTCTTAACACTCAACATAATGAAAATTACCATTTAAAGGAACTGCAGGCTTAGCCAAAAATGTGAAAATATGTTTATACATATTAGGTTCAAGAGAGACATTGTTATATCCATTGGGTTAAATGATATCACTAACATATTTATCTTTTTGTTATTGTATTCCATTAAATGAGAAATGCCTAAACTATCTTCAAAGTTTTTGGGAAATACGTTAATATGTATTCTTCAGAACATCACAAAAGCCTTTATTATGACAGAGTTACTGCCATTATTATTCAGTAATTTGTGTGTACATATATTCAAGTTGCCATCTGCTTTGGTGCTGTAAAGCTATTAGATAAAACAAGTGAATAAAAAGAAGTGCAATACCAAACTCGATCTATTTTTACTCGTGGAATTGCAGCTTAAAATGACTTGTTTTACAAAACAAACAATAGTTTGAGCAAAATGACAGTAAAATTTCTTAATACAAATTGCATAAAAGTTTTTGCTAAATACACATTTCTTCACAAGGCATGCACTCGACACTCCTATGTAATGAAAATGCTGTACACTAACAAAACTAAATGTAGCTTAGCAAAAATTATTTCAACTTCCATGTTATAAATCAGAAATTTACATGTCCAGTTTTTAGCATTTCATTTGGCAAGACTTCTCTGCAGATTTACTGGTACTAGGAGTTGTAGTTCAGCTGTATAGTCCACGGTTTCCACACTGGCACTTCCATCACAGGTAACGTCAAACATTTTGTCCCAGAGTTGTAGGTGAGCTGCAGTTCTGTAGAGGCAGATTCTAGAAGAAAAAAAAATGAAGTGGATTAGTGCTGCAAAAAAATTTGCAATTTGTCAGCTTTTTGTTATGTATTGTGTAATAAAGAGTCAAAAATGGAAATGAACTCGAGTCAGTGCAGTTTGTCAGATTCAGTCCCTCACTATGTTCTTAATCTCAGAATGGAGCAAACTGGACATTTAAAATTGTTCTGTCGATATTTTTCCCATCTTAACCATTTTTTAGTTGATCATTTAAAAATGACATAAATTGGTTATTGTGTATTATGTAATAAGTGTTGGAAATGAAAATTACACATTTCAGTACTTGTGTACATATTGGCATTTATAAGGTGTGACATCAAATTTCCATGGGCCTTAAGACCTTTGCTAGTCACATTATCCAAATATCTGTGTTACCTGCATTGAACAATTTAAAATTAATGTTATTATAAGCTGTTAAGCATTATGTAACACTGTATCAAAATTGATACAAATTTTGTGTACTGCCACTACAAATGCTCTAAAAGGAAAACTGCCTTACTTATGTATATTTATAGTTACAAAAATGAATTACATACAGCTCAATTTGGTATACGAGCTTGATTGCATCATTTTTTCTTTCTTGTTTTCTGCACATTTGACAGCTTTGCTGCCTTGTTTCTAATTGTACTTGCTGAAGAGCGCAAAAGACAAAACTGTGCCATGACAAGATTACCCACATCCTTGGATATGGCACTTGGAGATGACACAAGATTAGCCCATATACTTATAAACTATTGTTTCAAAATCCTAGGGAAGCCCACCTTGAACTAATGTTGCAGACACTGGCCTTTTTTCCATTCCAACTATGTACATTTTGTTCACTGAAGACTGGGGTTTATAGTTGCAAGAATTCACTCTGAAAAGACCAAAAAATGTTCAGTTCATCTCTTGTTATGGCCTACATCTCTTTGTCTTTGCTACTTTGAAATAATCAGTGATGTAATTTATTTTTCAAAATCTAAACTAGCATATCTGAGCAGAGAAAAGAGAAAATGAAAAAAGTATGTTTGTCTCAATATCTAACCTGCACTCAATTCTATCTTCTTTGAAAGAGTATTCCAAGTAAAGATAATTCCCAGATTTATAATCAAATGAATGTCCATCATCTATATAAAGTGTGCCACATGCAGCTCCCTGTAAATTAAAAAAACATTGACCTTTATGATAAATATTTTATGAAAAACAACTATTTCAGTGGTATAAGTATATGAAGACTGTAATTTAAACTACATCAATTAAATAAACAGTAATATATTTTCTAAAATATTCTATCAAAATGACTCTTTAAGTTTGATATGAAAAATAATTTCATCTTATATTTTTAAAAAGCCTCACTGTAACACTTTCAACCTATAGACTAGTACCTGAGAATCTAAACCAATATAAAGAATTACAGGATCATCTTTCATGAGCTCTGATGACAGCTGAATCTTTGCCTTTCGAGGGATAATAGTCCCTCCCCTCTGAAACACTGGAGTCTGGAAATATTCAACATAACCTGATTATTTAATGCATCAAAATAATTTCTCAAAAGGTTTGGAAACTAAGGCTTTTGTGGATATTTCATTTGATCATTTCAAAACAATGATCAAATGGTATGAATAATAATGTGGGTTTCTTTCAATAAATGTGAAATTTTAAACTGTCTTGGGTTGATTTGCCATACTTAGACTAAAAGAATGGTATCAATCATTACCTTTTTAAGTGTGACTGCAACCTCATGTCTCTGTCCACCATTCAAGGCTAAGTTACTGTCAACATCATACCAGAGCTACAAGTCAAATGAAGATTTTGAATATATACATGATCTTTGAAATCTAAATTTAGGATATCGATTTCTGTATTAGATTAGACCACAAATGTGGCCATAATATATTCATGTCAAAGCATGGTAAACCAAAATGTAAACAAATCATGTACATTTTGGGCATATTTCCCTGAGTTTCAGTCTACTGGCAGGGGCGTAACCAGGCATACGCATGGATGCACTGTGCGTACAATTTTTTGAGCCAACCATGATATTATTCTCCATAAATTCAGTGTATTTTTCACGGAATATAAGCGTACCTGGGAATTTTCAAAATCTGTGCGTACAATTTTAAGTGGTCTGGTTATGCCCCTGGCTGGAAAGCCACCTCTATCATCAGGCCACCATGCCTTCCCACTGAACCTTAATGAAGAGTTGCCATCATTACTCTGAAGTGCAGGGTGAGGCACAGAGACTGAATCAAACTAATCTATTTCTTAAGGTGAAATGGAACAAGTCCTTATGTTGTTAAAAAAGCCTATTCACACTTTAGTCTGATAACCACAAGAACTTTTCTCATCAAAAGACCACATTACAGTAAGACCCCAGCTTTGCCTTGGATACTTGAAAAACACAATAATTTTATGAATACTCAAAAGATCTTGCATAATTCAGACATTCTGATGTTTGACCACTCTCCTCACCTCTTTCTCCCCTGGACAATAGACTTCAACTGATTTAGCAGCAGCAGTAGTTACAGGGTGAACCAAAAGAGCATTTCCTGGAAGCAAAAAAAAAAAAAAAAAATCATCACCATGAATTAAGGATTGTGGAGAAGACAAACCTCACTTATATATACAGATTTACCCAAAGAAACACAATACTTGCAGTTAAATTGCATGCCATCTTAAGTGGGTTGCACCCCCCCCCCCCAAATAAACTAACAAGTACCAATTTTCTATGTAGCACTTCTAAATGCAATTAGTCTACTTTCATCATAAAATCTTGACTACCTATCATAAAACAATCTTCCACTGTAAATGTCTGCTCTTCTTTAGGAAACTCCACCCACAAGGGTCTTATAACTGGCCTACAGTGAATTTCAGCCTCATAGAATAGTGTATACCAGTATGGCAGCAGTCTATATCTGGCATAGATGGCTTGTCGGATGGCCTCTAGGTGTTCAGGAGGCTGAAGATAGGGCTCTCTTCTTTTGCTTCCTTTTGTTGAATGCTCTCTAAAGAATGGTTGGTATGCAGCAGTCTGCAATATAAAATACACTGTATTTTGCACTTTGTTTTCTTTTCAATGTTTGTGTAAATATATAATCCCACTGAACATCATCAAGATGAATGCTTAAATGTCTATTTATAGTCTACAGCCTTAAGTCTCAAATCCCAGTGACACAAATGTTGTTTCTTTCCTCTCAGCCTGAGTCTGAAAGTCTAAAAATATGTTAATCCAAAAAAAATATTCTGAAACAAATCACTTCAGAATTGAATTCATAAAGGAAAGGAATACAACATCAACAAACCCATATAAACTTACGATCTGACTGTAATAAATAATATTACCTGGTACCACCTTGTAAGCAGTTCTGCAGTTGGTTCCCCTTCAAATCCCCCTACATCTGTCCCACACAAATTGATACCGAAGAGATTGAGTGTCATCAGCATTGGCATTGAGAGTTTCAGGTGTTCCCAGCTGGCAACATTGTCCCCTGTCCATACAGCCCCTAAAACACAATGTTCACAATGTTTCAATCAAAATATGGCAGTGAGTTTTTCTAAGGTGTAAAATTTGTATTAGCAAAAACTTGGTAATAAACTAGTTATCCCATTAACTGATAATATTAAAACAAAACCAGTCACAATTTTCATAGTTGAATATTTATTCCATGTGTCAATTTAGCTTATATGTTTTTCTCTACAAAAACATAACCGACATATTATATCATTTCTTATTAATTTCAATGTAAGCAATAATATTACACCTATTTTTAGCTATTATCATATTCTACACATGACTTTCATCTGTACATACCCCATCTCTGTGAACCAGCAAAGAAGCTTCTTGACAGCACAAATGGTCTCTCTTTTCCAGATGACCTGTCTAAAAGTCCCTTATAGGTTGCCATTTGCTGAAAATATATAGGATTATTGTGTGATAAGTATAATTGAAAGTAAAGCATGCATGCAAATGATATAAACCAGTAGATCGACCCTTGCACCTGCCCAACATATTTCCATAAACACTGTCTATCAACTGAAAGAAAACAAGACACTTTCCATACAGGTAATAAACCAACTTAAGTCTTCTAAAACAACCTGGTGCATTCTATATACACTGTGTACTAACCTGGTACATTCCATACATACTGTGTACTAACCTGGTACATTCCATATATACTGTGTACTATTACTACTAACCTGGTACATTCTATATATACTGTGTACTAATCTGGTACATTCCATATATACTGTGTACTAAACTGGTACATACCATATATACTGTGTACTAACCTGGTACATTCCATACACACTGTGTACTAACCTGGTACATACCATATATACTGTGTACTAACCTGGTACATTCTATATATACTGTGTACTAACCTGGTACATACCATATATACTGTGTACTAACCTGGTACACTCCATACACACTGTGTACTAACCTGGTACATACCATATATACTGTGTACTAACCTGGTACATTCCATACACATTGTGTAAATCCCTGTGCTCCCATCCCTTGTAATGAACTGCGTCCTTGGTCATAGTAGTGTCTGGGTTACCAAAGATGGAAGGTTCATTCATGTCATTCCATATATGCAGCTGTAAAGTAGATCCTTGGTATTTCTCCAAGGAAAATTGACTGGCCCAGTAATCACGTACCTCAGGATTGGTGTAGTCAAGCCAGCAGCTGTCACCTTTTGTAAAAATTTATGCCATTGTCGAGAAAAAAATAATGATGTAATTAAATCATGCTATTCAATCATAATAAAACAAGGCAGAAGAACATTTAATCTCATTAACCACAGTCTACTACATTAAAAGATTCACTTTTAAAAAAGTAATCTAGCATGTTGGCAAGTTGACACATCACAAAAAGTGAGACCTCACCTGGCCAGCACTCTCCTACACAATCTTTCCCTGTGAAATCCTTGATAAAGTAGCCTTTCTCAGTACCTTCTCTAAAAATGTAATAATCTGGGTCCTTTTTTATGTGTGGATCAACAATTGTCACCACCTTGTGTCCTTTTCTTGCCAAATCATTGATGAGGGCTTTGGGGTCTGGAAACTTGGCCTTGTCCCATGTAAAATATCTGGAATAAAGTTTACTTGATGATTTATTGAATTCTCCACATGACACACATTAATGCCAAACAATGATCAAATCAGAATACTCGTAAGAGATTTTGATTCCTATTACAATATAAGCTACTGAAAATGACATGCATGTGCTGTCCATAAATAAATTATTGACAGAATCTTGAAACTCAGGGTGCCATGGTCAGACTACATGTATTGTTTTTTTTTACTCTTTTGTGTCGGCATTGCAAATAAATAAACAAATGGTCAATACACTATCTTCTAGTGTTATTTAAATAAATGTTTGGTGCCTGAATATACTGTACTTTTACCTTTTTCCATCTGTGTGCTCTATATCCAGCCATATGACATCATATGGGATCTGCTGTTCTTCCAAGCGAGCATCAACACTGCAAGAAAACAAGGGTTGACAATATTAACTGAATGAATGAGCATTATAATCAACTTTTGTAGGTAAAAATAGACAATAAAAGTATGAAACTTTTGCAATTTAAGCATACAATACAAAGTTTTACAACAATTTTCAGCCTACAGAAATAAGACATAGTTCCTTTTTTGAACTCCACTTTTCCAGGCAGATGACAATGGCCGCAAACATGTACATGTAGTACTTTTCAAACTCAACAAACAATATAACTGACCTTCTGACATCTGCTTCATCATCATAATTCCACCTGCACTGGTGATACCCTAAGGCAAACAGCTGGGAAAACACAGAAATTTTATTTATTGAATATAATATTGATGATCCAATGCCAAAATCCTAAGCTTATCATGAATGATATTGGTTTAAAAGTTAAACAATTCATCATTTTTCACTTTCTGAAGAAGAGGAAGTATTTGAGATAAAAAAAAAAGTACAAAAGGTTGGCATTAACATTTGTTGAAAAGCATTTAAATGACTTATCTCTGTAAAGATGAAGCCACGGGAATATTTGATACTACATTCCAAATTTCTTGGACTCTAATTATACATTTGGTGTGTGGCATGGTGTGGGGTCATTTCTCTTCAGACAGTACCACGCTTAAGTATACATGTCTACAATTGAATATTTTCTATTTAGTCTTTTCTGCCATATAATTAACTTACTGGAGGCAATGTGCTTTTTCCTGTCAAGTCTGCATACTGTTTGAATATGTCCCAAGGTGAGGGTCCAGGCATAAAGAACATGTCCATCACACCGCTCTCTGAGACCCAGTGGGTCATCACTTGGGGTCTTTCATTACGTGTCTGTAAAATTTTCAATTAATCAAAATTAACAACTTTAAAGGTCAAATAAGCACCATTCATATTCACACAATTTTTTTAACCTGCAATTATTTTGTAAATTATTTGCAATAATTACCCACCTTTTCCTGCTTGCTGATGCTGACCCAGGTTTCGNTTTGCTGATGCTGACCCAGGTTTCTGAAGCATTCAGCCACATGAACCCTACTGTTATGTCTGGGCTGAAAATAACAATCAAAATGATCAACCAGAGAATGTGAGTGAAGATGAAATGATTTCCGATCACTGAGAAAACTAAAGGACAGCAATTTTAAGTGTGTATAACATAAGATGGAACTAAAATTTACCTGTGAGCAATTACAGCAGGTACATTCCCATACAAGGACATAGTGGAGCCAACAGCATAACCATAGTGATCTGCATTATATAACTTGATAGGGGAAGACATCCTAGAACGAAAGAAATATTTCCAAAGACCTAAATATATTCATACATAATGTAGTATAGCAATTAACTGTTCAAGTTGACAGTATTGTGAAAATGTTAAAATATTACTTTGTTAGATGAGGGGAATTCTACAGCATTTCCCCTCTGAGTGACATCTGTTCTCCCCCATAACATTTTGGACATTTCTGTGCTTATCAATGTACTTGAAAGGTGCCATTAGGTGCAGATGCTGAGTTTTTATCACATCTTCTTAAGTTATAAAAAGATAAAAGTATTTTAAACATGACCATAATGTGATGAAATATGTTAAAAACTATGGGGAGGAAAACTACAGAATTGTTCATAAATATCAAATATAATAAAGTAGGATGTAGTTCTCATATCAATGTTTAGGGTAGAAACTGATGTACTGATAAGCAAAATTGTGTTTTCTGCAAGAATAACATAAATACTAAAAAGACTTCACCAGTGTTTTCATCACCCTCATTTTTCATCATCACATTTTTACATTTTTGTTGTCTTGCATTGTAAAATGATGCAATAAAGACTGTTCCCAGTATAATTAATTTAATCCTGCAACATGAACATGATCAAAGAAAACCACAAAGCCAGAAGACTTACTCTGTATTGTCCAGTGAGAGTCTAAGAGCATGTTCAGGTAGACCATAAAGATGTTGAAACCCAACAAAAACTACATCTGCACCAATAGAGCTTGGCCCTGCCATATAAAAGGGATCATATTTATTAGTAAAAATTTCAACTGAATTAAACTAAACTTCAATACATTAATTCAGGTGTAATAAATAACTGAATCAGTGGTATTTGCTAGGTACAGCACCTGAACATGTTAAATTAAATTACAAGAGCTGCACACTGAAATAACAAAAAGAAGACAACCTTGCCATCACACAATCTTTCCCTCATACACAAGCAAATTACAGTATATTCCTCTGTGAAAGAGTGTTGTTTCAGTTTGAAAATAATTGGAACAGTTACTGTAATTTAAAACAATTAAAATGATTTCCTTTATAAAGATGTATGATGACAAACTGAGAGCTTACCATATGGTTTAGAATCAACCACCCCCTGGTAGTCTTCTTCCCACAGACCTTGGTTCAGTTCAACAGTAGGCTACAAATTTATAATACAAAAAGCTGTAACTACATATGTTTCCATTCCTTCATCTGACATTCATGTCTAAATCAAATTGAACAACAAATAAAATATCATAGAAATGATCTGAAAATTATTTCAAAAATGTTCTGTGTTCACAAATTAAAGGTCAACAGTGCTATAGCAGGTATATTAAGGAATGAAGTAAAAATGTGCTTTGGTGTAAATTTATGCCAAGGAATATTGGTGTTTATTGTCCTTACTTTAAGATTTTTGCTGCCATCTTTGCTTTTGCTTTTCTTTAGTGGTGGTTCATCTTCTGTGCTATCAGATGCCTTTCTCTTGCCTGGTTGTAATCCAGTGACATTTTGCTGGGACCTAAGATTCAGATAAAGGAATCAATAATAGCATGAAATTATTTAACAGTGACTATTGCCCAATACCACCAAAACAACAATACCAATGTCCAATTCCTTGCAAGTTGCTGACATCTAAAATGACTTTTATAATTCTTTATAATCATAATTCATAACGTTAACATTTTACAATATTTCAGCGATGTCTTAATGATACATATTAACAGAATAGTTTTCTCAATATCTACTGTATATTCTTGCTGCATAAAAAGCTGCATAATGAACTTACATGTATGATTTCTTTCTGTAGCATTCAATCCTGAAGAAATTGTATGAATTGAGGCTAAATACTGTTTGGCCAGCACATGAAATCTTAGCAGTAAATGGCTGTGACACCACTGATAATTCTGAGTCATACAGCTTCAAGATCATGGCACTTGCTGATTGCTTTACAACAGTAATGCTGAAGTTTATAGAATAATATCCATTATATATGTATATCAACATGGCTTTCAGATCAATCTGCCTATTAATAAACATTTCACTAATGAAGATCAATGAAATCAATACAAGTCAATGTTTCAGAGTTGAAAATTTTCTGTTTTTCCCGAAAAAAAGTTCTCACTCATGAATCTATGACCTATCACTTCACTAATCAAATAAACCAATGACAAAATGGCCTTTAATTCATATTAATTCAAATTGTACATTCATTTGATAAATTCCAGGATTGTATAATATTTATATTAATAAAAAACCTTTTCATATTAAATTAAAATTTAAAAAAATATGCTAAAAGGTACCGGTATCCTTCAATATTCTTCTCCAGCACATCCCCTTCTGGTATGGAATACCTAGGCCTCAAAGGCTGGGCCTCATCAACTGTCACCCTGATGGCACCATTCTTGTAGAATCTGAATTGGAGGATCAACTTATCACTGCCATCATCTCTGTTCAAAGGTATCTTGGCCACATTGTCCTCAATTTCAGCATCTCCAATACAAGCTGTATACTTCAGCACTAGACCATATTTCTGCCTCCTGCACATAACAAATAGGAAAGATATACATGTACATCTACAATGAATGTAACCTATCTGTTTTATACATAGTACTAATTAATATCTGTTGTATACATGATACATGTGGATGTGCATTTTACATGCATATATTATAATGTCTTTTCCCAGTACATACAGCCTGTACATGTATGTATGTTGAATTTCATATGTAAATCATTTGTCATAATATATCAGTGAAGCTCTATTGTATATAAATATGTTACTTCTTTGGCAATGACAAGTCACAATACATGTACATGTACTGTATAAGCATTAAATTTAAAACCGGTCTTTAATCTGAAAATAATGATATATCATACAGTAGATCTATGTAGTTTGTCATTTTAAAAAGTTTCCAGGATCTCCTCTGTCAAAAAAGCTGAAAAACTTAAACAGAAGAACAAGAACAAATAATTTTCATGTCCACAGCTGTAACTTTTAATTGTATTGACATGTTAATCATCAGTTATGACCGCCTTCACTACAGACACTCTTTTGAGTCGGCCTACAATGTACATGAACATGGTGAAATTGTTATCTAACCTCAGGGTACCCAGAGATTTGTAATCCAGTGTTATTATTACCTGAAGAAGCTAGCATCATTGCAGGTCCTGAACTTTGCCATGATAACAGTAAACTCTTTTACCTTCCCCACCTAATGATTATATGTTTTTGCACCATCAAAACCGCAGCAAGAATATGACGACTCCCGCTTACGCCATACCAAAATCACACAATCATCAAACTAGCAAATCATTCTGTAGTCGATATGTGCAGATTCTAAAAATCAGTACACCAATCCCCAAACATTGCACCTGGCTAACATATTTCGTTACATTTGCGTGCCCGACAGCCGCTTTTAAGGTGAAAACGACTGCAAGTGCTGCCCTCTTTTAGCCTTAGAGCGAAGCAACTTTCCAATCTATTATGTGCGTACAGCTACATTGGTAGTTTATCCGTGGTTCTGTTTCAGTTTATGATGTCAACAAACCAGGCAGAACTATAACATGTATATGGCCTTCAGGCCATTAAAACGATTGAATGTCCCTTTGAACACTTTTCTCTATTTAATACACGAACGAGGGGGGGGGGGTGACGTTTTAACGTTTTAATTTAAAAATATAATTTATCAAAGAAATGTTTTCTTTCGAGTTATTGAAATTTTCTTACCTTTTCCGTGTGTTGCATAAAAAGATGATTGAAGTCACTTGAGTGATATCGATAATGTTAACAATAAAAAAAAAATGAAGCATATATATGTATCAGTAACAGGCGTATATATATAATTTTCTGGGTTTACGTTTATCGAAAACAGCCGTCTTAAAGTCGCATTCGAACCGGTCTCCCATTGCGCAAACATTTGAACTGGGGGGGGGGGGGAATTACGGCTCCATTTTTTAAATGATAAGCTAAATTAAAAAATATTATAATAATGTTGGCGTTATAATCGCCATCCGCAGTGGAACCTTCAAAGTGGAACCTTCAAACAGACCTACAGGTAGCTTTTTAATGATATAAATAAGTTTTTTTAAACCATCGTTTTCAGAGCAATTTTTGTAATAAAACGTTTTCTTACTAATACTGTATCCAGCTGGTTATCAGAACAATAAATATTACAACTAACCATAGTTTAAATTTAGTTAAACTTGTCCTCTATTAAAAGAAAAGCGAAACCAGGGCGGTTCCATCTCGCCGCATCGGATAAACGCAATTCTGAATGGTGAAAATTGTGAACTTCATTAGGCCATACGAATATCATTAGGCCATTTTGTGTAATTCAGACAAAAGCTCTGAAACTCTCCATATTTTGAAAAAAGCAGTGTTGAAAAATATAAATATGGCTACATTAAGTGCCTTTTGCACATGAAAAAGCAGGAAAAATGTAAAAAGTAATTTGTGATTAACTTGGCTATAAACATTTGGATATTGGGTGACGCACGGGGGCTTTAAAAGTCGAGGGGCTACTAATTTTACCCGAAACAAACAAAATTCAAACACTGATCTGAAAGAAAAGTTAAGCACGATTTAAATATATGGAAAAGTTTTACGGTAGTTGAGAATATGGGATAAGTAAAAGTTGAATCTTTCAGGTCGCAGGTAGGCCGAGTAGGAATCCCGGGTGGAGTCGAGATTCCGCATGCAGAACACGAGTTTGGAAGATGGGTTTTTGGGTTGATATTAAGCAGAAACATTGAAGGGGTGGAAAGGACATTACAAGGGATTGGACAAGAAAATCTTACCTATTTTATAAATGGCGAGGCCTTTTTTAAGTTCTTCTTGACAATTTTAATATTAAAATACTAAAACAACGGCATTGGTAGTACTGATAATTGGTTTATTTGTCACATTTTTTCATGAAACAAGCTTTGAATTTGCATTTTACTAAAAGTGAGTTTAACTGTCAAATGCAGTTTTAAAATTTATAAATGCAAGCCTGCTAGTCAAAAAAAAATGCATAAAAGCAGATAAAGATTAAATTAGCATTAGATTTTTGACTTCCTCAATACACAGATAATAGATTAGCAGAAAAGTAAATAAGGCATGCACTGTACTTCATGTGTGTATATACAAATGTCAGAAAAATTTTTAATGAATTTTATACATTTTTTGAAATTCACTATAAATTCCACTAAATGAGAATTCTAACGAATTACTAGTCTTTTTAAAGTCAAATATTTTTCAAAAGAAATTTCACTTGTTTATGTATTTAAAAAAATCTAAAATATGTGTATTTGAACACTAGCACAGCACACATTGTTTTCAAGTATGTTGTCCACATACACGTAATTTTACTAGTTGACCTCATTTTGTGAAGATGGCACAATTCCAGACACAGATTTTTGTATGTCTGTGTTTTCTTGAACTGGTATATTTGTGGAAATAGGGAAATTTTCTTGATTGGCTTCGGTGTTGGCTATACTGCCTCCCTGAAGAATATCAACTGGAATAGAGAGACCGTATTAACAGACTTTGCATGAATGTGCATAGTTTTGTGATAACTTTATAGCAAACTAAGACATGTTTAATATGATTATTAATATCGAATCTGTTATGTACCAGTAGCCAAATGTAAAAACCTTAATCTTTACATTATTGATCAAAAGGTTCTGTCTTAGAGGGAAAAAAATTGTTAATTCCCCCCCCCATCTTAATTACCTGTCCTTGTTGTGTAAACTTCATTATGGTATTTCTGGCACTGCATAGTTTCAGGATTAAAGTCGGAGGACCCCCCAAACAGTACCAGTTGGTCATCTACAACCACAGATGTGTGAACACCTCGCCCAGAGGGCAGTTCTCCCTGGACTGTAGGCTGCATCCATTCCATAGTAGCTATACAAAATAATTTGGACTTAGTGGTAGCTATACAAAATAATTTAAAACAATAATAATAATAATCTAAAACATTAAAAGGTAACTGGATACAAAATCTAAATGCAAATCTCAAAAAGAAAAAAAATCTACATACAAATGCTGAAAGGTATGATTAACAGGGGCGAATCCAGAAATATTTTCTGACAGTCTTCCAAATTATCTTTGTTGGTCCATCCTCCATTGTTGACCGTCTACCGACAGAAAAATTGAATACCCGTCAATGTAAACTTGAAAATCTGACCGTCTTCTAGAAGACCCAGAAGATGGCCTAAATCCGCCCCTGATTAATTTAGTTCTACTACCAGAACTCAGTGAATGATAAGAACCTAAATAACTCTCATCCTTTTCAAGTTTACCTGTATCAAATATGTTGAGATCATCATAATGCTGATTACTTTGACTTCTACCTCCAATAACAACAACTCTTGCACCAACTGCAGTGACTGTGTGAAATGACCTAGGCTCTGGCTGACAACCTTTGACAGAGACTGTTTCCCACTTTCTTGTTTCTATAGACAAATAGTAAAGATGTCTTAGATCGCATTCACAATGAGTTGAGCCAGGCTTTACAAATCCTGGAACTAAATAAGGCGGACGTACATGAAAGAAAAACCGCCTAATCTTTTAATAGTCTCTCCGCCTCTCACACGCCTCCCCACACGTCGTCCCTGTGGGGACACAGTCATTAAATCTTGGCTCCGTTCGCCATGCGGAGGCTACCTGAGAAATATTAAGTGTGCAAATTCATAGGGATCTAAATCGTGAAAACACCCCCCTTCCAATAATTAACCGACAATAATTTTTCACAACAGCATAAGATGGATGTGAAAAGCCATTCATTTGCGTTGGTAGGCCTACACCAAAGTAAAATTTCACGTGCAGTAATTGAGTAGGGTATCTCCGTGAATATCTCCGTGAATATCTCTGGTGACATTATCTCCGTAGATAGCCAATTCATTGTTGCTCTACGGGCCAATTCATTCCTTTTTCGTCTCTGTTTTAAAAGATAATAGCTTTTTTCCTTCGATCACCTCCAGCCGCCATGCTTTCTTCATCTTGAGTTTAATTGATGAGCATGCACACTTTATATTTCTCAGCAAGCTTCCGCATGGCGAATGGAGCCGAGATGTAATAACTGTACCCCCGCAGGGATGACGCGTGGGGAGGCGTGTGAGAGCTGGAGAGACTATTAACAGATTAGGCGGTTTTTCTTTCATGTACGTCCGCCATATCTAGATCCAAGATTTGTAAAGCCTGGCTCAACTCGTTGTGAATGCGATCTTAGTAGATCCATACATGCTCTTAACAAAATAAATAAATAAATAAATAAAATATATATATATATTTTTTTAAATCCAACATTTCATTTTTACTAAGAGGCCAATATACTGCTTTTCAAATGTACCTCTAAATGTACTATGTATAATATCTGATGGAAAAATATTGGTTTTCACCATTCTTTTAACACAAAAGTATTTCAGATATTAATAAGTGACCCATACCTATATTATATATATAAAGATCATTTCTCCTGGCTTGAGAATCTCTGCCCCCAAAGATGACCAGTTTATTTTTTACTGCACACATCCCTGTGGCCGCCCTTGGTGTGGGGCCTACAGCATTCATCTGCATGGGATGGGACCACGAACTAGTTTCTGGAATAACAACAAGTTGTCCAGACTTGACAAAACAAAAACTTCCTCACTAAATGGATGTCAAATATCATTAATGCATTAAATAGCTTAATTGAAATACAAGTTGTCCAAAAAATTATTCAAGAAACTTTTATTATGCAAAATCAAGTTATGCATGGTACTAAGCATCTGCTTGTTATTTTATATCATTTCTGCAATTGTCTACTTTGTCATACCTGTATCAAAAATAAACAAATCATTGAACCATCCAAACTGTGCTGCTTCTTGTGAGTCTGCTTCCATACCCTCATCCTCCAAGGCATCTTCCTCTTCAGTGCTCACTTCTTCCACCTGTATAAAAACACATTAATATATAAAGTATAGAGAAGTTTTCAGTAATTTTTGAATCAATGACAATGGTTTACAACTGGGCAAATCTTCCAAAATAAAAAGGACCCTGATTTACATTTGTACATCTGTGTAATGGCACAGTGCAGATTGCAAAAACAACTAGGTATGCACTCTGAACTTTTATTTCATTAAAAACTCAAAATTTTTATTTCATAACAAACCTCTTCTTCTTCATTTTTTGGACCAAAGCCACCAAAAAAGTAAACATTTTTGCCTACAACTGCAGAGGCCAACTTGTCTCTTGGACTTGGGCACTGACCCTTGCCTTCTACTTTAGACCAAGTGCAAGTTTCTGAAAAAGATGACTTACAAACGGTTAAGTAATAAGAATTATTTGCAAATAATTTTCTCTGAACATAAATTCAGCATACTTGATAAATAAACTATTATATTTATAAATAAAAATCCTTCAATGCAAAAAAAAAAAAAATTATATCATGACATGGGAATACCATAACACAAAACCCTTACCTGTATCAAAACAGTGCAGATCATCTAACCATCCAGACGTCTGGTTAAGACCACCAAACAAATACAGATTATTTTCTACAGCTGACATAGCTGCTGATGATCTTGGTGGAGGCAAGTCTCCCTTGGTTTCAACACAAGTCCAAGTGTTGTTATCTAAAAATACACTAGCACTATGTAGTAATGACCATCATTTAACTTCATTGTTTTTTTTTTTTCTTTCACACACTTTCATGCAAATTCGTACGTTTAATCTAAATTCGTTAATTAGCACTCCTATTTACAATTTCCCATATGTACTGGTTACAACCACCAGTACATATCAGGAACCACAAATAAGAGTGCTAACACACGGATCTCGTGCAAATTGAAACCAAAAGTTATGTGCAGTATATTATATTTATAATGATAATTTATAATATATTCTGGTGACTGGATAGGCCTACTGCTTCTGTACTACTACTAGCACAACTAGTATATCACATCTTACCTAAGTCTAAAGAAAACAGCTCATTAGATTCAGTGTGTTCGCCATCTGCTCTGCTGACAACTCCGCCAAATACGTACATTTTACGTGCAATTGAAGCAGCGGCATGTCCATCACGGGGAGCACAATATTTGTTTTGAACTTCCAATTTGGACCAATTCACGTTTATGTCATTATCCAGACGCTCACCATACTTAACGTTTTGACTGGCCTCGTTTCCCATGTTAGATAATGAAAAAATAGCTGTTTGAATCAACGTCAGTCTTAGTCTACGATCTGGTGGCGGGAGAAAATGTCATTCAATTTCCCGCGGAATGTTTACTTCCGGCTTCCGGGATTTGTTTACTGTGTTCAAGATACATATTTAGTGGAATTGCCTTTAAAATTGCCTTAATGCTTTCTTTTCATTAGGATAGGTTTATTTATATCTTTTTGTCATATATCTATGGCATAAAGGAATACCTGTTGGTGATAAACATCGATAAAATAAAAGAAAGTGGATCGTGAGTGTTCGGTAGTTTCCGACATTCCATGCAGAAACAACATGGAGTCTCCTATTGCGGTTTGCGGTTTCCCTTGAGTCGGTGAGTTTTGACAAAAAAAGATGCGTTTCATATGAGACAGTGGTATAGAATTTAGTGTAACATTATTAATTATTTCCCAATTGACATGTAAGAAAGGTCACCATACCTTGGTATTATTGTTTTATGTGTCAAAAGTGGATTTTTCGAGCACTCGTCAGAGAGCAGCGGAGAGACGATTTTATTGGCTAACATGATGTCTGCTGTTTGATGATGGTGAAAAGTCCCCGCGGAATTTCAGTTGTCAAACTCGATATGTAGATTGCATCATTGTTGTTAATTGAGAATGTCAGATACATTTTCTTTTTTGGTTTTGATTTTGGTATGCTTAAGCATCACTTAATGCCAATTTAGGTTAGACTTTGTTTACTGTTAAAATGTGTCGAATCTTTTGGAAGAATAGAAGTTTCGTGATTTTGTCTAGGACTTACGAAGGTAAGTATGATTTGACAGGGATCACTTAATGAAAGTTGGTTATTTGCAAATTTTTTGATCCAATTAATTTTACTTATGCTTTCTTTATAAATATTAATAAAATGTTAGTTTAAGCAAGTATAAGTTATATGTTTTTGTTTCAGAGTAAGCATTTACTTCAAAATTCAAGTATGGTGAAAGGAATACAAAAGAGGAGCAAAACACAATCCACATTGTATATCTCCTGCAGGGCACATGAGTGTATTTTTGGATTTTTTGCGTCCTCGCAGACGCCTCCAGCCAAACACACTTCAATCCAACAATGAGGAAAAGGCTCAGAGAAAAAACAAAGCTCACAAGGAGAATGGGTTGCATGGAACCCTCCCCCCTGTTTGTGTGCCAAGTGTCACAGAGAGGAGGCCTCCCAGGACACCCACTGTGTGTTTGGCAAGCGGCACCGAGAGAAAGGCCCTCAAAGGAAGATCTAAGACCAAGCAGCCAAAAGAAAAGTCTTATTTTCCTTTTCAGAGATTACCTTTAGACTGTAAACTAAAGGTGTTCATGTTTCTTAACATGATCGACAAGGGTCGATCTGCTCAGGTTTGCACAGAATGGCAAGATCTACTGAAAATGCCTAGTCTATGGGTGGATGTGGATTTCACCCTCTTTCCTCTGTGCTTCAATGCCAACACAGGGCATACTTGCAATAGAGATTGTTATGAGCAATACCAGATTAGAGTTAAGGCTTCTATGAAGCATCTTGCTGCCATTTCACCTGTGATGAAACGTTTCTGCTTTGCCTTTGATATTGGAGACTTTGCTGATGGATGGTTGAATTCTGTTGAAGACCTGATTTTACATTCAAATTTCCGAGACTTAACATGTGTCTATCTGAACTGGAAGGAGACTCCAGTAAAGCCATTTTGGATTGAACAGGTTCAGTACAAGTGGGAGAAGTACAATGACTACGTCTACAGACATAGACGTCGTGGAAGGTGCTTTGTGAATTTTTTTGATCTCTTTACATCTCAAGCATCTAATATCAAATGCCTTGCCTTACCTTTTTATTGGAATGAGCGCTCCGTGAGGAATATGGCCAGGCTACGAAATCTTGAAGTCCTCATACTGGAGAAGGACTATGTATTTCAAATTATAAATCAATCGCACCTCAACGAGCTACTCCTTAATCTCCCCAAACTGCGTAAATTAGTTCTTGAAGTGTGGATACCTGAAAGGTTGTGGCCATATGAGATGACATCGGAATCTTTGCAACATCTGGATATATCGCAGTGTAGAGGCTTTTGCTTGAAGAAAGTGAACATGCCAAACTTGGAAACATTCCGTGTTACACTTTTCCCCACTGGTGACTCTTCTATACTCATCCCTGACACATTTCCATGTCTGCATGATGTACTGGTGCAGGGAGCTCCTGAACTGAAGAGCATCAATGGACTGAAGCTGCCTAATGATTGGAAATTGGAAATCAGTCCACAAATGGAGAGTTTGTATAGGACAGTTTGTCCTTGCATAAGACATAAACCAAGTCAGCTTGCATGAAAACTTAAATTCTTTAGATTAAGAAGTTTTCAAAACCTTTTGTCGGCAGCTGTATTTGGGATATCTGTCAACAAATTTTTTTTTCTTTAAAAGTTCAGTTGAGATCCTTTAATTGATCGTAGGTTTAAACTATATTAACCTTTTTATGTTTAGAACATGTGAATGGTATCATTAGTTCAGGACTTCTTCTTATACTTAGAATGCCAAAGTTCAATATTGGATTGTGGGAGAACAAAATGAAAGTTTTGGTTTGATGTATTAGCTTGGGCTTAATCGCTGCAAACAGCATTAAGTAAAGAAGTTTTGTTTTCAGGGGGCCAAGCATTAGACAGTGTGTGACTGTGAAACCTGTTATTATTGAAGATCATGCATAATTGTCGTTGATGTAAGTAGTTACATATATTATTAGAGAAAAAAGACTGTTAGATTCACATGCTATATACACTGCCATGTGTCAAAAATTGTTGGACCACATCTTGTTTGCATATAAGAGATGCAGATGGAGCAATATAATTGATCAGGTGTTGCGAACAGTCCCAGATGCAAATGATCTCAGAATTAAATAAAAGATATTGAACCACCATGATTAATGTGTATGGAATCAACAAACTAAAGAAAATGCATTTCAGAAAATTAACGACATGTTAAAGTTTCATATATGCTTAATGAAAAAAAAAAGTAATGCACTAATGACTATTGTAATGGCCCTAGACATAGTTGATTACATATCTTAGCATCTGGTTGGTTAATCTGCAGAGTCAAATTTCACATTCCATCCTCACATATGAAAGTATGTATCCCTTGTCCCCTAAAATATTTCTAACAGTAGTGGATATAAAATTTAATGCAAGTTTTTGCTACTACATCCCCAATTATTGATCCAGTGTGCTGCTGTTAACCATAAGATATTGTGTAACAGATGCAGTAAGTAGTTGTACTTGTGATAAACAGTTTGGCTCTTGGCAAATATATATATCTTTTTAGAGGAAAAGTTAAGAAAAAAATGTACTTCAGAATTTGCCAATTGTGAAATCTAAATCCATTTATTGCTACAATGAAAATGAAAGTAAATGAACAAGAAAATTCATGTAATGTAGAGCAACATACCTGCACTAATAAATGCTTTTATTTTTATATTCCATGTATGAGTTGTGAAGTTAATTTGATGGCTCAGTGATGTAATGTATTTGAAGTACTTATATTTGGCTTTACTTAATATGTTTACTTAATGTGTGTAATAATCAAATATTGAGGGGTGAGGGGGAAGGAAAAGAATACATTTTCATCTATTTCATTCTAGTTCTTTTCCTAGTGTCTGTTAACCATCAGACTAGTGAATTGTAAGTCCCCAGAAAAAAGACGTTTGACACCAATTTCTTGAGGTATTACTGTAACAGTGAGTAGGTCAAATTTGGTCCTGAAATAATCATATTTCGATAACATCTCTAAAACTGTTTCCTAATGTTAAATGTGAACTTCACCTTTTCCATTTATTGGAAACAATTTCTAGTTCAGCGCCATTATAAACCTTCATAAAATTACTGTTAGAATTTTAGTGTTTTGATAACAACTAGTTGGTTTAAGTGAAAAATGGTACATTAAAGTCATGCATTACTAATTTATCACAAAACTTGCTTCTATTTGAATAAGAAAATTTGATTTGTGGCCTGTAAAGGAATTATGAAAATGAAACACTTGAAGGATTTTACAAGGTTTTGGTAATGCTTTTCATTACATTCTTATTTGATATGATTGGAAATAAATACTTTTGTAAATTCACACTTTTGAACAGACATGTCAATCTATCTTCTGATGTACAAGTAGACAGCAATGCATTGTCAGAGATATGAAATGATTACAAATGGGAGCAGATATGTAAAACCACTTAAACTTGGAACAATGGGGAAGGTGAACTTAGGGAAAGAAGTTGCACCAAATACTTTAGCTTAAACTTGGCAAACATCAATATCTCCTGTAGATTTGTATATAAATCAATATATGGTTTTATGCATGGTTTTTGGATTTTAAAATCTAACCAGATCCATCGGTTTTGTAGTGCTTACAAAAAGTTATCAATAAAGAGTGATATTTAATAGCACAAAAAGGCTGAAATTCTGAGATGACCCCGAGTCCTTACAAAAATAAGTATTATTGTAATTATATTTTATTTTACCCATAATAACAAAAGACATGGCACTTCTCTGTGTATTAAGATTTTCAGCAAAATTAAAAATGAACTGAACTGTAAACAGTTTTCTTTGGAATTATTAGATTTATGGAAGATCCATATGCAAAGCAAGAATTATGAGCTTGATGAAAAAAATGAAATATTATTTAGGGAATAATATATGTTGATCTTCAAATTTCAACTTGATCTTTTTGGTTCAATGGTCAATCTAACAGAACTGATTTTAAAGATCAAAAGCTTGATAAGATGATGCAAATTGTTTATTGGAGAAAATGTTTTTCTATATATAAATTTTTTTCACTCCATTGAAAATTCTATTTCTATGCACCCATTGTGCTAGGTGTGAAGCTCTTATGCATTTGGAGGTAAAATGTGTTGTGTTCATGTGACTGAGCGACCGATATGATGCATCTGTGGTGCAATGCTCGTAAACAGAATGCAGCTGACATCCGCATTTTTGCTGTTTTAAAAAGCTGCACTAAGCGATAGCAGATAAGAAACAGTAAACAGAGGTTTAACTGTAAGTAGTAAAGTGCGCATGGATATAAATTGATACAATATAGAATAAAGTTTATAAACATTTGAAAACCAGTTCCACGTTTGCTTCACGACTGTCAAATTGACTTCGATGTCGCAGTTTTGGTTCATTGCAGGTAAGTAGCAAGGCTGAACTTTGCAAAACTCGTGAGATTTTGGCCTTTCATAACTCGCATAAAGAGACTGAACAGATTAGTTTATTGTTAGTATTAGTGGATTATATCTGTGTGGACTTTGCACAGGCGGCTGACTGAGGGTGGGTTGCAGTGATAAAATAGTTTTGCTTGTTTACTTACTTTGCGCGGCAAAGAAAAAATAGTAGACGACAGAGATGATACTAAAGAAATATATACAACACAAGGATGCAAAAATTGTTTGGTTTTGTCTTGTTTATACTGTTTTGGGGAGGGAAATGTTTAAAGGAATAACAACTGTTTGTAAGTTATCCATATTTCACAATAAATGCATTGTAAATAGCTCATAGAAATATAAATTCCATTTTACCACCAAAAACGGTGGTTAACACAATTATTCTGGACTTTGTGCTTGTCATCACATCACGTGACCTCCATAGATGGCTACACTCTGTAATAATCTCTTAGGAGAATATGACAGAAAACCAAACTTTTTAGAAAAAAATCAGGGACTAACTTTGAATGTGCACATGGGAATGGATTCATTAACCATTGGTAAGTAAGGGAAAATTGTTGTTTGCCCCAGGAAAATCCATTTTTTGGCCAAAATGAACAGTTGTTATCCCTTTAACTTTTAAGCTGGGGGGGGGGGGGGGCATGTGGCCCCACTCCAAATTTTTAATATTTGAAAAATCAGCAGTTTTAGTTTGGTCTCTATCTTGATTTAATGGTGATTTATGTATTGTAAAAGATGGAATGATGGGCCTTTAAAATGTCGCACTGCTGCATCCATGACATATGTCAGGGGAGTTGAACCATTTAAGATTGACCAAAAGTGTAGGGAGTGGATCAATTTTTTGTATTCCAAGAAATTGGCATTCCTCTTGATTGTATGGGAAATGTTGTGTAGAACCTTAAATCTTAGGTATAATAAATGCCTTATCACATTTTAAAAAATAAAAACATTTCTTTTTTAAAACAGGCCTTATACATACATGTACAATATGAAGGAAACATCTGTGTCTCCTCGATTGCAGTCCAATCTGTCCCTGTCATCTGGTAAGTGTGTGTGTGTGTGTGTGTGTGTGTGTGTGTGTTGTGGTGCATGAGTTTTTGTCTGTGTGCATGTATCCTTTGGTGGATGTTCTGCCTTAAACAGGAAGTAAAAATGTGCCACATATAGCGTTTAAGATTAATACTTTCAGTGGGTCTCAATATGCAAACCTGTCGCAAAAATTGTCAACAGTTGAATTGTTTGAGAACATAAATTAAAAAAGTGACATTGTTGATGATTTTCATAATTTAAGTTTTGCTTTGATTTCAGGTCTAAGATTAGGTGAGAGCGGTAGGACAGTGCCAGTCATTTCTCTAAAAAGCAGCTTGCTGTCAGGATCTCTACTAGCACCACATCCATCAATGAGTTCTGCACTTCATACCCGGCAAACATCTCTTAATGCAATCAAAGAGAGCAATGAGACAAAACTCAATCTGGCTAAATTCACCACAGAAGTTAATGGCAGGAAGAAGAGAGTTAAAAGTGACAGGGCAGATGATAAGAAGAAAAGAGAGAAGAAGGAAAAAATGCTAGTTTCAAAAGAGAAATCCAACACAGCTGTCAGGCCTAAATTACAACTTACCCCCAAAAGCTTGGTTGGTAGTGGCACTCCGTCAGTGATGTCCTCAGTCACTGTGACAAACCCGAAGTTAGTAAATTATGGTGTAAGTCAAGGGGTTTCACATGCATCTTTGAAGACAAACTTAGGACTGGATACCACTAGTTCAAGCTTGACCTTGGGAATGTCCTCTTACAAGCTGACCAAACCTCAAAATGTAAAGCCCACTTCAGCTTTAACAACTGGATTGAGTGTGTTAGCAACCCAAGCCAAAAAGGGTATATCTAACACCCGTGTGAGTTTACTTGGATCTCAGGGACTTGCATCATCGTCATTGTGTCAGGCTAAATTAGGAAGTTTGAAAAGTTCGGCAAGTATTCCACCTCCTGGGACAGGACTCTCTGGCTTATCATCAAATGGAAAGAAACCTGAAAAACCACCAGTGAAATCTAAGAAAAAGTTAACTTCAAAACAAGCAGAAAATGTGAATCACCTGCCAAAGGATGTTGCTCCAGCACCTCTTTATGATTTTTACATGCCTGAATGGAGAGAAGAAAAGCTGGATAAACCAAAGTTCACAACACCTGAGATGGATGGCAGCATTGCCAGAATCACCCAAACGCTTGATGATGTTACAACTCTGAAGGTAAATACAAATGAAATTTTCTTTGGAAGATTGCTGTAAATTATTTTAGTTTTTCAGTCCTTTCAACAGCAAGAAAAAATTGATTAAAATAATAATTCTTCACACAACTTAACTTGAATGAATACTAAAATAACTTAATTTTCATGAACTAAGAGGCACTGAGTGATATTAACCTTCAGTAAACATACAACCTAAAATGTTTCCATGATTTCAGAGAAACTTTGTTAATGCAGTATCAGCCTCACTATTGAGTGCGCCTGATTTCAAGAACCCCAAGGACAGCACTAGACTGCAGCTGATGAGCATGGCTCAACAATTAGCTGCATATGATCCAGAGTTCATTCTCAAGGTAAAATATTTTACAATATGTGTTGTGAATCTTTAGTTCGCCTTTTGTAGAAACAACTGTATTAAAAGTGGAAGATGAAACTTCCAATGTATGTCAGTTATTATTATTTTTTTAAACTTTCCAGTGTGCTTACCTCAAAAGGATATTCCTATCGTTATTTCATTGTGTAGGTTGCTCTGTATACAAGGCAAGAGCTCAACATCAGAACAACAGCTAATTTCCTCCTAGCCTTCTCATCATTTGGAAGTGAAAATGGATGCAGACCGTATTTGAGAAAGTACTATGGTTGTTCCATTCAGCTGCCCTCTGACTGGATTGATGTTGCTGAGCAGTACCAGGTATGATTGATGTGATAAAGGTTGGTTTTCTAGGTTATCATGATAGTTTATGGTTCTTTTGTTTGCTGCACTTTTTTTTCTATTTTCTTTGTCAAGTATCTGTTTGTGATTGGTAAGATGAACATACAGAATCTTATTTGTATGCTGAAAGTACTATTTTAAAATATCCTCAAAGAAGTGCATTTCCTTTTTTAATACAATATAAAGGATTGCTGAACGTACACATATTGTTAAGTAGTCTGTTGCTTTTGTGATGTCTTACAATGTACCTAATTTAATATTTTTTGTGTAAATCTTTTTCAGACTTTCCATGATAAATCTTTGAAGGAAGGTTCATTACCAGTAGCTTTGAGAAAAGCCATGGCTGCTAAATTCCAGGACTTTGATAAATATCAGTTAGGTTGGTATTTCAAAGATCAGTTTTATCACCTCTTTTGTGGACTAAATTTTCTAACTGTCTGTTAATTTTTTATTCAATTTTAGTAAATGTTTTCATAACATATTGAAATCTACATTTAATTATTTTAGCCAAATACAACAAAGAAAAATCGAAAAAGAAAAAGGCAAAGAAAGAAAAAGACACAAGTAGAAAGTCTGCTGATCGAGCACAGCCAGTTTTTAAACCTTCAAAGAAGGCTGAGAGTGACAGTGATTCTGATTCTTCTGATGATGAAGATTTCTTGAACTTCTTAGTAAGTTTATTGAAGAAATTAATATTATTAAGTTTCATGAACAAAAAGAAAGTTAAACATTAGACTGTAATGGAATTTGTGCTAAGTAAGTTATTAGCTATAGTTTGTGAGCATTCTTCAGTGTATCAGCTCTGTAAAATGTAGTAGTTTTACACTAGGTGCCATTTTAAGTTTATTGTATCTCACATTTTAGAAGGACAGTGACAGCGAAACTGAAGAGGAAAGAGAACAGAAAACGTTTACACTGAAACAGTTGATTAGGAAGATCCATATCACAGAACCAGTTGAACATGTCATGTGCCTCATTGGGAAAAGGTACTTCTTTGTTTTGATAAACTTGGCAGGAAACATAATTTGGTGGGCACCTGTTTGAAGTTAATGATAGTACTCACAAGTAATTCACATTTATTCTCCCCAATTTTAAAACAATAAAAAAGATGGAGAAAATGAAACAATCAGATGAAGGTTCTAAATGTAGATGCTTTTATTAACCATAAATGTACCAAATAGAATCATGTTCCATTTTCTGTATGCAGGTACCCAGAAACTCTTGAGGAATTTTACAAGAGTCGCCTGCCAGGCACATGGGATGAGGAACGAGCAGGAAAAAGGATGAAGTTGCCTACTCCAGAAACTTGGGAGACCCAAGTTTCCATGAAGGGCAACAAGGCAGAAGTGTGGCAAGATCTTTTAGGTAGATATTTAAATGTAAATAATCCAATAGATAATTATGTCAGTAAGTTGAGGTAGCCATATGGTTTTCATATATATGCTGTGAATTGGAATCTTTTGTGAGCAGGTAAGGCACTCTACAACCTTAGTCTTTATTTGTTTCACATAAAAGACTAAGGTTGCTGTATCTTATCACTGCTTCTAATAAAAGCATTGACTTGCATATTTCTTTATGTAATGTTTTTTTTTGTGTGTTTTACTATTTGAATGTGCTGTTGATTTATAACCAAGATATCAAATACAATTTCATTGATTTTAGTCAGAGGCATCTTGAAAATAGTCACAGTTGGAAAAAATTATTGAACCAATGTGACTGATTTCTTGGTTGGTCATTTTTTGATCACAATTTTGGTATTTGAAACATTTTGAGTGGCTAATCCTGTAATCTTTGTATTATTGTGGATTTTATTGATTAAAAAATTATTGTTAATGTTTTAAGAACACAAGAAACTTCCATTTATGGCCATGCTGAGGAATCTTAGAAACATGATCAAAGCTGGCATCTCTGAGAAGTATACTACTAAAGTGATCAAGAGGCTGACAGATGTGGTATGTTAACTCAATCAAGTCAACTGTCAAAACAATATAAAAATAACTTGTCTTTGCTGTTGAAACCATAATTATAAAGGCAAGAAGTTTAGTTTACATTGACCATCATTCAAAGCTGTAATTCACATTGATTTTCTTTTGTCCTGTATTATTAAGCCTATATGTGTAAATATTCTTTCTTTTACAAATCTTTTATAATTACTATTTTTGCTTCTTAGATGTATACTAAATAATTTTTGCAGAGATCAGTGGTGAATAGCAGACAGTTCCCATTCAGGTTTTTCTCTGCATATGAAGTACTGAACAGTTTAGAAAAAGAATATGAACAAAACCGTGAGTCAACTTTTATCTTTAGTCGTAAGATTAGACCCTGCATGATTGGAATTTTTCAAGACTGCAGATTGTTGAAGTATTTTCTTTCTATTAAATCCCATTTTTCAGATTTTGGTCTATGCTCTCTTGCTCTGTAATGGTAGGAAAAAAGCACAACATTTTATATTTGAAATGTTACAGAGATATAGAAACCTGCTAAAAGGACCATATTTGATACAAAATAAGCAATGCCAGGTTGAATTGTTCACATATTGGAGTCTGTATTGCATATCTATCTAGAGAAGCAACTTGTAGAAGAGGCAGTAGCTGGTAGCAGCTCATGGAGCAGAGGGAGAGGGCGTGGCAGAGGGTGTGGCCGTGGGGGAAGAGGTGGGGGCAGAGGTGGAAGATGGGACAAGAAAAAGAATGCAAAAACAAAGTGAGCATTTGTTTGTTTGTTTGTTTTTTATTTGGTGTGTTTGTGTAATTTACTTTTGTTATTTGGATCATTGCCTATGGTTTGCAGTACTGCAAGGAATTAAAAAACTTTTTATCATGCTTTTATGACATGCTTTTTTGTCCCAAACATGCGAATGATTGAATGGTAAAGACAGCATAGTAACGCTTCATTGAACTTGAAAATATCTTTTCTTTTGAAATATCTTTCCATAGAGAGGTTCCATTTGATCCACCGCTTCTGAATAGATACCGTAAAGCCCTGGACACTGCTATCAAGATAGCTACAACTTACAATGTCCAACCTATCAAGGGGACCACAGTCATCTTCTGCAACCTTGGCAAGACTATGAACAGACCCTGCACAGCTGCAAAAGGGCTGGGGAAGCCAAGACAGGTAAGTGTGTTGGCTAAGTGGCTCCCTTGATAAATTATTATTATGTTGGTAAAAAAAAATATGTTAAAAAATTATGATGTAGGGCATGAGGATTATTGATAAAAGACAATAGAGCTTTTTAAGAACTAAGTTCCTTTAAGGACAGTATTTGACACCTGGTCTGTGGAATAACATGAGACTTAAATTTATCAACCTAAGTATAAATACAATGCATTTTTTCCAACTCCAGGTGTCAGAAATTGCTGTACTCTTAGGACTCATGTGCAAGTATTCTTGTGAAGAAAGCAAGATGGTTGTTTATGGGAATAGCAGTTATCTTGAAGTAGACTTGGAAAAAGGAACCATACTGGACAACATGCAGAGTGTACTGGGATCAGCATTTGTGAGTAAACATAGCATATCAAAACTTATCACACATAGGGATGTGCAGTATTTTGTTAAGATAATTGACAAGTGAAAATTCATTAATTAATTTTAATTCAGTTCCTTATTTATGAAGCTCATTAACATTTTTAATCATGGTCTAAATTGCAAGGAGTCCATACAAATATTTTATCACATGTGTATACATGTACTCACAGTTTAAAAAAGTTAGGGGAAAATGTTTGATAATATGAGGTAAAATGTTTTAATTGAGTTCCATGTGTTACTTTGTACTTTGGCAAATTTCTATTTCTTTCTGCATTAGATGGTGAACAATCAACAGGATACAGATGCAGTAGTTCCAGATGGGATCCTTAGGGACCTTTTGAGAGACAGAACACAGGTATACATCTGACCCTTAAATCTTGAGTCCGTCAGTAATGCCATTGTATATTGATGGTGTTTATGAAAGTTTGTTTTGTAAATATTGGTGAATTTTTTAAATGATCCTCATTACATGTTATGTAATATTTAGAAACTAGACTTGTGTTTTATATTTTGCCCAATACTTTGGCTAAATGAAACCTTCATGGGTATTAATTTTACAAATACGGTAATATGCCAAACAATTCGACCAAGATTAATTAATTGATTTCATGGAAATGTCAGTTTGGTCAAATTGATTAAAATACAGCAAATGGAAACCTTTGATATCGTCGGATTGTTAGGGGCATCTGCCAAAACGTCCATCTTTCCGGAAGTATTGCATTTTACCGGAAGTGTTACGCAAGATAAGCCGCAATTTTCGCCTAACACATGTTTCAGGCTTGTTTTATCCTCCTTTTAAAATCTTATTTTGCTGTGTACAATATGTGCTAACATTACTTAACATTAAAAAAGACGACAATTATAATTTCTAATTATATATTTCCCCTCACCTACGATCATTTTCATGATGCGCTTCACGAGTGGGACGAGTATTTCCCCAGAGACAGGTGTTGTAAACAAAGGCCGGTCACTTATATTTGAAACCAGTAGCTTTAGTAGACTTAAACTAGTTATGTGATCTACGTACGCCCTATTTGAATTTTAATATGACAACTGAAATCAACCGAATTGAAATTTTTTACCAGTCTGAGATCAGTTGTTTTCAACCTGCAAGGCTTGCTCAGCGTCGAGGCGTAGACGTACTTCTGAAGAAAATTCAATCACCCGTATCAAAGAATACCAACTGGTACTCAAACGGAATTCAGTGTAACTTCAAATTACTTATAAGTATTTTATTTAAAAAGCATGTCATATTAAAACATATTGAGAAAAGGCAAAATACGGAGCCTACCTGTGCCGATAGACATACAGTAGGCCTATCTTGCTGGCACTCTTCCGATTTTCTTACTTATATAGTCTCGCTGTGCACAAACCACCACGATGCATATTGAAAACCCCACTGATACAACCCGAACGTAAAATAAGCATTTAATTGCCATAATTTTCACAAAACAAGTGCATTTATAACTTGACGCAAGAATTGAGCACATGCAGAAATGAGACTGGTTTTATCTGGTCTGGTCCAGCATAGCGCAAACCACATGTTAATGAAGACGGTCCCATTTTGGGGGAGGGGGGTCACAGCGTGGATTACGCTAAATATCATCAACATTTCATGCATCTGGGGAAATAAAAAGTTACTCACAGGTAACGTAAATATCCAGTGGAACTCTCTATGAAGCTCTCATGGAGTTAAGGAAGACGTCATTTTTATTGTTGACAAATCAGTTATCCATGTAGGTGAACAGCTACACATGTTCGTCAGATTTTGACAGCGCGTGGTATTTGGCGCCAAGAAGTCTGGGCGGTTGATCCCGCTGATCTTTCGGTCGATTGTAGTAAATGTAAGATCTTGCGGTGTTGACTTCAAGAACATTTCCCCATCTGCATATATATTTCAATCAAACTTGAAAATAAATTGCTTATTCTTCCCAAACTTTTTATTGCTAGCAAACGCTATATATGGTCTACATGAAGGTGTTTACGACGTATTCTACCCACTGTCGATATTTGGTTTCATCCAGAATGGACCTTTTTTAACCCCCCCCTTCCCCAGTTACGGGCGTGATGAATCGGTCAGCGAGGGCAAGTCTGCTAAATTAGCACAAATTGTATGTCTATAACACTATTTTGTCATCGGGGACAAAGGAAATGACAGGTACGTCATGCTTCCAGATTAGATCTTCAATTAATAGTTTCTTCCTCATTGACGAGAGCTATTGAAAGGACAACAATTGACAAAGGGCCTGGCATGCAGCATCTATATGACTGGCTTGAAAATTTACCGAGTCTTGCCAACGATGTGGTCGAACAATCGGAACAAGAAAAAAATTCTGTCGCATGATTTTGACGTATGGACTAAATGTTTGAGCCCAGAAAAATTAATTTTATAATATAATTTTTTTGGTCGGATTGACTGGGCCTGTCGAAATGCTTGGCACATTACCGTATATCACAGAGTTAGCGAAAAAGTTCGGATTTAAGCTAAAACCAAATTTCTTCCAGTACAAGCCCTTCTTCATCACTGTTTTTTCACTGTGGAACACAAACAATATTAAAAACCGTTGCCATTTCAATAATTTTTTCCCTTCAGGTTGACAATCTTATTATTCTGTCTGATGGGATGAGCCTAGAAAGCGTAGAGGGCCAGAATGTGTCAGACTTCTTAAAGAAATACAGAAGACTGGTCAATCCAAACATGTTGTTTGTTAATGTTGACCTTGGTGGAAAATCCTCTGGGTAAGTATGACCTTATTGGATCTTGCTTTGAAATGTTCCATTATTAGGTGATCCTGTATGTAAGTATAATGACCAGTTAATGAATAAAGTAACAGAAATATAGCAAAGATTCTTGTATAAATATGTATGATTTTATTGAAGGGACATTCAGTACTTTAATTACTTTTGACATCAGCCAGCATCTGTTGTTAATGATATCTTGTACCTTTTTAGATTCAACAAAAGTGTTCAGCCAGAACATGATAATGATATTTTCATTGCTGGATACAGTGACCAGATTCTGAGGTAAAAAGTTATTTCTTTTTTAAATGATATCTTTCAGCTTTTTAGTCTGTTCTTATGTGTGCCTTTCTGTATGTTATGCATTGTTCTGTGTGTTATGCATAAGCAGTATAGCTGATTGGTATATATCAAATACTAAAATTGTCAAAGAGATTTTACCAAGAATGCCTCCTTTAATTTTGCTTTGAATACCATGGCTCAGAAGGATTGTTTTTGAGAAAAGTACGTGAGATATTTTGCTGTTGTTCCAGATTTATAGCTGAGAGAGGTGAGAGTGGTCAGTTGACCCATATAGACAAGATAGATGAGAAGTACAATCTGACTGCTAAGGTGCCTGGGTTGGAGAAGAAACCATATGCAGTTAAGCCAGCAGTAGAACACCCATTGCCTATTGCTGCTCTGAAACCAAGGTGTGCCTTACAACTATTTTTGTTTCATCATTGTTTTAAGAAATACTTTTAAGAGTGAAATAATATAAATACTTGGTAGTTAACATAATTAGTATAGGGCCATTCGAGACAAACAGTTCACAAGTTGGGGAGAAATACCAGTATGATATATTTTAACCAAAAGGGTGAATGTGTTCTATATGCAGTTTGACCTCAAGGATTCACATATTTCATAAAAAGACACCATCCTGGCAGTGATATAAACTTGATATATTGATGTATTGATATCATTCTTTGTGAGATAAATCACTCCTTCAGCACAGATGTACAGATGTATATCTATGACATTTTTTCAGATGGAGAACAGCCAGAGTGTTCATATCGTCCACCTTCCGTGATATGCATGGGGAGCGTGATTTACTCACACGCTTTGTCTTTCCTGAATTGCGGGCACGTGGAAAGCAGCACTTCCTTAATGTGTATGAAGTGGACCTGAGGTGGGGAGTCACAGAGGAGGACACAAGAAGCAATAAGTATGTTGGGTTATAATTTTGTTCAAGGTTTTCTAACATATGGTGTCATTGTTGTTTATAAGAATATGCTATTGTCTACTGCAGAACCTAGACAGGGCTTTGATTTTCTATCATAAGTTTTGCATTTCTAATGCATAAAAAATTACGATCAGGGATGAAATTTTTCTGACAGTTGGCAGATTCCAACTTTTGGAGAGCAAAAAAATATGAATGGCCTTGGCCCCTTAGACAATTTTCTGACTTTTTCACAAAATAGCATTAACTATAACACTATAACATATATAAGTCCAAGTTACTTTTTACATTTTCTGTGTCTGTTGTAGGACTCTTGAACTTTGTTTGACTGAGATCACCAAGTGTCAGTTCTTCATTGGCATCCTTGGTGAGAGATATGGATGGGTTCCTGACAAGTATGTTGTACCAGACAGTCCAGAGTTTGACTGGGTTAGAGATTATCCACCAGGTTGTTCTATCACAGAGCTAGAGATGCACTCCGCATGCATGTCAAACCCAGACGAAAAGAAAGACCAGGCTTTTTTCTTCTTAAGGGATAAATCATGGCAAAAGTATATATGTTTGTTGTCTTTGTCTTTCCCTAATCATTTTAAAACTTTTTTTGACTAAAATTAATTGTTTGCTGATTCAGTTTTAAGCAATGAAATTAAAATTTTGATTAACACATACAGTGCATTCTCCAGTGCAGTGTGAAGTCCAAATTTAATATTTGCAATTTCAGGGACCTTCCTAAGAAATATTTGCAAGATTTTGCTGCAGAGTCACCGTCATCAGCTACCAAAATGGAGGCATTGAAAGAAAGAATCAGAAGCAGTGGACTGGAAGTTTTTGATGGGTAAGATACAACAAGTGAATGTGTAGCAGCATTTAACAGTGAAGCAGCATTTGAGCAAACTCGACCTCATTTCATACTTTCATTTGGGATCTATAACACAGTGGAAATCAAATTGAAAATACTTGTAACAAAATGAAAATTAGACTGAAAAAGCTTGGATTAAAGTTTTTTAAAGAAATAAGTTTTTGTATTGAATTCTGTGAAATAAATCTTTATCAAGGAGATTTTCTGCTTCCTCCAAGCTAAATGTCTTTTCATCTATTCATGTCAGCTACCCTTGCAAGTGGGGTGGAGTTGTTGATGGGCAGCCAATGGTTAGTGGTTTGGAAGACTTCGGCTTCAGAACACTCAACTGCTTGTGGAATGCTGTAAAGAAGTTCTTTCCAGATGAGGTAATGTAATAATAATAATAATAATAATCAAGTTATTACAACCTAGATATTTGTTTCTTGTTATTTCACAGAATATCATGGAAAGAAAATTTACTGCCAGATTTTTGTTTGACTGACTTTTAAAACTTCTGCATTGAAGATGTTCTTCCATGCATTTCTGTGCTACTGTTGATTATTAAATGATACGGCTTAAACTGATGGGATTCCTTATCAGCCGTTTGACCTACAAGCCATATTTATCTACATGTAGGATGCTGTGCTAGATGAAATCTCTCATGAGACCTCTCAGCACGAGGCCTTCTTGGAGGCCCGTGTCAGCAGCTTCACTGGGCGTAAAGCCCAGATGAAAATGTGCCTGGAGAGACTGAGAACTATGAAGGAAGGCATCCTCATGCTTTCTGGAAAACCTGGATGTGGAAAAACATCTCTTGTTGTAAGTTATTTAAAATGTATTTTGAAATCTTGACTGTGTGAATAGTAGTTGCAGATTTTCTTACTGTGACTGTCTGTACATTTTGGTTGCTTCTATTGTCAGTTTAAATTTGCATAAAGTGTGTTGTGGCTGACATCAGCTTGTTAGTTTATATGCCCTAACAGTTAATATATAGTGTCTGTGAACTTCTTTTGCACATTGTCCTGTGTGATAAACATAAACCCAGATATAGGGATATTTTCTATTGACTTTTTTCAGGCAAATTTGATTTCACAGTATGATGCAGATATAGGTGCCAAGACCCACTTTATTCACTTTGTGGGTGCCACCCCAGAGTCCACCAACATCACATTTGCCCTCAAGAGACTGTGTACAGAGTTGATCAGAAGATTTGGCCTAGAGATGGATGTGCCTCAAGATTATAAGTAAGGAGTTTTGCAACATATTTAGAGATATATCAATGTATTTTGGTTACTACAGAAAAATTTCCATTGAAAAAAATCAGTGAGGCTTTTTAACATTAATGTTGTACAGTTTTCTTTTATCAGAACCTCTTTAATCCGCATGCTGACATTGGTTATTGAAATTTTGTATTGCAGGAACCTTTGTGGCGAGCTGAAAACTATTTTGACAGAGGCTAGCCAAGCCAGTGGAAGTCCTCTACTCTTGGTGTTTGATGGTCTGGAAATGCTGGAGGATTATCACCAGGCTCGCTCTCTCACCTGGATACCTGAAGAGATACCTGAGGTATGAGCATCATGAATGGGTGTAAATTTTTCAATAGGTCCCTTAGTGCGTTATGCATTGTAAAAATGTGTAGAGAGACATGATAAATATCCAGCTCTCAAAAACCTGCACTTTCCTGTGCTCTGTGTAGACATGGTTGCCCTTTTATAACTCCTAAATTCGACGTAGCTGTATTAGTCTAGGGATGTTCAGGTTTTTCACCTTGAGTTCTTTGGGAATGAAAACATTGCACTTATATAATTAGCATAGATTAAGTTTCTAGAATTCGACATTTATGCTAGAAACTCTCCCCAGCACAGTTTATGAATAATTTCGTGTGGTGGTTGTAGAGACTATTTTGCAGAAAAGTCTAATATTCAGATTTTGTAAAACTTCACCACTAAATGTTTCTATAAAAGACTCACACCAACAGAGTTGCCCTGGTACATTTCTTTACCAATGTGACTATGTTTATTTAACAGATTTACCATATAGGTTTATAATGTAAGTAGTGTCAAGTTAGGTAAGTGGACAGGTTAAGGTGACCTGCCTTGAATTCCTACCGGTAGTCTCAACAGATTTTTCAAACCACTAATTTCCTTTCTGACCAGATTGAAATGCCTTAAAATTTTCATAATAATGTATTTTTATGTTTAAGCACATTTAACATTTTATTTCAGAATGTTATATTCTTGATGAGCACAGTGGAGAATTCAGAATGCCACAGAGCCCTCAGCAGACGACAGCATAGCAGTGTGCAGTTGTCTGGCCTTGACCTTTGGGACAAGCCTGAAGTGGTTAGGAACCAATTGGCCAGACACAAGAAAACATTGGTGGAGACAGGATTTAATAATCAGGTAAATATTGAGTAGTTCCAATAGCTGCTTTATTCATTATAAGAAATTGATGATTGCTGTATGCTTATCTAAATGAAAGCTGTTCATGTAGGACTTTGAACTATGCAGTATAATACACATGGCAAGTGCTGCTAAATTCTTATCATATGTATTTATATATTTTAGATGAAACTGCTGACAAGTAAGAGAGAAGCTAACAATCCACTTTTCTTAAACCTTGCTTGTGAAGAACTGAGGGTGTTTGGTGTGTATGAAAAGGTAAGTTTCTCCACTGGCACTCATGTGCCCTGAAATGTTAGCAAAGTTATGACAAACTTATCAATAGTTTTAGACTAAGAGCTTGTGGTTCAGTTTATCTTTTATTGTGTCAAAATTAACAAGACCACTCTATAGGCACCTAGTCATTAAGAAAGGAAAAATACAATAATTATTTCAGATCACTGAGAAACTAAAGAGTCTTCCCCACACTGTTCCCCTGCTGCTACAGGAAGTGTTGGCTAGACTTGAGCAAGACCATGGTCAATCACTTGTGTCCACTGCACTGACCTTGCTGGTTTGTGCACGGAAAGGTGAGTGATAGGCAATAGTCTGATCTGATCTTGACCCATTTTCACCAAGGTATGGCCAATGGGGCCTTTTTTTTTCTTTTTTGAGAACAAAGATTTTAGTCTATTTCCAGGCCAGATAATAGAATTATCATTGGGCTTTCACATACAATAAGTCATTATTTACTTTCTGTAAAAGAGGCCCATTATTACCTTTTTGATGAACTACTGGTAGACAGGGTCGCAATTCTTGCCTAAAGCAATTTAGTCAACAGATTGAACAAATTTAAATAATTTTTAGTCCCTTTAAATTATCAAATATTTTCTTTCCTCTCCAGGTCTCTTTGAGGAAGAGCTCCACATGCTTCTCAGTTACCACCAAAAACTACAGCATGTCAAGTACACTGTTCAAGATGTGTTAAATGTTCCATTGGAACCAGAACATCAGATTCCTCAGGCAGTGTTTGCACCACTGCTTAGATCACTGAAGACCTTCCTCAGACCAGAGGCTACTTCAAGGTTGGTGAATGGCAACTGAAACTCATTCTAGCATTAAATGTTTTATGTTGATACAAGTGCTACTTTAATTTTACCCAAACTTGTTTCTGATTTAGTTGAAAGTTGGTTATTTTGGGAAAATGAACATGATGGATGACTTAAACTTTAAAAGATACACTCTGTGTAAGGTCAAACTGCAGGTCAAACTGTGGATTTTGCAATGTAAAATTGTTCTAACTAAATTTTAAAGTGCTATGACACAAAAAAGGTAACAAACCAAGAAAACAATATCAAGTCAAAAAGGGTTAGGAATAATTATTGTAATTTTTTTCTAAAATTCCAACCATTCTTTGTATTTTTCAGTCTTTTAAGTCTGGCCCATGCAGAGATAGAGAGGTCTATCAGACAGAGGTACATGAGAGGAAGTTCTACAGAACTGGAGGTCATGCTTCACAGACTCTTGGCAGGTATACTGGCATTAACAACAGTTGCACTCAATCTATAGTCTGTAACTTCGTATTGTACTATTGATCTAGTGCTCCTGGGAATTTCAGTTTCAGTTGCTGTCCTGTCATTAAAATTTTATTGCAAGATTTAACCTTATTGAGTATTCCTGGAATCCCTTATATTTGTTTACATACTATTTAATGTTATAGCATTTTTCCATACTTTCAGTTGTATGTAATTGATGAGTCGGATGTGTCAGTATTTATTATAAAGCAGCGGAACCTGTNTTATATATTTTAGATGAAACTGCTGACAAGTAAGAGAGAAGCTAACAACCCACTTTTCTTAAACCTTGCTTGTGAAGAACTGAGGGTGTTTGGTGTGTATGAAAAGGTAAGTTTCTCCACTGGCACTCGTGCCCTGAAATGTTAGCAAAGTTATGACAAACTTATCAATAGTTTTAGACTAAGAGCTTGTGGTTCAGTTTATCTTTTATTGTGTCAAAATTAACAAGACCACTCTATAGGCACCTAGACATTAAGAAAGGAAAAATACAATAATTATTTCAGATCACTGAGAAACTAAAGAGTCTCCCCCACACTGTTCCCCTGCTGCTACAGGAGGTGTTGGCTAGACTTGAGCAAGACCATGGTCAATTACTTGTGTCCACTGCACTGACCTTGCTGGTTTGTGCACGGAAAGGTGAGTGATAGGCAATAGTCTGATCTGATCTTGACCCATTTTCACCAAGGTATGGCCAATGGGGCCTTTTTTTTTTCTGAGAACAAAGATTTTAGTCTATTTCCAGGCCAGATAATAGAATTATCATTGGGCTTTCACATACAATAAGTCATTATTTACTTTCTGTAAAAGAGGCCCATTATTACCATTTTGATGAACTACTGGTAGACAGGGTTGCAATTCTTGCCTAAAGCAATTTAGTCAACAGATTGAACAAATTTAAATCATTTTTTAGTCCCTTTAAATCATCAAATATTTTCTTTCCTCTCCAGGTCTCTTTGAGGAAGAGCTCCACATGCTTCTCAGTTACCACCAAAAACTACAGCATGTCAAGTACACTGTTCAAGATGTGTTAAATGTTCCATTGGAACCAGAACATCAGATTCCTCAGGCAGTGTTTGCACCACTGCTTAGATCACTGAAGACCTTCCTCAGACCAGTGACTACTACAAGGTTGGTGAATGGCAACTGAAACTCATTCTAGCATTAAATGTTTTATGTTGATACAAGTGCTACTTTAATTTTACCCAAACTTGTTTCTGATTTAGTTGAAAGTTGGTTATTTTGGGAAAATGAACATGATGGATGACTTAAACTTTAAAAGATACACTTTGTGTAAGGTCAAACTGCAGGTCAAACTGTGGATTTTGCAATGTAAAATTGTTCTAACTAAATTTTAAAGTGCATTGACACAAAAAAGGTAACAAACCAAGAAAACAATATCAAGTCAAAAAGGGTTAGGAATAATTATTGTAATTTTTTTCTAAAATTCCAACCATTCTTTGTATTTTTCAGTCTTTTAAGTCTGGCCCATGCAGAGATAGAGAGGTCTATCAGACAGAGGTACATGAGAGGAAGTTCTACAGAACTGGAGATCATGCTTCACAGACTCTTGGCAGGTATACTGGCATTAACAACAGTTGCACTCAATCCATAGTCTGTAACTTCGTATTGTGCTATTGATCTAGTGCTCCTGGGAATTTCAGTTTCAGTTGCTGTCCTGTCATTAAAATTTTATTGCAAGATTTAACCTTATTGAGTATTCCTGGAATCCCTTATATTTGTTTACATACTATTTAATGTTATAGCATTTTTCCATACTTTCAGTTGTATGTAATTGATGAGTCGGATGTGTCAGTATTCATTATAAAGCAGCGGAACCTGCAGAAAAAACAAAGTCAAAAGCTTGTTTGTAAATAAAATGAATAACTTACAATTATGCTGTTATCAGTAGGTGCTAGGATTTAAACATTTGAATATTGTTTGCAGGCTATTTCTGGCTGAATGCTGACCCTGATAAGAATGGAAGTTGGCAGGGAAGCAACCAGAGAGCTTTCAGTGAGCTGACTTATCATTTAGTAAGTGCAAGTATTACATTACAAGCCATAGTGTTTGGAAGTTTGAATAATGTTCTTCATTTTCAACTGTTTATGCCTATAGAAGTGGTTCTCATTTCAATTGATACACGATGTTGTTGTTGAAGATTGAACATGAAAAGAAATGTGTTAAATTGATATCCTCAAATAAAAGTGTTTTCTGCCTGTTGAATTTTTTAAGTTGAACTTAGATACAATCATGTAAAATTTTGTGTTTGCATAGTATAATAAAATACAAGAAACATGAAGGATTTATCGCCACCTAAAATGAAATTTAATACCATTCTTGCAGTCCTGCACAGGCGCCTTCAGTGAGTTGGAAGATATCTTATGTAGCCTGAAGTTCCTCAGAGCCAAGTGCATGTTAGGACAGGCCTCTGAGCTCTTGGAAGATTTTCTGGTGAAAGGTGAGTTGCCATTGAAGAGTGAAATATAGATAGAAACCTTTGTAAATAAATCTGTAGGAAAGCATTAGGATTTTCATTAATGAAACTGTACATAACGTCACAAGTTTTTAGGTAGTAAGTTTGAAAAGGGAAGAAAGATAAAGCTGGATGAATTGTTTTTAGCAATTACTTAAATGAATGTGCTTGCAGGCGCAAGTAGCAAATCCCAGGAGAGATCTCGGCAGAAATTTCTGAGTCAACCAAGAATTGTCCAGTACCAGTCCTTTGTGTCCAGAAACTTGCATGTACTGTCAAGGTAATTCCTTTAAACTCAGTTTAGTAAATAGTATGTCTTCATGAATGCACCTATTAAATTGAGTGGGCAGATAGCTGAATGACTCACAAAACAACCTTACCAGGGTTAGATGACAGAAACAAATGATCTTTATCTGAAATTTCAACAGGAGTGACTGTATAATGTACTTGGAAACTGACAACCTTTTCACTGTCAGTGTTTGTAGATTGTGAGTGATATTACTTACTTCACCTTGTTTGTTTCAGTGTTCCAGCCTTAACTTGGCAACAAGCTCTGAATGAACCAGAGAGTTCTGCCCCAGCCCAGGATATTCAGAGTTTACTGGAAAGTGTAGACATGGATTTGGGCTTGATAAAATGGAAGAACAAGCCTGAGTGGAGTGACCCTTGTCTCTTGACTTTGTCTGACTTCACCATGGTGAGTTATTTGAAGGCGAAAAAAGTCAAAGTAAGCTTGAAATACAACCAGTATTACTATGTTTTGTATGACATTTTTGAATTTTTGGTTCTCTTTGCATTAAGATATTATCATTATTATTTTATTAAAAGATGTGCCAGAAATAGAATGGCATGTTTTGAGATCTATCTGTAGAATTTGACAAAAAATTTGATAATGATAAAAATAATAAAAAATTTGTGAAAGGTGATTTTGTCATTTTTTTCATTTCATAGTTCAAAATTCTTGCAAATCACAGCCATCTCCATCGCAATTTCTTTAGTGCAGAGAAATATAATATGTTTTTAAAATAATTTTTTTGTTATTTCATAATTAATTTGCTAAAACATTTCATTTGATTTTTGTTGCCAATTTCAGCCAGTTACTTGCCTGGCAATATCTCCAGATGGCCAGTTCTTTGTGTGCGGATCAGATGACTGTGTAGTCAGACTTTATGACTTAAACACTGGAAAGGTAAGGTCCATGTTCTGTAGATGCTAAGGTTTTTTGTGCATGGAAAATAAAGAGATAGGGAAAGGATACTTATCCTTATGGTTGAGCTCTAGTTTTGCCGTCGAATGATTGAGATACTGTGAGATACTGTGAGATGTGATCTGTCTGGTGTGATTTTGTATAAAAATAATCAAACATCTTGAAAGCTAGTTTGTTTTTGTATACCTCAAATTCTCTTCATCTATGTGGACCTAGAATGTTTAACATGAATGATACCATTTTTAATGTACTTTTTTAATTTTGAAATTCAGGAGCAGCGCTCTTTCACTGGTCACTCACATACCATATCTGATGTCTGTTTTGTTGGGAAGGACAAGATCTGCAGTGCCTCACTGGACCAAACATTGAGCCTGTGGGATTTGAACGATGGGCACAGGTTAATAGTTTTTCAGGAATTATGAAAAAATGAAAACTGTAAATACAACTTTTGATTTGTTTTTGCAAAATAGGTAAATCATACTGTATATTATAGTCAAGCATTTCCAAAATCAATGAAGAATTTGACAACTCGGTGAATTGATAATAAAAAATTGCTTGAATTATAGAAGACTGCATTTGGAAGATTAATATCAATCAGTGCATATATAAGGCATACCCCGCTATTTGATTTTTCATTGCAGGATATCAGTTATGAAAGGAAACAATAGGAGAGTGAGCTCCTGTTCCTCAGATGCTAAAGGATCAATTATAGTGTCCACAGCCTGGGACTGCTATATCAAAGTGTGGCAGGGGAAAGATGGGGTGGAGGTCTCCAAGTTCACTGATGTGTAAGTTCACATATAATGATATGACTTTATAAACGTCAGTTTATTTAATGCAATCATCATTCTCTCTTAACATGACAGAAGTAGGAAAAATATATATGTAATGCTAATGATGGTTTTACATGTGTACTCATGGTGTTGTTTTTAATGCCCAGTCAAAAGGTATCATTTTATTGTGCACAAGAAATATGAGAAGTATATGCTATATGTCAAGTAAAAACAAAGGATCATGTTGTACATTTAGACATGCAGTCAAGCATATCAACTTACCAAGATATGAAAAAGTTGAATATGTTAAGTATTTTAATTAAGTTGGATTGTGATTCCAGATGTCCAGTAAATTGTGTAGCTTTCCACCCTGAGGGGCAGCTGATAGTGACTGGGAGCTGGGATGCATCACTAAAGATCTGGGACACATTGAACAAGAATAGAAAAGCTGTAAGTCAAGTGTCCAATAGATATATGTTATATAAAGAGAAAACAACTTCATTAAGAGAATGTAGTTTATGAGGAGATTAACAAGTAAAGCACTGTGGCGAAGCAAAAAAAAATGAATGTTTACCATAATGTCTTGCATGAATGTAAACCAGGTAAACTAAGATTAGACTTGATGTGCATTAGATCCCAAGTTCTATATGTCCAGCTATATAGACATATTGATGAATATACAAAAATGTAACCCTATCTTGAAAAAAACTAAAATTGAATGATTTAAGGTGTTTAATTATTCCAGATACTTCGAGGCCATAGCAGCTCTGTGAGAAGTGTTGCTTACTCACCTTCTGGTAGACATATTGCTTCTGCCTCTCTGGACGGTGAAGTCAGGCTGTGGAATGCAGCTAATGGAACCCAGGTGAGTGGGATTTATGGTTGGGTAGATTAGAATAGAAACTTAGAAAGGCAGAAATATAAAAATTTCTGTTGAAAAATATGAGTTTTTGGCAACTGTACCAGCAAGTGTGCTGACAACCTACAATTACCTTGTTTAAGATAATATGAGGAATTTTAAAACATTATAGATTGATATTACTGTACTTCTTCTCCAGGTTGGCACCCTCAGTGGTCATACTTTGCCTGTGAACAAGCTAGTTTTCTCACCAGCTGGTCAGGAACTCATCACGGTCAGTGATGACCACAAAATTAAGGTAAGGACCAAGTCTTTTTTTTTCTTTAAACATCTTTAAAATTGGATGGACTTGTTTTTCATTGCTGATTTGTTGGCACCAATATTTTTTATGTCCCTTCTTAAAGTTATTTCCATAAAACATCCCTTTGATTCATAAAACTTGCTTCATAAAACATAGACCTTCACTTTTATCTTGAAGAGGTGAATGCCTTGAATTCATTTTTTTTCTTTTTCATCATAGGTGTGGTCTGGTCATCTTGGTCAGCCTGTCAATTCCATTGGTCAAGAAGAATATGGTGCTGCCACCTCTGTAGCTCTGTCCAGAAATGGTCAGTACGTTGTTGTTGGGTACCATGAGGGGCAGACCAGAAGGTTTGACATCAGATCAGGTAAAGAATGGTGGTATATATATATATCAAAACATAATAAACATCATTTACAGTTATATTAAAAATTCTATTTCTGTTTCTTTTTTAACTTATTTTTGTAATAATTAATGGCTGGATGCAAGCTAAAAGATTGTGTCTTGATGAGAACTGATGATTGTGTCTTGATGAGAACTTTTCACAAACTGCAAGCCAAAAACCTTTGAATGTGTCTTTATGCCATACATATATCTTGTTGCAGGCCTGTTGGACTTTGAGGTTCATCACCACCAGGCCAGTGTCAAGTGTGTCCACTGTGTAGATCATAGGGAGTCAGTCATCATCACAGGATCTGCTGACAACACTGCCTTGGTAAGCTAAGTAATTTTATTAAGCTGTGCTAATTTTCTTCCTGTGTAAGGTAAAATCAGTCATGGAAATACATCCTCATTATAATTGAAAATAGTTCTGTCCAATTAAAACTTTTTTTGCTGTTGAAATTAGCTGTCTGTACAATCAGAGTTTCCTGACGTTTAGAAAGTGATGCATTTTCCCTGCTCTTTGCCTCTGATTGTCTTATCTTCCAAATGATTCACTGTTGGATGACTTTTCACGTATGCGCTAACATTCATTATGTTATTTGTCTAGGCACTGGACCCACTTACAGGAAAGGCTCTGTTTTCTCTCACTGGCCACACTAATAGTGTCCTCTGCATTGATAGTAGACTGGACTGGCTGGCTACAGGGTCTGAGGATTTCCAAGCGAGGATGTTTGACAGAAAAAGAGGGTGAGGCATTCTTTTAGTGAACAGAACGCTAAAACAAGCACAAGATAAATATTGAACTACATGTATATAAACTATTAATTTATGGACATGTTTATATTTATGAACCATTAAGTTTTAGATATCTGAAATTGGTATTCCATATATCACAGTCCATTTAATAGTTTGCCTGTTGGCCTGGTAGGTCAAGGTACACTTGGGGAGTAGTTTCAGTTTGTTGAAGTTTAAAGTGAATTATATGTAACATAAAGGTATAGTTAACAGTAAATTTAAAGTAAAAAAATAATTTGATGAAGTTTTTAGAAACTTGTCAAAGGAATTACAGGCCCCTTTCCTATACAGTCCACATCTATAGCATATGTCTTATAAGTAATATATTTTGTGTTATATTTTAAAAGTGGTCCTCCTTATGCTGTGCTGTCTGGCCATGTGGCTCCTGTAACTGGTTGTTCATTTAATGCCGAGGGAAGTTTGTTGGTCACCTCCTGTAGAGGAGCAGTAAGTTTTGTTTAATATAAGTTCCACAATCCAAACACAAAAACATTCAAGTCAGTCTTAATTTGCTCCAGGCACACAAAAGGAGCTCATCTTGTTAAGCGAATTTTGGAACTTGATTGAAACCTATTAAACAGACACAAATATGCATATTGTATGTGATTGTGTTTGTCGTCCAGTTTCTTTTAAATTTTGTTAATTTAGATACTGTACATAATGAAAATTCATCAGAATTTGAAACAAATTTCTAACCAGAAAAATTGGTTTCTTTCTTTCTTTCTTATATTTCAGTGTTTAATGGTGTGGAACATACAGGATCTTTTTCCAGGAGATAAGAACATACCTATGAACGTCATTAGTGCCTGCCATGCAGACTGGGTCAATGGTTGCATGTGGTCCAACACTGGAGACTTTGTGGTGAGACTGCATGAGAGACATAACAGCCTCAGTTTTCAATTGACATCCCCTTGTTTTGCTGTGTTTGAGGCATTGTAATTTGCAAAATAATTAGCCCTGAAACAGTGCATGTGCATGTGTGTGGAAAGTTTAAATACTGAGTATACAAATCTTATTGCTATTTTGTTTAAGAGTTTTAATAAACAGTGTGCTGGGGCATTTCATAGTTATAAAATGATGCCATTGATATAACCAAAAGACACTTGAGTGCTAGAGTGTGTCTATGTATATTGCAGTTCATTTATATATAAATGTTGAAAAACAATATATTTCTTTCTGGTTATGTTGTGTTTGCAGAAACCTTTAAACATGATTACCTTTTTTGCCCATTGAAGTAGATCCAAATCTTACTTTAGGTAACAGCTTCCAATGATTTCAACTTGAAGCTATGGGATATACTGAAGGCCACACCCAAAGAGAAACTCACAATGACGGGTCACATGGCAGCTGTCAATGCAGTAGCTTATAAGGTAATCTTGAGGAATAATTCTTGGTTGTTTGATACACACCATACTGAGATTTTATACCAAGCATGAAGAATTAATTTATTGAGATGATCATTTGAAATATGCTGTAAAGCACAACAAAACTGCTTCATGTCATGTTATTTCTTACCAATGGCTGGCCATGTGTTATCATTCAATTTTAAGGTATGTTCCATTTATGGAGGTCATCTTACCCATAACTATTTAGTAACTCTATCGTTACATTGTTTCTAGTATGGCTGCATTGTGTCTGCGAGCTCAGATGGTCAGATGAAGGTTTGGTCCCACAAGGGTACAGAGATTACCACACTCTATGGGCACAAGCTGAGAGCCAATGCCTGTGATATATTTGTACAGGTACAAGAAAAAGACAAAGGTGCGTACAAGGGTTGGATTCCAAAATTGGATGGCCGTATTTATTTGATTGCTAAATATATGGCCTATATAACTTCATGATGTCAGTGTTGTCATGAAATATTTTGATAATGAGTAGAAAGGTTTGTAGATTAAACTGAAATGTGGTTTTCAGGAAGAATTGACACATTTGTGTCTTCCTTACTGTTTATTTTTAGTTGTCTGAGGTTCATTAGTATTCATGTTTGTTATTATAGTGGAAGAAGAAACAAATGAGGTGTCAGACTGGGCAACAGAAGTAGAGACAGAGGAGTGGAAGGCAGAGCATGAAAAAAGTATGAAAGGCAAAAAAGACATCAAGGTTGAAGATGTGATGGTTGCCTCCTGTGGTGACGATGGTATGGTGTGGATATGGCGACCATTACAGGTATGTCATATGAAACTGACTGGAGACTCAACTACTCCCATAATTGGAAGAAAATCGTTTTAAAAATGTTAAAGATTGTTTGAATTTATTTCCTTGACCAAGTTGGATTAAAAAAGATTGGAATAATATAGACTGCTGTATTAGGTCTCAAGTTTTTTCATGCATTATTTCAAATTATACTTTGAAATGTGTATACTGCTTAAACCTGCAAAAAAATTACATGATATCATATTTGTTTTATAGGGCAACCAATTAGGCACTTTGCTGGGACATTCAGACAGAGTAATATCTGTGGCTGCAGGAATCGATAAAGTGTGCAGCAGCTCACTGGATAAAACCATCAAAATGTGGCAAAATGAATTCTCCAAGACTATGACACGAGACAGTCACGACGCAGAAATAAGTGCCATGACATGGTCAGCAGATGGACAGTATGCAATCACTGCAAGCAGGTACATGCTGTAAAATTATTGCAATGCACAGTGTTTATTAACTCTGGCTGTGATCACATCTGACTGGTTATTATCTTACCTCAGATGACTAGAGGATATGTATAACCTTATTGTTTTGTAATTGTTAATACCTTGTGTTTAGCAATTTGATCATCATGCAACAGTTAAACTATTGTCAATAACTTTCAGGGACGGTCATGTCAGAGTGTGGAGTTTTGAAGAAGATTCTAGCAAGAAAACATACTTGAAATGTCAATGCTCTTTCAAGGTTTGTATTTATATACACAACATGTTTCTTTCTAAAAATGAATCAATGTATATGGCACTAATGTAAAAATGTTTTAAAAATTGAGAATTGAAATATTTTCTCATTTTACATCTTATGTTTCTTTTCTCTAACTATGTATATCTAACATCAGCTATGTTACATATTTACTGAACATCCCTGTTTATCTATTCCAGGCACACCAGCATGCCATCACTGGCGTATGTTTTGTATCTCTGTATTGCTTTGCGGTCTCGTCAGAAGATGGAACTGCCTCCCAGTGGAAAATAGATTCAAATGAAAAGCGGATAGCTGTCAGGTGAGACATTATAGGCATTACAAGGAAAAAATTTTATTATCATCATAATTAGAAGCTGTATAAAATTTTAAAGTAAAATGTCAGAAAGGGGTTCATCAGTAATTATATATTTTCAACAAGGTATTCCTATTACAGTTATTTAAAAGTATTTTTATTCAGGTTTTTAAAAATATCAGAATGTTTAATTTCACAGTAACACAAGTACTTTAAATAATGCTTTTAAAATCAGTCTGCAATTATGAACCAAGTAACATAGTGGGACTGATTTTTTTCAGGAAATTAAAACCATTTGGAAATACAATGCCTATCAATTGTATTACTTCTTGTGATGGACACATTTGGTTTGCCAAGTGGGACAAAAGACTTTATTCCTTTAATCAGCGTTATGAAGAAAAAATCTATCCATTGCAGTAAGTTTTAATAGCAACCTCAATCGATATTTAGATAAAACATTAAGAGAGTCTGATTTTTTCCATGGAATCATACTTCGGTTAATATCATGGCTGTTATAATATCATTCTAATGTCGCTATAATAGTTTTTTCATATTTTATACCAGCAGTTCTTCAATAGGTTTAAAAAAACAAAATAGACTTATATTCATTTAAACCATGCCCTCATGCACTCCATTTCACAGAGGTAATAAAGATTATTATTAAAATTTAAGAGACAATCAGCAAGATTTCCACCACACTCACTGGATTCTAGACATGACTGCCAGAAAAGGCATATTAAGCGGGGACATGACCTATCAAGTCTGCACTGTGGGGGCAGCTGGAACAGTGAAAGAATATGCTGTTAGCATCAAGGTGAGAATTCATAAAAAATTAAGACAACTCTTTCTTGTAGTATGCATGTGTGATGTGTCTTTACTTGCTATGTGAGGGAAATAGCAGAAGTGTTTTTATTTCAATGATTGGAAATTTGAATTCTAACATTCTGTGTTATAAGCTGGCTTTTATAATTTCATTATAATTGAACTCATTTATTTGCAGAAACCGAAGGCAGACTTGATGCACTGTACAGAAATCAAACCACCAGCAGATGTAAAGGGCAGGGGAAAATCGCCAGCCAACTGGTTACTATGTACAGGTTGCCATAACAACAAGATTTATGTAGGGGATTCAAGTGGTCAGTTGTCAGTATTGCATTCACCTGGCAAATGTTTGCCTGATACTAAAAAGGTAAATATTTCATTTATCATATCCTGTATCTTTATATAGTGTTGTGGAGAAGGCCTAAATAGTTTCTAAGTGCACATAACTTTTGTTTGAATTCTGTGAAGTTAATATTAATCATTTAATGTACTCTGTCATAGCCAAAACACAAAAGTAAACATTTTTCATTTGTGAATTACTTTTTAGGTCCATGCCAGTGCAATCAATAGTGTACAGATTGTTGGTGAGGAAGAGCCAACTATATTCACAGCATCCTCAGATAAGACCATCAAAGTCTGGGACCATCAGATGAAACAGGTTAACCGAATATTTCACATGAGCCTTTCTTTTCAGTTGCCTATTTTGAATTCTCCAGTTGGTTTTGTTAAAATGTTAGCCCTGTATTCATTTAATTCTATGAAAACAGGAAAAGATCTTAAAGGTGGTTAAATGCAAATTATTGAAATATAGAACAACTTCAACATTTCTAAGGAATACCTACAGTCACTTCACATTTATATTTCATATATCCTATTAATAATTCATGATTAGAAACATATACTAAAAAGTATCTATAATATCCATCCACAGAAGTTAAAAAGAAACTGAACATTAAAAGCAGTGTTTTTAATACTCTATCTAATAATGAATATTTTAATCCCACAAGAAAACTCAAACTGAATATTTGTATTTGATTGTTCAGATTGGCCAGTATTTCACCCAGTCTCCAGTGATGAAGCTGGCAGTTCAGCCAAGTAGTGGGGACCAGAGTACAAGGCTTGTGCTGTGTGGAGACCAGCTGGGCAATGTCTTGGTACTGGAATGGATAGGGTAAATAGTATATTTTAAATTCCACACGCAATGTAAGCAAACTCATTAAATCCTGATCCTTTTGGGTCTTTTTCACATCATGTTACGATAAGAAATTTATTTTTATTAGCATAAGCTTTCTTAATATATAAATAGACTTTACTGAGTCACTGTGTTTTGGAGTCGGGTAAACTCAATTTAAATATATCCAAAAAAATAAGATGTCACATAGTTAGGTTATCTGCAAACTGGTGCATTTCATCAAATCATTTTTGATTTCATGTTTTATCTTTATTACAGCAATGTAAAGGCACCAGGCACAAAAACAGATGGCAAAGTAACCTTGTTCTGGAATCATACATCACCCTTCAGCCAGTGGTACCCAGCAAAGTTCACACTAGATGGGCAAAAATTTAGTTGTGCAGAGCAGTACATGATGTACAGCAAAGCTATGATGTTCAGTGACAAAAAAACAGCAGATCTCATCATGAGTACCAACAGTCCTAAAGAACAGAAGGAATTAGGTAGAAAAGTGAAAGGATTTCAGCCAGATGTGTGGGGGGCTTTAGTAGATGATGTTGTGAAGAAGGCAAATATGGCTAAATTTACACAGAATGGTCACTTGAAGAAGTTACTCCTGGGCACTGGATCTAGCATGCTGGCAGAAGCCAGTGCTGAAGATAGGATCTGGGGCACAGGTTTGTCAGCAGAGCACAAGCAGGCTTATGATATGGCACAGTGGCCAGGGAAGAATAAGCTTGGTAAAATTTTGTGCGAGGTGAGAGAATCCTGCAGAAAATAATACTATTAGGACAACTCTCAAGGTAACTGTGCTTTGGGTATTTAAAAACAGAAACTTTCAGAAAATAATACTATAAGGACAAATTTCAAGATAACTGTGATTTGGGTATTAAAAACTACGCATTTGACGTTTGGGTTAATTTCAAGATGCACAGTTTAGCAGAAATCAAGACATAAATTAAAAGTACATTTTAGAGAGTAGTTAGTATTGTATGACCATGAAATATTATTCAGGCAAGAGCCTTTTACTCCCTTAAAATTGGTAAATAATTCTTTTTTTCCTCAAATGTTATTGCTTGAAGGTGTTTTACAGTTTCAGGATTTACATTTGAGTGGACTTTATCATGTCAGGTTGCAAAACAGAGGTACATGTTCAATGTTGAAATATGTGATGTAGTGGTTTGATTACTTATCTAATCTACAATTAGCATCAACTATTCCATTTTCATTAGCTGAGTTTTTAGGGAACTATAATATTTTGAGTTAACTAAATTCCTACTTTTCACACAAAATATTTTCACATTTTATATATGAAAAGGAGTATAAATTTAACTTAAATGTAATGTTTGATGAATGTTTTTTATGTCATGCTTGGAAACTGCTGTGCAAGTCTTACTTTTCACACTTTATAGGGGGATTATGCTATATGTATTGGATAATAGTTTTATCATTTAAATCAAATGATAGGGGTTTCAGACTCTGCAGCCTATTATACAACCTACATGAGGATACCCAATTTAGATTATATATATATATATATATATATATATATATATATATATATATATATTTTTTTTTTTTTTTCTAATTAAAATTATGTTTAGTGACCTCTACAAATGTTCCTGAGAATGCCATCTTCTGTTTAGAAGCTTTATTCTTCAGCAGCTGAACATTTGAACTCTGTGATATTTATATTATGGATACTGAAATTAGTTTACATGCAGTACTCGTGATAACAATTTTTTTCTATTGATTGTTCTTTTTTATTTTGAAATAAAAGTTATTTTCAGAATCTTTTAATTTTTATGTTCATTCAAACTTTCCTCCCGTTTAAAAATTAGAATTACAACTTTATTTATATGCAGGATATCCCTACAACTCGCAGATATTTTAAAACATTTGGTCATCAGTCAACGATCTCAAGGTGGATACATTTCAATCTGTCAGACATACAAATTAATATAAAATTTATATCCAGTGATGACTATTAAAATAATTCAGCATTACATGTGGAATATCATTTTCTTATACAGATCTTTGCAATTAAGCTGTATCCTAAAGCCCTGGATTTTTGGGAATGTAAACTGGATATAAATGGAGATTACTACTCTTGAAAAAGGCCATCCTTCTCACATAGATCAGTGTCTAAGAATCCAGCCAGTAGACTGCATCAGTAACAAAAGGTTCTCCATGCCTGCATAAATGTGCACATAAATAGCAATTTAGACATGGGAGCCAAAATTTCCAGGTGCATGAATGAAACATTCATGTATATATCTCCAGTCCCGTCCCTGATACACTGATAGTGGCTTGAATCCAAAGAGAAGACACATGCTGAACATTTGCTGGTCTAATGGATGAAAATCAAACTCAGACTTTGACTGTACATGTGATAAAAAGGTAATGATATTATGTTCCATGTCCACTAATATCTTTACCCTGATAAGTCGTTAGCATTGAACAAGTCCTGATCGTATATCTCTGCTCTCACAATATGTCCTCCAAAATATCTCCCATTCAAAGCTTGACATCCTGCCTGTGCCTCTGGAAAGTAATATAGGCTATGTTAAAATGAGACTAAATTAATTATATGTCCAATTTTTACTATTTCCATGTTTATGTTTTAATGCAATAATGTTGTTACAATATTAGTTAAGTTTCATTTTTATAACCAAAATGTCATAAAAAATTTAAAGTTCGATTTTTTTATAACTATGAATCTCACTTTTATTTAATAGAAAGACCAACACATTACACAGATGATGCCAGAAAGCCTCTTACCTTTTAATTGTTCAAACTCCACAAATATTTTCACAATGATATCTGCATCTTCCTCCTCTCCTTGTTTCTCTTGGTAGATGATAACTCTCTTCACATTGCCATATTTCCCACACTCCTCTGTCACTTCAGTTTCTAGCTCCTCGTCTAGATCATCTGCATCCACCATATTCCTCAGCACCATTACGCTGCTCTGAAAGGAGGGATTAAGCATAAAAATATGAAAAAAAACTCCCTTGAACTAAGTGATATATGAAATGGTTATATTAAAACTTAAAATGACCAGTATCAACTAATTAATTTAATAGTACTTAATGACATACGTAGAGTCACATTTAAGAATTGTCACTTTTACCACCCACACCTTCCTTCATGCCTATGGAAGGTGAAAATTTACTTCTAAAATCAAAACTGTCGCGCAGAGCATTTATTACCTCTGCAGCTTTCCGCAGAAGTTTCTGCATCACCATGTGTCTGGCATTACTTCCACTAATCTTCAGGTTTTCCTGCTGATCTAAGGTCTGGGCAGGGTCTTCTTCCACCAATTTCTTCTGTGCCTCTGTGAGTTCTGTATTCCGCACTGGCTGTGCCTGGGGCTGTGGGGCCACTGTGGCTACAGGCTGATTACCATGCATGCTGCTCACAACACCTAGATAGGGCAATTCATATTTCAATAAAATTTAAATTCCAATTTTCAAATTATTTTTCAAAAGATTAATTATTACAAACACACATTCAAAAAGATGCTTATTCAGTTTTCTGATCTACCCATCTTAATGAACAAAATACTAGTACCATGTGTTGTGAGTGTATGCATGTTTCGTACAAAAATGTCAATTTGAAAAATTTATTGACAAAAATCTAATTTAAAAAAAAGGGCAAAGCTTTGATAGCATACCTGGCATAATGGTAGCAGGAGCAGACAGACCTGGCAGCATCATAGGTGTCACCATTCCAATGGGAGGCACAGTTATTCCTGCTGCTGTTGTAGGTGGTTGTCTTGAGGCAATACTGGAGGTAGCAACCCCAGGGATAGAGGAGACAACAGGCAAGGTGGGTACAGCACCCACAGTGGTAACTGGAATTGGGGTGATTATCCCTGGGGCTGACACAGCAGGCATTGCCACACCTATTGGGGGAATTGCTTGAGATTGCATCATATCCATTTGAGGGATGCTTACACCAACAGGAGGCTGAAATAACAGAATGGACATTGACAAAATTTCTACAGTGCATACTTAAAGAGCACAATTTTGAAATTTGGAAACTCACAATAACATCAGACAATTTATGAAAATATTTAAAATTTTACAAAGTTAAAACCATTTCTACCAATATACTAAATTACTGCTAAAACCGAACTTCAACAGGCCAATTTTGCTCCAATTGTCCCTAACCTCATAACACTTTACTTGTGGAAACTACACTCACCACTGCTCCAGATGCGCTTGGAGAGCCAGGATCAAAGCCTGCCACAGCATCCATTGCAGTGATTTTAGCTGTGACAGCAGCAGCAGCAACAGCAGCAGCTGTGGGCATCTGACCTGGACCAAGTGGGGCAACAGTAATATTCGGTGGGGTGATGGCCTGGAAACACGAGACATATTAAGTATTTTTTAATTGAAAAGGCTATGGTTTAAATAAATTAGACTATATACAAGAAGTTTAATCATAGTTATGGCATTGTAATCTGTTCATTTTGTAATACTGAACATTTAAGAAAATGTAACACACATTTAGTCTCTCATAAGTTACATGTCACCACAAACACATCAATATTTGCACTCACCCTTCCTACTCTAAGGAACTGCCCTCCGAGATCAAACAGATTCATGGAAGCCACAGCATCAGTGGCACCCTGGTTTGTACCATATTCTATGAAACCAAAGCCCCTATAAAAGTAAAACATCAATATTAAGATACTTGTAATGAAAACAAGTGTACTTAGTGATATTTAAATATCCAATATGTGTAAAGAGCTTCAAATATTTTAACCAAAACACAAACACCAAAACATTACAATAATTAATTATATCCTAATATCAAAAAATATTAGTGTACTGTACATTACCGGTGTTTTCCTGGCTTTGTGGGATCTGGAGCCAATTTGCATGCATTCACAGGGCCAAATGCTTCAAATACACTGCAAGAAAACAAATTAGAAATTAGTAAAACAACATTCTTAATTTATGACACTGATGCAAAATTGAAAAGCACCCAAACATTCAAGTGCGGATACAATCAGGAAAGACAATTTTAATTTATTTGCACATATTGATGATTTGTAAACTTACTGTCTTTCTTAACAGCTGCTTCTTAACTGGGGTTTTGTGTTTTACAAGACTGCTCACCTTTTTATATCATTGTCTGTCAGATCTTGATGTACGGAAGAATAATAAATCCTATTGTATTTCTTGGCTTCTTCTGCTAGCTGTTCTATGATGGGCTGTGCTTGAGGCATATTACTAGGCCTACCAACCTAGAAGACAATCATGGTAATAATGAAATGAGAATCAAATTAAGTGGTTCAACAACACCTTTACAGTCCAAAAGATCTTATTTATTTAAAATGATTCTCTGTTTCAATCTCTCACTCTATAAAATGCAACGCACAGTAAGTTTTATACTATAAACACTTTTTCTACTTTTCAACAAGTGCCCACAAAGCAAATGTGCAAAGTGACAACAGGCACTGGTTATCATTGTATCAAGGAGAATACTAACTTTTATGTTTCTTCCACCTATCATGACTCCATTCATCTGTTCTAAAGCCAGCTGGGCTGCCTCTGGTAATTCATACTCTATAAATGCAAAGCCTTTGTGTTTGTTGGTGACAGGGTCCCAAGAGAGATTGACACTCTTGATAGGTCCAAATGGTAAGAAAGCCTGTTTGATTGTGTCTTCTTTGATTTCAAAATTAATACTACCTACGTAAATCCTGAAACAAAAAGACACTGAAATTACACACTCAAACAGAAAAAATTAACAATAAAAATATTGGAAAAGCTTGCTTTGTGCAACTTTTACCATTCAATATCATGATCAGTAGCAATAAACTAGAACCACTTCACAATCTGATAGTTTATCTTAATTATTACACTCTGGGGAGACCAATTTCAAATGCAAATGTATTGTACATACCTGCACATTAAAGCCAATGCCTGTTGCCTTTGGACTGTGTTTTGAAAATTGAGCATTTGCTGCAAAAAGATATGGGCATCAGTCATTACATAACTGTTAACTGTAGTCAATAAATACACTGTAAAGAAAATACTAGATTTATCAAAAAATTCTATCAATCCAGTTTCTTTTTCACTTTAAATGTTAAAACAAAATCAAATATTCACAGCTAATGTGCATTAACAAAAAGCAATAACAGCTTAATCCAAACACCCTTCCATCAAAATAGAAAAAATGTTGTCATACCTGTTGCTGATGAGCTATTGTCTGTTTCACGAGTATGCTCTTCACACTCTGTTCCATGGCAAACTTCTTGGCTTTACTTATAGCATCTTGTTGTGAAGATGTCAGCTTTGGCAGCTTAAAAGGTGGGCGCTGGTCTTTTTTAGCTCCAGGTCCAGGCAGAATGGCACCTGTTTGCTCTGCCTGCGCTACCATTCCACCTACAATGGTAAATGTAGCATTAAAACATGGGGAGGAACAGGCAGTGCACAGTTTCAATTAAAGGGAAGCCCCAAAGATTAATCACATACATATTTTGGTTCACATCTCTTTTTCTTACAGTTCTATCCTACCTCCCTGTACCAAATACTGTCATTTCCGCAGCTAAATTTCCCAAAATGTCACATCTTTACAATGATCATGTTATTCTGTCAAATAATGCCCATGATCAGTTAACATGCTATTTTCCCTTCATTAGTATGAAACTGTGCACCCTCAGAAAACAGAGATAAGCCAATGCATCAAAGTGGGGAGAATAAACTCAATACTATTTCTGCAGGCTAAATGCCTATACAGTAATCAGTCACAACAGTGCAGCTTAGATGGAATCTTTACCCCTTCATTGGTGTGGTTTGATGTCTGCCTTCTCTCACTGGCCCTTTTTGCACAGAGCTAAGTTTGGTGGCTACATTGTGAAAAACGTTTTCACCCAAGTCATTTCAGCGAGCTTCAGACTATATGTACAAAAATACAGAGAAGAAGAGAACAAACATATCATTAAGCTAGTGAAACTATCATTACTAGCATTACTGATGCTAGAAACCTACTTGAACATTACCGTCCATCACACCATAATTGATGAATCTACAATTACAGGGTTTTTCAGCAAACATATCTGTCGGTAGATAAATAATCATTTAAAAAAATCTTGCATTCCAACTTATTTTCTGAATTGATGTGAATGCCATTAATTTTATATTTGCTACAAAGCTTTTCAGTTCTTTGAAATATCTTTATACTGCTGCAAAATAAATTTTCATAGTGCCACTTCATTTTTTTTCTTTCTTGTAGACACCGTAATCACATCTGAAATACATGAAAATGAGGAAAAAAGGACTTATTTTGCAGCAACCCGAGTATCAAGGAAATCAACAATGAAGAAGCATAAGACTATAGAAGACCTTAGACTGTGCCTTATTAAGTAACAGGGAGTCAGATATGATAAAAATTCTTATGTGGACAAAAGCAAGACTAGAAGAAAATGCCACAATGAACCAAAACCCCCAAAATTTGCATCTCAGTAACTTTATCTTCCTTAAAATCTATTTTTCTCACACCACACACACAACCATGCCAGCCACTACTTCAATATACTAACAGTTTAACAATCTTATCACTGTTGGATCTCGTGTCTCCAAAACCTGCAAAACATAAAACAATACACACATTTCCCACAGCTGTGTTAAATAATTAGTTTATAATTGAAAATTTATAACCCACAAAATGCACTTATTATAAAAAAAATCATCAGTATCATATTATTTCTAATAATGTGAGTAACGATACAAAAGTCAAAAGAATATGGAATATGCATCAAAACTGCTTCCTTTAAAGTGCTCACAACTCTGCCATGTTGTTTACATACTATCCATACCATATGACTGAAGAGACCGGCACTGAAAAATATAAGCAGAGAACAGACCAACCATGATAATGACTGTTTTGGAAGAACACTTTTGGAATTTTTTTCTCATCACAAAATATGATGGGGTTAACATATTTTTAATAATTTCAGATCAGACACAATAACATTGTCAAATTGTTTCCATGTTTGTGGTACCTTTGCATTCTATAAACATATTTTTCATCAATAAAAGCCTAGCAATATATTTGACTAAACTGACAAAAGTGTTTCAATCAATTTGGAAACGCAGATTGCCAGAAACTATCCAGTTCAGCGCCTCTGCCAGGAATAATTACAATTTAAGCATGACTCTCACTGATAAGCTGAGCTCTGTCTGAAAGATACAAGCAGAGAAAACATCTAGGCATTAGCAATGGCATGTCTGAAACTCTCACCCTTCAACATTCATCACAAGCATACATTATTCACTAATGTAATATTTTCCTAAAAAGGTATATAAACAACTATGTTTTTATTTAGATTTTTATTACAAATTCTAAATGAATTTTTCATTAATGATGTCCCCATACTCTTCAGTGGTAATCATTATGTGAGTTCCAGTCTTGGAACTAAAAATCTCACATGGAGAACCAATCTTCTTTTCTTGCTGCAAAGACAAATACAAACGAAAGAGGGAAAAGACGTTATCTAATATGGTGTACAACTTGTACCTTAAAGTCACAGAACACGGTCATTAATACAACCATGCAGGCATTTTCATGTCAGAGCTACCAGTACAATTTTAAACATCCTGTTCTGTCCTCATGAAGGAAACTGAACTTAATGAACTATTTTCACACAGACAGCGTTCACTTTTGTTAATTTCCAGAACTGAAAAGGTGACAGTATGTTTCACTCTCAACACACTGAAACACCTACCAAAACTCTGTTCAGTCAACATATTGCTCTCCAAAGCCATGGCAATTTCTTGTTGCATGCTGCTCTCAGATAATATGCTGTTCTCTGGCATTTTTGGTATTTTTGTTGGTGGTTCCCCAGAGTCACCAGCAGCAGCCTCATTCTGAAATGGAAAAAAAAAAATAATTTAATGCTTACTGAATTTAACATTATATTTTTGCTAAGGTTCTTTAAAATTATCAGATTCTTTAAAATGGTTTATGAAGTATGACACAGCATAAAGAATAAAATTAATAGGTTTCCAAGAAGGGCATTCACCCCTTCAGTGAACTTTTATCTACATTCAGGTTAAAAACCTGCAAGATCAATTCAAGTAATTTTAAAGGGCAAAAACAATTGAATTCAAGGATAGTGGCAATTTCAGATACCAAAAAACTGAATTCAATTCACAGGGATAATTTTGAACACTTTTTTATGGCTGCAGGCACTCTGTAAAACTTCTAACCATTTGCAAGTAACACACACATGCGCATCATAAATCACTTTGAAATACAGAATAAAAAGAATTTATTTTTTATCACAGCTCACCACTAATATATAATATTCCTCCTGACAAGCAATCCTCTTTTCTAAATTTCTGATATGTAAGTATATATGCTTTTGCATTTCTGAATGTACTAATCACGATGTAAGGTTTTTGCCGAGTAAACAAACTTCTACACAAAATCGTTTATTTTATGGAAGTTGCTTCGCCCGGTATTTTTTTAACAGAATTCTATGTTAAATGTTTTTTAGGACGAGAAACTATCACTGACAGATTCCTTGCATTCAAAATGTCATCAATGGCAGTCTTCAACGGAAGAATAATTTAGTGGCAACATAACTAGTAGACAAACAGATGAATCTTACTTATTTCACAGCTCTTTCGTAAACAAACGCTTACAAAAACTTCACACCGCAACAGCTAGCAGAAAGGTACAGAGCAGGAACTTGGAAAAGGAAACCGATCAGTTTAATTCACACGGTACATAAAACACTACGGTACATAAAAAGCATTAACTGCTTAGAAACAATACTAAAATATTTAGCATTACATATCTTACTTCTGTATTATCTCCATTTAATGGCGGCATGGGTACTTGTGTGATGTCAGCCATCTTTGTTTTTTCAGTAGAATACAACTAACGTTGAGGCGACGTAAAACGTTAAAATAATCACATTTTTATGTACATAAAAAAGCATAGCCCATTTAACCAGAAATATGTCTAAAAGAAAATTTTGTCCAAACAAATATCCTATGTCATCTGTTTAGTCAAAATACTGCGATAAATAAATGTGAGCATAGTGCATGATGGGTAATTCAACTTCACACATGGTCGCAGCATGGGCAAAGACAAGAAGGAGAAGCGAAAATCAGAAGGCGAAGATATAGACAAAGAAAAAAATTACGAAGATCTGGCACAAAATGTCAGTCCAATAGCAAAACCACTAGCCTCGAGAAAAATGGCTAAAAAACTATATAAAATCATTAAAAAAGGTAATAACGACCCGTGAATACGGCTTGGTTACACATGACAGCATTACAATTTACATTGTCTATTAACTTAGATGTTTTTATTCTCTTATTTTGCCTCATGGAAAGCTTTTTCATTAAAATGCTCAGTGACACCAGAACATTTCATTTGAAAATTGAAAATAATTTCTCTAACCAAAACACCAGTTGTTAAGCACATGTTAACCAAAACAACCTGTCAGGCACATGTTAAACGTGTTCTAATAATGTCTTTCTTTTTATTTTATTTTACATATTGGGTACTGCAATGTTTCTTTTTACAATATTTTAGCACAGAAGCAAAAACAGCTACGTAAGGGTGTAAAAGAGGTTCAGAAGTTTGTACGAAAAGGTGAAAAGGGGTAAGTGAAGATATTTTAGAATAGAAACATATCATTATCAAATCTTTTCAATTGAGCCGAAAAAATTTCTAGACAAGGAGTCTATTTCCAAAATCGGACGAATGTAAAATTGAACAGATTGAATGAACAAAAAAAGATTGCTAAAATCGGGATGTTGGTGAATACTGTATACATCTTATGATGATGGTGAATATTTAAGATAAACTATTTCCTCATTTCATGTGCCTCTTTAATAAAATGAAACACTTTCTTCAAACATTCTATGTCATTGTAAAATAAAGATTTCAAAGAGAAATTATGGAGGAACTAAGGCAGGTACTATCTTTAATTTGTTCAGTCCATCCATATTAGTAGCAAATAGTTTTGTTTACATGGTAGTTAAGGTATTAATTTTTTTTAGGGTAATTGTATTTGCTGGTGACACAAGTCCAGTAGATGTGATATGTCACATGCCTTTAGTTTGTGAAGAATCCAACATACCATACTGCTATACACCGTCTAAAGAGGTAAGTATCTTATGTAGAAATTGACCTTGCACTAACATTACAGCATACTGCAAATTAATTCTGATTCTTTCTAAAAAAAAATTGACTTCCATATATATGCATGTAAAACAAAAATAAAGGCCATTTTCAGTATCTATCATCTGCTGACCATTTTTTTTTTTTTTTTTTTTAGAAATACAGTGATGTTGTACTTATTTATTACAACAAAAATCATCTAACACAGTTTTCTTAAGTTATTTGATTTTGCTATTTCTTTTTGGTAGGATCTTGGTGCAGCATGTGGATCCAGGCGACCGACATGTATGGTAATGGTGAAACCTCACGAAGATTATAATGACCTGTATCAGGAATTGTTCAATGAAGTAAAGGGATTACCACTTCCATTATAGCTTTGGGCCTGTAATTGTTTTGAAACAGGTACTTGAACAGTGGACAATGACTTTTTATACTGCAAGTGCCAGGCAAAGACTTTGCTGTGTATCATGTTTTTCCAAAAGTAAACAGCTGTGTTTATTTACTTAAACTCAGGCAACGTGTCATGTGAGGGAAGTTCAGCTGTATGAAAACACTGAAAACTTGCAAAAAGTTTCTATTTAGAGGAGTGATGTTTAGAGCAGGATTACCAGCAACAGAGCTTATGGAGTTGATTTAAAGGAATCGGCATATTGGACATAAAATGGAAAATAATTATCTAGTGCGAGGAATTGGTAATAGATATTTTCACATTTTTATGGTTTTATAATTTGTATTAATTTCTTCTTGAAGGATTTTATTATACAAATTAAAGTAATAATCCTATTTTAACAAGTATGTCTTGCATGAGATTTTTACATCAAGTATGATACTTGATTTTTCCCCAAGGTCCTTTTACATTTGCATCGATTAAACTAATAATGAGCACAGTCAGCTTGCCCCATAACCAGCTGCCCATAACTAATGTTACTTGGAGTTCCAGTTATTGTGGCACTAGCATTGTTATCAATCTGTTACAACCGATGTTGACTCCTGTACTTCCCAATAGGTCTTTTCACACATAAATCAGCTGTCAATGCTGAAGGTAAAAACATTCATATGGGCAGCTAAAATTTGCTCAAGGGAGTTTAAGCATCTAAAAAAAAAAGAAAGCTAGTGGCCTTTGAGATAATTTGTGGAACACAACCAGCACTGTGAAAATGTATAAAAAAATTTGTGGTTATTGTGTTAGATGTGACACTGGGTGCATCACATTCAAACACAATAGTTCATAAGGTCTAACCAGAAAATGCATTTCTGGGGTAGCGCTAGGATTTTTTGTGCTTTAGCCAAACTTCTGAAAAATCTTAGCAAAATCAAAAAATGTTTAGCCAACTTAAAATATTTTTACCCAAATAAAAAATGACAATTTAAGGAATTTAAACCAATATTTATTCCATTTGAATGAATTTTTTACAATGTTGATGCAAACAAGATTTAAAATCTAATGAATCTTTCCTTTTGTAGTTGTTCAGCCTCTTGTAGTATATACATGTAACACATACATCATCCGAAAGCTGTAAAAAATAAATGATGCAAGTGTTCAAAATTGATGTTTCTAAAATAGTTTGGACCCCATCCTCTTCAGTTTGTATTACTTTTGAATGGCTTGACACTTTGTAGACAGGTCAACTGAAACTGAAAAGCAAAAAAAAATGACACTGTAAGCCAGTAACAGTGTAAGCCAGTAACAGTGGGAAGGTATTAAACATTAACGCACGGTAAAAAATGTCATTACATTGATGACAATATTTTAATCTCCCTTTTTTATATCCATGATAGGTTATTACATTTTTGTCAATTTAAAGAGATAAAAACTCTTTGTATGAGATCCATACTCAACAATAAATACATTGTAAACATTTCACAGTAATACAATAAGTTCTATTTTAGCACCAAAATGACAGTAATTACAATTATTCTAGACTATGTGCTTGCCATCAGACCTTGTGACCTCCATAGATGGCTACCCTGTGTATTAACCTCTTAATAATAATAATAATAATAATAATAATAATAATAATCTCTAAAGAAAAAAATGGACAACTGTGTCAGTGAATGTTGGAATGAATTCATTAAAAATAAAGGGAACCTGAGGTGAAAGGATTGTGCCAGAAGTGTGTGTCATATGACGTCGAGTGGTGTAAGACATGAAGCTGCCTGGTCATTTTTAGCTGGATGTACATGGGAGTGGAGCCGCAAGTGCGAAGTTGAAGCTGATTTTCTGATGGCATGATAAGATCATATTTTTGTCTTTCGGCATTTTGAGCAGAGAACAGACTAGAAAAAAATTCCAGGCATTTGATTTGAAAATGTGTCACAAAGCTTGAAGGTGCACAATTGCGCTTATTTTCAGTCAATTTGTTTGCTAATAACTTGCTGCATCGATCGACAGCGCGACAAATAATATCATAGGGAAAAAATCATGCCAGGCTGTAAATTGTTGTCATCTGCAATTTTTGCATGTATGCAATCTGATATGTCCATATCTAACTATTGTTTGATGTTTTATTGTAAGTGCTGCAATTATAATGATTTTTAGAGTCCTTAAAAGACCTTGCTTATCCAGGAAGATGAGCACAACTAACAACTTAATAACACTGAACCATGATCGGTGTTCAATTGTTTATCTTTTTATCGTTCAATATTGTGACAAGTTTTTAAATTTTAAGTTTTTAAATGGTTAAATATAAAGCTGACATGAAAATCCACATATACTAATTAATCTAGGACAGACTTTGGCATTGTCTTTCCTTGTCCCACTTCTGCACTTTGTGAAATCCTTAAAGAATAGAAAACATGTACAAATGTTTCAATAATGTAAAGAAATGAATTCGTCTTACACTTAAATTACTTCATTGGTGAAAAGAAAACTTAACACTGATAAGAATATTACCTTTCCAAGAAAACAAAAAGAGGATTTCAGGTAAGGTAATCACAAATCTGACAGGTAAATAAGACTACCTTAAGCTACTATTACTAGTACATGTGCTTCACGGAGACTGATTAACAATGCTATAGAATACCCATTTTTAAAACACTTCTGACTGGTTGATATGTTCCAATCTGACCAGTTCTCAAGGTCATTGCTTGACAGCCTAAGGGAATTGATTGCCAGTCTCCTTTGCTTGTGATTATTAGCTCAGGCTTGGACCTAAATAGAGACTATTTAGGTCCAAGGCTCAGGCAAGAGACTGTCAGTCAGTCATCTTTATCATGGCATTAGTCCCTGATTACATGTACAGATTTCTGTAGTTGTGAAAAAGATTTTTCAATCAGTATTTTTACCATTTGTAACAAGGTTTCTCTCATGTGTGAATACTTTGAATGACCAATTCAGTCCCTTTTTAAATAAACTTTTGTCACTTTAATATTATTATTGCACTTTCTCCAGTGTGAATTCTTTCATGATATCTGTACTGACCTAGTTATATTTTTAAGAAGACTGGTTACAAATCTACACTTTTAAGGCTTTTCTAGTGTGAACTTTTTCATGACTAGTGCACCCCGATTTTTTAATAAACTTTTTGTCACAGTATTTGCACTTGTATGGTTTCTCTCCAGTGTGAATCCTTTCATGATCGTTGTGGTGAGCTTGTTGTGTGAAAGTTTTGCCACAGAATCTACACTTGTAAGGTCTCTCTCCTGTGTGAATTCTTTCATGACGTTTGCAAGAAACTTTGTGGTTAAAAGTTTTGTCACATAATCTACACTTGTAAGGTTCTCCTGTGTGGGCCTTTTCATGACTAGTGCAGTCTTTTTTTCTAAGAAACTTTTTGTCACAGTGCATGCACTTGTACAGTTTCTCTCCAGTGTGAATTTTTTCATGACTGGTGCAAGTACCTATCTGTGTAAAGCTTTTGTCACAAAAACTGCACTTGTAAGGTCTCTCTCCATTGTGAATTCTTTCATGAATGCGGCAAGAAGCTTTTTTTTTAAAAGCTTTGTCACAGAATCTACACTTAGTTGGTGCCTCCCTAGTAGTAATATATTCCTGCATTTTATAAGATAATCTATCCTTGAAAGTTCCCTTTTTTCAAATTTTCCTTTTCTGTTTGTCGTTGTGTTTTCACACAGTCATAGCTTACTGAAACCAGTGTCATACAGTTTGCTATCATGTCAGCCAGTCACTTGGAAAATGTTTTATACATTGTACAGACTTCAAATATCCTTTCCAATTCTGAAATTTAGTCCACAGTTCAATTTTTAACTCTGAATACCCGCAGTGTATGCACTTGGGACTGTCTAATATTGTTGCATAGATTACCAGTGTACCCAGTTCTAGTATTGAGCAATATAACTGTAGTTGTACAGGTAGTAGGCTCCTGCTGCTCTAGCTCTCAAGTACAGTGATATTGTAAACTCCTGCTGGTTGAACTACTTACCTGATATGTTAAAATAATTTTATTTCAGTACTTCAGAAACCATGCATGTTACATAGATAAAATCTGCACAACTAGCTGTAATTACTTCACTCAACATTGATTGATAGATAACATGAAATTCTTTGAAGTTAAAGCAACCCATCAATTTGTGAGAGACAAGTTATGGCATGATGTGATTTTATCAATCAGTTTGTATTTATTATCCAGGCTAGTTACGCAGATGGTTTGATTAGTACTCAGTAAGGCAATTATTTTAAGTAATGTCCCAAAGTCAGTCTATGAAACGCTGTTCAAGGAAGCCTACTAAGGGAAAAAGAATTGAACAAGTCCACCAAATGTGTTTAACATTATATATCACATTTTAAATTTAAAGTAGAATATGAATATGAATGAGAACCTATAAATGGACTTTCAATATTAGTAACACCAGGAATCTATACCAATATATAACATTCAGGCACTTTACACAAGATCAATGAAACTAAATACAAGGACTACATTATTTGTTATAATTGCCCTAAACACGGATATTCATTCTCTGGGTAGAAAGGTTGCATATTACTCAGACCTGGGACTGGCTTTAACTAAATTATCTCAGGTGTGGCAACTTTCTGGTGGAAGTGATCAAAAGAGCCAAATGACAATAATGGGGCCAAAGTATTTCTACAATTTTATAGAATCGTAACTGGGTCTCCCTTTTCTGTTATTTCAAAAGGGGTGGACATTCATTATTATAATTTATTACTTTGAAGAAACTTCTGGTTCTAATATTGGCTTCTCTCCTGTGACTGTGATTTGAATTTAAAGACAGGGATAAATTGTATAAAATTATCATGTTATAGACTTGTACAATTCCCTTTCCCTTAGTTGGCTCCATTGAACAGCATTTCGTAGACTGACTTTGGGACATAACTTTAAATAATTGCCTGAATACTAATCAAACCATCTGCGTAACTAGCCTGGGATATTTGATAAATACAACCTGACTGATAAAGTCACATCTTGCCATAACTTGTCTCTCACAAATTGATGGCTTGTTTTAACTCCAAAGAATTTCATGTTATCTATCAATCAATGTTGAGTGAAGTAATTACAGATAATTATATGCAGCTAGTGGTGCAGATTTTATCTCTATAACATGCATGGCTTCTGAAGTAGTGGAGTAAAATGATTTCAACATATCAGATAAGTAGACTAACCTGCAGTTTAAAATATTCGCGCTGAGAAAACTATAAAGAGTCAGCAGTCATCTACTTTATCTCATTGTGCTAAACAAAAAAGGCCTTCGCTATGGAAATATTAAAGAACCAGTTGTCATCTGCTTCATTCAAAAAAAAAAAAAAAAAAAGGGGAATGCAATTGATCCACNGCTTTGCTGCCTTGTTTTCTGTTGGAAGACCATCAAAAGTGGAGGATGGATCAACAAATATAGTTTGGAATACTGTCAGAAAATATCTCTGGATCTGCTCCTGTTATTGACCATGTTACCTGTTGTGCATGATTAAAAATCAGTGTTAACTGACTGTGTTATTATAAGCATTATTTATTATTGTATCAAAATTAACAAAATGACCTATTTTGCATCTTTATTGTCTGTTTTTTGTCTGTACATTTGACAGCTTTGCTGCCTTGTTATTCTATTCGGTCACCAAGCCCAAACAGCGGATGGTATCCCCAAATATTCGGAGTATCCTCCAGTTTTTACTTTCCCCAAACCGGAATGAGATAAAAAAATAAACATGAAACGCTCATCCCGGATCTTCCCAGTCTCGATCCTTTAGACTTAAGATTTAGATATATGTCAAATTGTTAAAAACTATACACTCTTGATTGTTGTCTGTTGCCGATGAAAACAACCCCCAACTTAATCTAACGTATGCAGAAATAAAATCATTATGGTAATGTAATGTTATGGTTTGTCTGTGCATTTGGCAGCCTTAAGGATATCAATCCAACTCTTCGGGGGACTCTCACTGAATGCAATCAGTTTAACAGATTAACTTGCCTCCTCCTGGTGATAACAAGTAGAATACAAAAAAAGCCAGCGATTACACGAATAAGTTGAAAAATCTGTTAATCTGTTAAACAACTCTGTTGGGGATCCCTTAGTGCAGTCACCGTAAGGGTAGGTAGACCGGGGCTAAACGCCCCACTTAAGCAAGAAACGTCAGTTTTCCCTTCTGAAGGTATAGACCGTTCAAAGTGGGTGTCAACTATAAAGGCCATACCTAGACTACAAACTTATACTAACGCTTTTGAAAACAAATGACATAAAAACCCTATAGGAAGAAAATAGGTGAATAATAAATTCGGCCTTTTTGCCCCATTGTTGGGGCAATACGTCTAGCACCAAGGGGCTAAACGCCTACCGTGGGCGTCTTGCTCCAAACTATAAGCGTTATGCCCCGCCTTTTTATACAGAGCAAAATAAAATCAAATTACATTTCTACGGTAAACCTTTAAAATCAACAGATAATATTTGTCGGGGTATTGTTTTAAACTGAGACAGGAAAAAAAGACATAAATTTATTCAAAATAAGAGTTTTATTTATTATTTAACAGTATAACTATATATCAAAACTAACAATACATCTATCTTTATAGCGTTCAAGTACTCTTTCTGTCCGGGTCCTCTAATCAATATTCCATTCGCTAATCTGAGAAGATACGTGTAAGCAAAAGTCAAAATTGGTTATAATTAACAGTTATTTTATCTTTAAACAGTATTGCTCTAACTCAAAACTAAAAGGACTATTGTATCTATAACCTTCAGCTAGTCTCATACCGTTTCTCTCACAATTCTAATTCCTATTTTTCTACTCTGAAAAGACAATGTCAAACGTTGGTAGAATAAACAGCTAAGTTTATCATCAAATAGTAAAACTACCTCTCAAAACTAACTTCTAACTACTCTCCGTAATACTATTATCTTAATAAAAATATCAGCATTATTCAGAGTCATCTAATTCACAGTTTGGACAGAATTCTATGGCCCAGGAAACAAACAAATCATGGCTTTTCCTCACGTAAGTGAAATAACTGAGGATAAACATAAAAAACATGCACGAACGAACACTTGCGCATCTTTTCAGAACTATATTTATTTAAAAAAAAGATAAGGGGGAAAAATGCATAGTGATAAATGTTGAGAGTCCTTCAGTGCATTCCTCATGGGCCCAAAGAAGACCGGACTGATACTAAATCCAGATATCCCGCGGTCTTGTGCGACTTAAAGGTTCGCAGCAGATGAGACACGGCCTTTCCTCAACGTCGCTCGTTTCTTCATTAGCTGTTTACTTTCCTCTCCTTTTGATATTTCCGCTTTCCTTTCTTTTCTGCTGTTTTGATTGCTTTTTAGAGGCATTGTTCTTGGTCTTTTTTCTTAAGAGAGCAGCCTTGTACAACGATGAGGTTAGCACTGCTGCAGTTTCTGTTTTTCGCGTTCTTGCCCGCTTTGCTTGCAGCTTTGGAAGAGAGGATAAGTCGTAACAGATAATTTCCCTTATTCCTTGGACAGATTCTGAGTTTCGGTTGCTTTGTAGTGGAGGATGAACAGGAATTTCGCCCCCATCTGGGTTGCTCCGAAATGTGCTGTAGTACGCAGTCATAGTGACCGACATCCTGGCCGCATCTGGTAAAGCGGACGACCAGCTCGGCGTTTCGGGACGGCGCGTAGTGATGGGCGTCGAGACATGCCTTATACATGCCAAAGAAATTGGTCACATGAGGCTTATTAAAGCCTACAGCAAGCGCGATGCTGGTTGACTGAGGCCGACAAATGCTTAAGCCGTGACGCGAGAGCGCTAGAAACCCTTGCACCCAGTCCTGCCCTGCCATCCGTAGCTCTCTGTTGTACAGATGGACGACATGTGCCTTTTCCGCTACCTCAAATGCAAGGCGCTGCATATCTCGGATTTTTAACCCGTATAGTCGTCTCTCCATTTCAATGACATGAGACTTCAGTTGTAATTCTACTGTTTGCGGCAGGGCGCTGTGATACCTTCCAAAATTAAGAGTACCTTGTAGGCCAACAGCCACTTGCTTGTCCCGGTGGAGTTGCAGGGTGCGTGCTGGTACACCGAACTCTTGGTTGGCTCGGACAAGAGGCACGCCTACAGACAAAGCCTTTAGTGCTGCTGCCAGGTTTTTCTGACCATATTTGCCTTTGTCAGACTTTCTCCCATTTTTTTCTGTAAATTAAAGAGAAAAATTATGTTTCAGAAATCAATAAAGAAACATAGCCTAAGGACGTACCCAGAAATTGCTTTAAAATATGAGCATATACTCAGGAAACAAACAAATTATGGCTTTTCCTGAGGATAAACATTTAAAAAAAACATGCATGAACGAACACTTTATTCGCATCTTTTCAAAATTATTTTTATTAAAAAAAAAAAAGATAAGGGGCAAAACGCATAGCGATCAAGGCAAAACGCCTATGGTAAGCTTTTTGCCTCATGTCCGACTGGGCATTTGCCCCAAAGTGACACTTTGTTTATTTTTGTAAAATTTGGCGGGAAAGGTGTTACATAATCTTACACCATGGACGGTTGTGCTGAGTTCTAATATCGTCCTATCTGTCACAAACAAAGTTTTTTTAATTCGTGCATTTGGTAGATGGTGTCACTGATGTTAGGGAAAAGTCTAACTCTAAACAAGGAAAAAACGAACACATTATTATAAAATGCTAACCTTTTAGTTTCTGGTAATGTTCGTCATGGAGGATTCGTCTGCTAGAAATCGGCAGCACTTAGACAAAACATCACGTGACGCGTAATATTACGCAATATCAGAAAACGGCGGGTGGGCGTTTGAACCCGACTGGGCATTTATATTAGCCCCGGTCTACCCTACATATGAACCCAGCGTCGGTGGAGCATGGATTCCCAGTAACACATATAAACCACTTCGACGTGTCATGGGATAAACTGAATAAATCACTTGATCAGCCACAAAAGCCACAGCCACAGTTTACACTGCTCCTTTCTTTAAATTTTTGGTCAGAAATTTAACCTACTTAGGCCTATGTGACCGACTTTTCTGCCCCATGTATACAGCATAAAAATCCGTTCAAATATAATTTTTAAGGTAAAAATAAATATCAATAAATAAATAGATATTTAATATTAAACAAGGTCCTTTGGTAATTCTCTTACTGTAGCTATAGGCCTACTATTTAAAACAATATGCTGGCATTTGGCTGGCTTTTGTGGCAAAAAATTGACTTCATATACATATTTAAAGGGATAATAACTCTTCATATGAGTTCTATATTTCACAATAAAAACATTGTAAACAGCTTATAGAAATATGACATATTCTGTTTTATCACAAAAATGGCAATTACAGCTATTATTCTTATATCTGAGCTTGTCATCGGACCACGTGACCTCCATAGTTGGCTATACTCTGTAATAATCTCTTAAGAGATTATAACAAAAAAAGAAAAAAAAAAGAAAAAAAAAGAAAAAAACTTTTTAGAAAAAACAGGGGCTAACTTTGAATGTAGAAATGGATTTATTGACCATTGGTAAGAATGGAAAAATTGTTGTTTACTCCAGGAAAATTTATTTTTTGGCCAAAACGAAGGTTCAGTTATTATCCCTTTAACTGAATGAAACTCCTCCCCAGCTGAGGGGTAGTTGATTTTCATGTGCGCTTGGCTTCTGGAAGTTATCTGGGCTCTATAACTCGAAAACATGGCAATTGCGACCGCATGCAAGCATAGCGATCGATATCTATTTGCGATGGCGACTGCACCCCACCTGCTAACTCGAAACCTTAGCAGTCGCAATTGCGTGTCCGTAAGTATAATTATAGCCTCGAACACTACTTAAGTTAAAGTGAAGTCGTCATAACACAATTACTCATAATGTACAAAATTGTGATTTTATTTAATTATGATGCTAATCAAGAGATTGTTCTGATTTATAGGAATATCACAATTACAAATACAAATACTGATATTTGAAGCGTTTGACACCAATAACATCCCTTATAAAAGGATTAGGCACCCGCAGATCTTTTAGCACTAACTCCCATTTTAACCACATAATTAACCATCACAACCTGAATGTTAGTGCCAGGAATCACTCTGTTAGTGGTAAATACTTTACCGGTGAGTTGGTTAATTCGTGGGTTATGTGGTTAATGTCGGTGTTAGTGCTAAAACATCTGCCTCGAAGTAACGTTTGTTAGAAACGTCTAATCCATTTTTGGGACCTAAATAAAATGTCAAAAACAATTCAAAAAGTGAAGCGCGCGTGTTATTATGGACTGATACAATTACTGATACATTCAGTGGCGGATATAGAGGGGGGGATAAGGGGGTTCCTGACCCCCCCCCCCCTTCGGTTTCTGAAAAAATCACACTAATATCCCCCTCTTGGAATTAGAGGATGGGAGACCATTAGAAATCAGCGGCATCTCTTTTGAAGTGTGGTTGGCCATATTAAGTCGGCGGAGCAGTTAGTAGTCGGATCATCTATTCTGAATGGGGCCTTAGACCTAGTTTTTAAAACCAAGCTGCTTAACCTGAGGCACACCAGGATTATCGCTCGTATTCTTGATCGGCTACCCTACCCGTTAGTCCTGCCATCATCTTAATTCGCTGAGATATTAGCGAGGAGTCAACAGCTGCCACGTTAAACCAATGAACTAATATATATATATATATATATATATATATATATATAGGCCATATATATCCCATCTTTAAGCGCAGTCAATAAATGTACCACCTGGGATGTCCCTCACGGGTATTATAATTACCAAATGTGAATCAGCTCTATAAACCACTTTTTTCTTAAGGGAGTATTATTTTTATAATAATTGAGACCTTCACTGCATAGATGAAATGACCAGAGGCCATCCCATGCACCCTTTTCATTCACCCTTTTGCAGTTAAAATTTAAAATGCCTTTTAAGGATGGTGTGCAACTCACCATAATATCGCCAAAATACCCCCCACACACACACACATACACACACACACACACACACACACACACACATCCGTTTGCGTTAAAGGAAGGCCTCAAAAGACTCCTAGATTTTGTTTGGGATGCCTCTTTGGAAGAAGGACTGGGGATCAACTGCAAGAAGACCTTGAGTATGGTTATCTCCCAGGAAAATCAACCTCCAGCATGTGATTTAGTATGCAATAAAATCCCAATTGAACAAGTTCATTCTTTCAATTACCCCGGGTCAATATTGAAGTCGGTTGGAAGATGTGTAAAGGAGATCAGAAGACGAATAGGAATGGCGAAAACTAGGTAAGGCATGGACTCTCTAGGCTGCAACGACTAAAAACATAGAGGCTGCAGAATGCTGCGTATCTCATATAATATAATGCTCATGTAACTAACAACTCGGTTCTCAAACGAAATGGACAAGATCGACAACTCCTAAGAATTATGAAGGAGAGACAAATATTCATGTTATAACATCTTGTGTAAAGATATTTTAAGGTTGTTTAGTTGTCTATCAAATGAACAAGTCTATACTTGGACAAATAAAACGCCCAGGGTCATTCGTTGGTTAAGGGTGGAATGTTAAGTCTAAAAAAGAGGAACATTAACATGATTTTTTAAATTCTAGAATGGCAAATTCAAATTTGGCCTGAAGAAAGAATATTGTGTGTGGTTTGGGACCAAGGTCTATATTAATCGCTGGGCAAAAAAGGGGAGGAAATCTATTTTTCAGCCGAGATCACCCATATTTGATTATTGCAGACATCTGCTCTAAATACTTCAGTAATAATAAAAATAAAATATAACGTTCCGTTTAGCCTATTAATTGCCGTAAAAAGACATTTTGAAGAAACTTATAGTCTCGAAGTGTGCGTTCACATTAAAACTATAATACTGGGTTGTTCGAGCTAACTCCGCGGGGACTCTCAGTGAACAAAAACATAACCCCCTTGTCGGGGGAGGAAGGAAATAATTAATAATAATAATAGTAAAAATAATGATAAAAAAGGTACTAGTCCATTTACAATATTCAATTTTGTATCACAGCTCCAGAAAAAGATATCATGACGGGGTTTTGTGGTCGGCAACGGCGCGTTACGATACGGTCAATATTAACGCTATTCTCTCTGCTCCTTGGAAGTTTTATTGCTCATATACGAAGTGCATGGAATAAGAGATGTGAGCACCGTGTCCCCTTTGCTTTGACATGTTAAAGTTTTACCAAGGTGCCGGGTTGCGTTCTCTCTGACGTCGCTGGCATGTCTTTCCCGTCTGTTCCACCTCTGCATTTCAATGCCCGACTGATTTCCGCTGATTTTGCAACCCTTTTTATAAAAATTATTAGGGTGGCAGGTGGCTCACATCTCATGTCAGAAGGGCTTTACTCACGGTTACTTAACTATTAGAAATACTAAGTTCCGATCTGTGACCTTTACATTACGGTTTCACTCGTTCTTCGATAATCGGTATTTAATTTTGACTCAACCAGAACTGGTCATTTCCTGAACTCACTACAATGGTGTCTATACACCAGCACATGGTCTGACACAAAAATTATTGCATCTTGCTTGCTTAATGAGATAAGATTGAAATATTCCAAAATGTTGTTATTATCACTTAGTAAGTGATTCTGAAAATGAATTATTATTATTTTTATGTCTTAAACTTATAACACTGCCGTGTTATGATATAATAACGAATAAACCAACACCATTTGATATTTGCAATCCTGACGTAAGATGCAAATCACCTGCCACCTAAAATTGAGGGGGGCTTAACGAGATTTTCACTGAAACAAACAAACAAACAAATAATAATAATAATAATAATAATAATAATAATAATAATAATAATAATAATAAGCGTCACGTGACTCGGAGAGAGCTAGGGGGAGACCGGCAGCTATTACATATGCAGGTAAATGGCATTTGAACATTTTTAGCTATTTCAAAACAGCTGTGCTTTTTAAAAGATGGGAGGCACTCAGGTAGAAAAAGGTAAAAGTTAAAACATTATTTAAAACCTTAGGATCTACTGTAAATACTGGGACCCGAAGCCTGGGTACATTTTTTAATCGGCATTCAAAAAAGATGCCTTGGGAGTAGGTCTAACGATGTGGAGACGTATTGATGCGTGTAATATATCATGCTTTTGCGTGGAGAGTAATATCTCGCGATGCGGGGTTGTAACAATACGGGAATTACCCCGGAATAATTCTTATTGGATGATTAGTTTCAAGAGACACCGCAGACTCGTCCCTAGTTGGTTCTACGTATACTGGAAACTGCAGAGGCATGTTGATGATTGTGGTGGGTTTCCAGTGGCAATTCCAGTTTCCGGATAATCTGATAACCTTATGTTAAATTATACTGGTTTTGGAGGAGATTGATTTGTGGTTCATTCCCAATGAAACTATCGGTCTACTTAGATCGATCTAACTCCACGGGGACTCTCATTGAATGCAATCAGATATTTGCAGATTAACAATCCTCCTCCTGGCATTGAGTAGAATGCAGAAAAGCTGGTGATCATACGAGTAGGTTAGAAACAAGAGGAGGGATGTTGATCTGTTAATCTGATTGCATTCAGTGAGAGTCTCAATAGAGCTTGGTCCATAGATATAGAACTTTATAAATTTTCATTGTGAATGAGCCCCTAGATCTTTTGTAGTCTCTAGAAGTGTCCTATTTCAGGGATGTTTTCTTATCATTTTCTTTTACAGGGTAAGGTACCAGTACAAGTAGTAATAGGGTTGGATCTTGATTACTACTTACCAGAAGATACTGTGTGAGTATGTTGTGGGGACTTATGCAGGACAAGTACATTCAAAGCTGCCAAACTTTAGGGGGAAATGACAGTTAGGTTTACACAATATTGGTATTTTCTGAGTTTTNGGAAGTTTTATTGCTCATATACGAAGTGCATGGAATAAGAGATGTGAGCACCGTGTCCCCTTTGCTTTGACATGTTAAAGTTTTACCAAGGTGCCGGGTTGCGTTCTCTCTGACGTCGCTGGCATGTCTTTCCCGTCTGTTCCACCTCTGCATTTCAATGCCCGACTGATTTCCGCTGATTTTGCAACCCTTTTTATAAAAATTATTAGGGTGGCAGGTGGCTCACATCTCATGTCAGAAGGGCTTTACTCACGGTTACTTAACTATTAGAAATACTAAGTTCCGATCTGTGACCTTTACATTACGGTTTCACTCGTTCTTCGATAATCGGTATTTAATTTTGACTCAACCAGAACTGGTCATTTCCTGAACTCACTACAATGGTGTCTATACACCAGCACATGGTCTGACACAAAAATTATTGCATCTTGCTTGCTTAATGAGATAAGATTGAAATATTCCAAAATGTTGTTATTATCACTTAGTAAGTGATTCTGAAAATGAATTATTATTATTTTTATGTCTTAAACTTATAACACTGCCGTGTTATGATATAATAACGAATAAACCAACACCATTTGATATTTGCAATCCTGACGTAAGATGCAAATCACCTGCCACCTAAAATTGAGGGGGGCTTAACGAGATTTTCACTGAAACAAACAAACAAACAAATAATAATAATAATAATAATAATAATAATAATAATAATAATAATAATAAGCGTCACGTGACTCGGAGAGAGCTAGGGGGAGACCGGCAGCTATTACATATGCAGGTAAATGGCATTTGAACATTTTTAGCTATTTCAAAACAGCTGTGCTTTTTAAAAGATGGGAGGCACTCAGGTAGAAAAAGGTAAAAGTTAAAACATTATTTAAAACCTTAGGATCTACTGTAAATACTGGGACCCGAAGCCTGGGTACATTTTTTAATCGGCATTCAAAAAAGATGCCTTGGGAGTAGGTCTAACGATGTGGAGACGTATTGATGCGTGTAATATATCATGCTTTTGCGTGGAGAGTAATATCTCGCGATGCGGGGTTGTAACAATACGGGAATTACCCCGGAATAATTCTTATTGGATGATTAGTTTCAAGAGACACCGCAGACTCGTCCCTAGTTGGTTCTACGTATACTGGAAACTGCAGAGGCATGTTGATGATTGTGGTGGGTTTCCAGTGGCAATTCCAGTTTCCGGATAATCTGATAACCTTATGTTAAATTATACTGGTTTTGGAGGAGATTGATTTGTGGTTCATTCCCAATGAAACTATCGGTCTACTTAGATCGATCTAACTCCACGGGGACTCTCATTGAATGCAATCAGATATTTGCAGATTAACAATCCTCCTCCTGGCATTGAGTAGAATGCAGAAAAGCTGGTGATCATACGAGTAGGTTAGAAACAAGAGGAGGGATGTTGATCTGTTAATCTGATTGCATTCAGTGAGAGTCTCAATAGAGCTTGGTCCATAGATATAGAACTTTATAAATTTTCATTGTGAATGAGCCCCTAGATCTTTTGTAGTCTCTAGAAGTGTCCTATTTCAGGGATGTTTTCTTATCATTTTCTTTTACAGGGTAAGGTACCAGTACAAGTAGTAATAGGGTTGGATCTTGATTACTACTTACCAGAAGATACTGTGTGAGTATGTTGTGGGGACTTATGCAGGACAAGTACATTCAAAGCTGCCAAACTTTAGGGGGAAATGACAGTTAGGTTTACACAA